AAAAAAAAAAAAAAAAAAGAAGAAATTAAAAGTTGTGCTTTCACTGCGCCTTGACGTAAGGGATAAGATGGGATTCGTTAAGAAGACACAAAAAGCCAGACGGTTTATTTGTCGAGGAACACTGAGCAAGATTAGCGAAACAAAACTAGGTCAGGGTTTGACGGGGATTAAACATAGCCGTTGGCGCGAATTTCATTAGGAACTATACCCCCCCCCCCCCCCAATCCCCCAACCAAAAAAAAAAAAAAAAAAAAAATCCCTCCTCGCAAATTATCAACTACTATTTACTAACTCATTACCTTATATAGTATGGCCAACCACACGAGCATAAAGGGCCTGCTGATTTTGCTGGAAAACAAAACCTGGATGAGGAAGAAGAGGAGGACGTGTCGGGTGTTGAGGACATCATGCCACCGCAGAACAATAACATGGTCCCCCCGCAAATACAGAGCCAACCCACCTTCCAACATATTAATCATCAGCCATCTGCATCCCCACCAATTCCGAATGGCGTCTTCCACCCTCGACATGGAACACCACAACCTGTCATCTCCCGGCCGTCTTCGAGAAACAACCTTCAACGAGTAGGTTCGGGGCTAGTTCCCCCACAACAGCGTCACCATGCAACTCCACCGCCTCCTCAAAACGGCTATGCTGCATATATACCAAACCCTTCTATGTACAACCACCAGGCAAATCCAAATATGCACCAGCAAGCTCCACGCCCAGGTCAATATCCTTATCCTCCTCCTATGCCACAACATCATCCCCCTCAACATCAACATCAAATTCCTCCACAGCACCCTCCCCAACCGCCTCCACAACAGCCTCCTCAACATCACCCTCACCACCCGCAACAACAACATCACCCCCCTCCTCCTCCGCCCGCACAACATCAACACCAACCTCCACCCCAACCACAACGACACCACACTCCACAACGGCACCACACTCCACAACCCCATCATCAACCCATGGCCCAACCACCACCTCCATACATACAGGAACAACAGAAGAGACACTCTGTGCCACCGACATTCCCTCCCCCAGAACGACAAGCACAATCCCATTCCCGATCGCCACCTCAACCACAGCCACCGGTAAAACCTGAACCCAGCCAAACACCACCGCCCCCTAAACCTCTTCCATCCAAATCCCGAAGCATTTTCACCCCAATTGACGATCGTGGTTCGGTACTTGCGCAGCATTTTGGATTTGGCCCGCAATCAGACTCCCCCAAAACAGAGTCACCATTAAAGCCTGAACCGGAGAATACCGATTCAAATAGCCATACCGCCCTGCCTCCACCTCCACCCCCTCCCGTAAGATCTGCGACTCTTCCTGCCCACCCTCAACGCACACATTCACTCTCCTCGATACCCGACGTCACCCCAATCTCGCGCTCAAACAGCCTCCAAGTTAGCGCAAAGCGGCCTCGGCTAAAGGTCCAAATTCCCAGCGAGAACTCTGATGCAGGTAGCGCAACTGCCGAATCGTCACCACGAGAATCCACAGGGAACACTGCCGCCACCCCTGCCCGCGGCAGTTCCGACACAGGGCATTCTGGCGTCGTCTTGCCGCCCCCCTCACCCTCCGCTACTACCCTCCTAAGCGCCGGCGCCCAGGGCCCTCCAAATCCCTTCGCGCGCCCACCACCGCCACCCGTCGCAACATCCTCCCAAAACAACGCCGCAGCCGGCTATTCAAACAGCAACAACAACCATAATAACAACATCGACACGCCCATCTCCGCTCTACCTAGCCGCTTCGTGTCCGATACACTCCTCCCCTCCCCCTCCAGCTTCTACCCAGAGTGGGGTTTCGGCCGCTCCGGACCAGATAGCAACGTGCTACCGAGCCCGCTGACTTTCCCGACTCCAATTGTGACGAATGGACCTGGGTTCTCGAGTTCGAATAATTCAGGTTCGGGGTTGAATTCGCATCCGAATTTGCATTCGCAGTCGGGTTTGAAGGAGAAAGAGAAGGAGAAGGACAGGGAGAAGGAAGGGGTTGGTGCTGTGGAGGAAGGGGGAATGGTGAAGAAGAGAAAGAGCCCCGAAGGGGGGATTAGTGCTAGTGGCGCGGGGCATGGTGGCGTTCCGCATGCTAGTGTTGCTGTGGGGAAGAGGGTGAAGGTTGAGTGATGTGTGTATGGGATATGGAAAAAAGGTGTGATGTTTTTTTCTTAGTGGTCCTTGTCTAATTGGGTTTGACACGGTCGTGTTGAGGTGTTTTGGTTTGGTATAAATATGGAATGATATGGGCTTGACATTTTCTGTGCTTGTGTAGTATTAGTAGTTTGATCTTTGTTTCATATTCGGTTTTATTTTGTTTTTGGCTTCCTCCTTACCTTCATTTCTATTGCCCGCTTTTAGAAGAGGGACCGATTGTTTTGCTATTTATTTTTGATATGTAGGTTTTTGGTTTTTGTTCTTGATTTGTTTTGACATAGTTTTGACTTAACAATACAAAATCATATATTGTATATTTTGTATATATCTGCTATACAGAGTATTTAATTTGATTAGGGTTTTTATGTAGTATTCTCATGGATGAACCTCAGCTGTTTATGTTTATCTGAATACCACTGATCTCATTCTGCTCTCAAATGATTACTTGCTAATAAAATGCAGATACAGTACATACATTATTGAGTTCATTGACACTCAACACTATATAGATAAATTAACCTTCTATCAATCAACAAACTCAAAGTGAATGTTTTCTATATTTATTAATAAAGAGAATAAATGATAAAAAACATTTTGAAAAGAAAAAGAGTTTTCTGTGTACATTCTGACATGATGTCATTCTATAAAGACTTTTATTTTTAAACTTGTTTTTGAGAGGTTTTTTATTTTTATTTATTTATTTTTTTTTTTTTTAAAGAGAATAAAACAGCTACAGTTTGCAGAGCTTCACTATCTGTATTGTATACTAGAAAGGCCTATAAAGAGAGTGAGAATATAGTTTTATATAATCTAGTTACTAACTTAGTCTCAAGGTTTTTTTGTGAGAGGTGATAATAAGCTTAGTTGAAAAAGAGTTGAGTCATGTATTCACCAAGTGACCAAGGTAACTAAATAGCTGAGCTAGCAATTGCTGATTTTATTTGAGTATGATATGCAAACTAAACTCCCTCACTTACTTATTTTTATTTTTTTATTTTTAATTTTAATTTTTATTTTTTTGCTGAAGAATTAGTTAATAAAAACCATCTATATATAACCATGCATGCATATATCCTCTCGGAGATATTTTCTCGGATTCGGGTTCCGGTTCGGTTTTCGGTGACAAATGACAGAGCACCGCCGCCGCCCCCCCGCCCCGGGGGCCCCCGGGGCGGGGTAAGCGATGAGAGTGCTTGGAGACAGAGGTTGAACATGTAGCAGTCTCTATGCGTCAGAGAATGTGGAAGGTTGGTAGGTTGAGTAGGTAATACAATGTATTTGCAAGACTACAACAGTTCTTCAAAAGTCTGACGTTTGAGTCAAGATGGCAGCTACATGCTGGTAGTAGTTATAGTAGTGTAGTGGGGTGGGGTTTGAGTTTCTCACTTGAAGAAGATTTGCAATGTAATGTCATGAAGAGAATAACACATAGCTTGTCTTTTTCAAAGACTCTCTGAGGAGATGAACCTTCTTATCATCAAGTAGCTAGCTACTACTGACTGGAATTATTCACCATTGTAAGCGTGGAAAATCTTTCAATACCAACATCAGTAGCTCTGAGATTTAACATTTCCACATTCACGGTTGCATCTCTAAATGCACCTCAAACCCCTGAAGATCTTCAAGATATTTGCAGATAAATTCATCATGAGCTTATCAGAGCAATTGAGATCTGCTTCTGACATTAATCAAAGTCTCAGAAGTTGGGGGGAGTAGAGCCGCAATTTTCAAAGGAATGAATAGATAGGTTGTTTGCCCTCATAATCAATCATGAGTATGACATTTCCTGGCACTGGTATGAGACTCTTCAATGTAACTAAAAGAAATGTAATGAGAATAAGTAATTGTGATTTTGATCTGAACAGTGTGTCATTGATAAATTGTGATACTGTTGCTTATGCAGAGCTTTTTCAACAATTGTGAGAAATAGTGAGTGTGATGCAGCTGATATTCACAAAATAGAATCAGAAAGCATTTGAAGATCTCTGTTCAGAATATATAATGTGCTTCTGAGCAGGATGTTTAACAATAAAATGACATTTAAGGTACACTGCAGTGTGGGTAGTCAATTGAGGACTCCAAAAACCTGCAAGTCATAATAATATACAATAATAATTGACAGGTTTCATGCTCAGGGGTATTTTGCCACTGATTCTGAATGTCACACAGACCAAGTACTTTAAATATCTTTAATTTCAACTCTAATTTAACTTCAACATATCCCGCCCTGCCCCAGGTTGACGTCTGACGGTACCAGCACTTTTTAGATCGCAGGACTTCCGTCATAACTCATAGCCAAAAAATTAGATGCGATGCATGTAGCGTGGGTATTCTTCAGCATTAAAGTACACTCTCTTGTGCGCGTTCAGCACTCTATTGCTGAATAATGACGATACCCCCGCGTGGCTTAATGGTAAAGCGTATCACTAGTTATGATAAGATCCTCGGTTCGATGCCGAGTGTGGGCATGATTACTCTTCTTTCTTGTTTTTCTTTCTTTCTTTCTTTCTTTCTTATTTTCTGGTTCTTATCTCTTCTCTTGCCGTGAGCATCCAATAGTCTTTAGAGAGGTCGAGCCGGAACGAATATCTGAAAGTGGTGTTGGACAAGGGTGGTAAAAAGGAGGAGACCCGCATAACTTTTTCTAGAGAGATAGAAAAGTACCTAGAAAAAGGACATCGAAGTCCCGTAGGACATCCTGCTTCTTCACTTTCACCAGGACAGCAAGGCTGAGTTTTGGAAGCGGTTAACAGAGAGGAATAAAAAAGAACTGGGAAGCAAGGGATCTTCCATCCAACTGACGTGCAGGTATGTAATAGCTTCGGTCCGTGAACGCTGATGATTTGACAGGTCAATGAGCGGATGGAGAGGTATGACACCGCTGCTTCCCCTTGTCCACTACATTGATGAGAAAGAGACAGCTGTTTCTGATCGATATCTTAAAAGAAAGGAATACACATCTCGCCTTAAGATACGGAAAATGGAAAGGTAGGGTAGTTACATCTCAGGATTGGCCTTTAGTTACCCGTACAGTTTCATGAAAACGTACGCTGCATCCCCCCGGCCCCTCAACTCAAAGATCTTGAAACTCAACCCACGTCTTCATCTTAGCCCTCACATGCTCCCCATACACAACCGCGTCAACGCCAAGCTCATCATCGACCGACTTGATAAGACATTTCTCGCCAGGCTCGAAGAAAAACCGCACGCTAAATCTGCCAGACTGCTGCATCGCAGCGGCAGCATTTGCAGAAGATGCACTTATAGATGTAGGCGCGGTCGCGGGAGGAGCGCGTACACGGTGCATGGTAGCCACGAACCGCCCGCAAGACACTTTCGCCATCAAATCAACGATGTTCACAACGATGGATTTGGGAACATACGGCGCAGCAACCCATTTCCCATCTGCGTTTTGAACCTCCAGACCCCCTGTCGCATCCTGATGAAGCAAGGTAAGGATACCGCTGTCCGTGTGCGGGGTGCAGCTGAGCTTCAGGGGATCGGGATGGACATCGGCATCGGCATCAGAACCTGGTTACTCTCCGCCGCCTTGGAATTGAGTGGATGTGGAGGAGGTGGGTGGGTAGTGAAGGAGCCGCAAGTGCTAAGCGAGTCTGTTAGGTATGATGAGAAGAAATCCGCCTCTTTACCAAGCGAGATGGCGAGGAGGGAGAGTAAGGTTGATGCAAGGGCTTGCAGTTCGTTGTGGAGCAGCTCGAGTTTTGCACGAGAGGGAAATACAGCTGGTGCGGGCCAGACGTTGGGTTCTGAGAGATTGATTTTCGGCAAATGAGTGGCGTTGGATATACTGTTTGATGCCGGTGTCTGCGGAATGGACTTTTGAGGCCCGATCTCAAAACCCTCTTTTAGGTTATCGCTGGCAAGATCCGGTTGCATCGGAAAGTACCTAGCAAAATAATTTAATATATGACTTTTCTCGCTACTGACTTGAAACTGGAAACAAGATGGGATAAAAATGGGTGCAATGATTCCCTCGATATGTATTCCTGTGCTCCTTGCGAAAGCTCCTTTTGGCCAACTTCATCTTCTCCTCCGTTGGGAGAGCAAAGAAGTCTCTACTGATGTCGAAAAGCACTTGGTGATCGAAACTCAAGGGATGATTTAATAGGTAGGCAAATCCCGTAGTGGCGAAGACATTGTATAGCTGGCTTGCCAGGTCCTTCTGTTGCTCTGCTCCCAACTCATGGGAGGATTTCAGAGGAGATAAATCAACGATAGGTAGAGCGGGAAATGTGGTGGCCATGGCTCCTCATCCGTCATTTACCCATGGTAGAGTATCCCAGGAGATGGAGCAGCGAGTACTATCAAAGATCTATGTATGTATAAAGCTCGTCGTAATTATCGCAGAGATAAATGAAGGAATTAGAGAAAAGCGTCCTCTGAATAGTAGATCGTCAAAGGTCAAGCATGATAGATTGTGACTGATGAAGCCGGCCTAACGCTAATGGTGGCGGCAGGCGAGGCACACGACACCTCTGCGCACCAACAGCCGCATTCTCCGCTGCAGATGGCATTCAGCTTCTCCGCACCGCCAGCCATTCCCGTGTGTACATTGTTGTTAGTCAGGGTTTGGGGCCTCGTCGAGAAGTGACGAATCGAGTCAACTAACAAATGGATGTCTCAAGTCATTGTTAAGTTCTCCATCACGTGACCCTATCCGATCCCCATATCCCAAAAAGGTAAAGCGCGATGGCTGTTAGGGCTCGCTAACACCGATTCGGGGTCCAGTCGCACCAACCTTGGAAACCACCACAGAACGACTTGTGCTCGATATCTCAACTCTCCCCGACAACGACAACGACGACGACCAACGAACGATAAATCCCGGAGCGGCGCACCCTTTTCTTTTCTCCCTTCGCGAAAAGAAAATCAAATAAAAGAAGACAACAAAAAAAAAAGGAATCCCAACGCACCTGCTTTCCGGCCGGTGCTGTCTTAGGTTCTCTTTCTTCTTCTTTTCCGTCTTCGATTTTCACAGATTTTCGGTGGCCCATCATGCCTTCGGATCACGGACACAGACGTGAGTTACTCTCTCCTCTTTTCCCCTGGCGGGTTGGATTGGGTATTATGGGATGACAATTATGAGTTTTGCTGCGTTGTTTTGTGCTGTGGGTTTTGTGTGCGCGCGCGGCTGGCGAAATGGGCTAGGTTTTTTGGGAGAGGAGGGGGGAAATCGTTGAAATATCCATTGATGATGATGGGAGATCTATTTGTGCGCTAACATATATTCTCGTTGGATTCATTTAGTATATGTCAAGTAAGACGAATTCCCCTCCTTATCCTTTCCCGGTTTTGCCCCATTGGGTATATCAGTTTACATGTGTGCGATGAGAGCTGGGGTTTTTTGGGGATCAGATATCGGGGATAGATATTACGATTTCGAACAGATTAAGGACTATGATTGAGACGGAACAGGAGAGCTGATGGGATACTTCATTAGGGGTCGGCACCTGAGCTACCAGCGTGGAAAGCGCGCCACCAACCCCAACACAAGGTACCGTTTAACACCCTTCCCGGTTTGCTCCTCTGGATTTACGTTGATATGCGGTCCTGGCTCCCTGGCGAAATAAGGAAGAATATTCTGGCTAATGGAAATGGTTGTGATATAGTCTCATCAAACTTGAGGGAGTTGACGACACCAAGGCCGCCAACTTCTACCTCGGAAAGAAAGTTGCGTTCGTCTACCGGGCCAAGCGTGAGGTTCAAGGTTCCAAGATCAGAGTTATCTGGGGCAAGGTCACACGGACACACGGTATGTCTTTTTCCATACCAAAATTGGCGGGCCTAGACACATGTATACTCGGGGCCTCCCCAGTCCGAGAAGTACTGGCCCTTGACGAGCCTGTATTTCCACACAAAATAATTCTGTTGTCAAAGCATACTAAGATAATACTCTTTTGTTTTCTTTCCAGGCAACTCGGGCGTCGTCCGCGCTCAATTCAGACACAACCTCCCCCCCAAGTCATTCGGTGCCAGCGTACGAGTGATGTTGTACCCATCGTCCATCTAAACCCGTTTGATTGAGACCGGGGTCGGGCATCAGTCTTTTCTTGTTGGGGTTATGTTGGGAGAACGGGGTTCGGGTTGTGAGACTTTTCTTTTGGCGTGGGCAATGCCGGAGGGACGAGATGTTGTTGATTAAAAAGGACAAGGGGACGGGGCAACGACGGCGAGGGGTTCCAGTGGTTGTGTTGTGTTGTGGGATCAGGGGCGGTTTTCTTTTTAAAATATAACAAGAGACCCAAATTTACACAAGAGTGGGGGAGAGGAGCGAAGACATTAAGGGAACGAAGGGGAAGGAGGAGGGGCCTTGAAGGGGGAGGGGCATATATCGGGGTTCAAGCTTAGCCTCCCCCCCTTTTGCGCTTTTTTTCTTTCCTGTTTCTTTCATGTATTTCTCTCCTCTCCCCTTCTTTGATGTTGTTGTTGTTCTCCCCTGGCAGCAATGGCATCAAAAAAATGCCGAATAGAAAAACCTAGACGGCGGCTCGCCTATGAGTTTTTTCTTTTTTCTTTTTTTTCCTTTTTTCTATAATTTAATAAGCTTCTTTCAAAAAAACAAAAAAATTGTCCATCCCACCACCCCCCCCGCACCAAAAATCCGATTGTCCCTCACCCACGCCCAAATTGAAAGGTGTTTCATCCTTTTCCACCAAAGAATGAAACTTTCTCAATGACTCTAGCCCTAAAAATAAGTATACAAAGTCATTGGCAATCACCGCATATCAATATATGAATCCGTATCCGGGTCCTGGTTTCTTTGCCATGCTATGCCATGCCATGCCATGCCATGCCATGTGGTGCACTGTGCCTTATCTTTGACCTTCACCTTGATATGACAAGGAGTGATTGTACTGTACATACCATCCCAATAATCTGTGTAGTCGGGGAATTGTAATCCGTTCAGTAGTAGTATATACTATAGTATACGCGGCGTAGTAAGGCTGTTGTTTGTCTGGCTTGGTAAGTTGGTACCTGGCAGTGGATGTAGGCTTGGATTTAACCATGGTCCTGGTCCACAACATGCATGCATATATGTATGTACATGTACTGTACTCCGTACATACATGTAGATTGTTCATGGATGCGTTGGATAATTTAGTTAGAGGACAGATTGATCGCAGGGCTGTTGTTGTGGCTTTCTTGTAGGTTTTGTGGGTCGTGTAACAGCCCGGTTTCAACGTGAGATCGCTGGTATTTAATAATATTATTTATTTATGTGTTATCATTTCTGCCATTCGCATGGACATACGGAGTACATGATAACACAACTAATCAACTGGTGGATTAACTGGATTTAACTGGATTAACTAGCTAGTGAGTGCGGTCTGGATGCGCTGGCTGAGCCTGGCCCTAAGCACACGCCCACACACGCCACTCTCTCGGGCTCCACAGCGGAGGTCGTTGCGGACCAACGATGTCATCAACCAGCTAGGTTGGTTTGTCGTAGGGGAAGAAGGGAAGAAGAACAGAAGGGAGAGGAAGAGACAAGATTTGGGACAATCCCGCCACTCTCTAGGGAAAAGAAAGGAAAGAAAAGAAAAAGAAAAAGGAAAAAGGAAAAAAAGACTTTCCATGAATTGACTTTCTTTCTTTCTTCCCCATCGTATAACTAACGGAGCAGGATAGATAGTGGTTATCTCCCCCCCACCACCACGCCCCCCCCCCTCCCATTCGTTCTACGCATTCTCTTTACATCCACATCCAAGCCTTTTTTTTTTTTTCTTTCCATCATCTCCTCCGAGTCACCACGGAAGTCGTCGTCACAGGCATCCGGGGGGACAGTCAATCTGAGACATAGGTCCTGCTGAAACACTGCAACTCCCCTCCACCCCTCCCTCCCATCTCCATTTAACATCCATCGATATCGATCTTTTTTTCGAGGATAAGTAGCAACTGTATAACTCTCCGTTTCTCCCGCCCGCCAGGAAAGAAATCTCTCCCGTATCCGATCAGGGAAATTCCTCCACCGCGAGGTATCATACTGATTACTACTCAGCCATCGCGCTGATCCTTTCGCCGCCCGGCTTGTTGTTCTACCTGCCTACGTACAGTACAGTACTTAGCGATCGATCGATATCATCAACATTAGTCAACTTTACTCTCCCTTCATCCGCTCACTTCCATCTTCTTCCGTCCTGCAATCCATTTTTCTACCTATCCATCCATCAGTCCTTCCATCCATCCATCCATCCATCCATCCATCCATCCATCCATCCATCCATCCATCCAGCTCACTCGCTCGTTCATTCGTCCAACCACCTCTCCGCATATCAGATAACTTACCCGCCCAACAACATGGCAGCGGTCCAAGAGTCGCCCGAACGGGGCCGCGTCCTAAGCTTCACCGGCAGCAGCAGCAGCAAGTCAGAGAAAACACACAAGAGCAGCGGCTCCCATCACAAGATGAATCTCTCCGAGACGCACGAGGAGAAAGAAGCAAGCAGGCTGCGCACACATGCTGACCCGTCCCGAGCCATCCAGGAACTACAGCCATGTGAGTTTTATTAAAAACATTTACATTTCTCCTTCTTTCACATGCGCTTGCTGGCGTGACGGGAGTGTCCTGGACATTAAAATAAACAAGCAAGAAAACAAAAAAGAAGACAATATGCTCATTGCATTTTAATTTTAGCTGCTGTTGCGTTGCAAAAATCAAACTTGGAGTCGCTGCGATCTGTCCAGCATAAAGATATCTATGGAAATCCAATAAGTGAGTCCCCTCCCTCTTTTTTATTATTTATTATTTTATTCTCATTCTCTTTTTTATACGCGCGTACAATTGACCATGGAAACCTTACTTTGCAGCCGATCCCGATCTATCAAACCCCACCCGCCATCGGTTTGAGCGGCCGTTGGATACCATTCGTTCTTTCGAGGCGGCCATTGATGGGAGCTATATGAACCGGAGGGCATCGTATGCCCGACCAGGTATTTTTTTTAAATTTTATATTCCCTTTCCCTTTTCTTTCTTTCCCTTTTCTTTCTTTCCCACATTTTATTTTCAATATGAAGGATAACACATATACTTACTGACTGCTGGACGGTTTAGACGAGAGTACAAACGGTGGTTACAGCCGACGAAGTAGCTATTTTGGAGGTATGTTGCAACGTGCCATCATCCATCCTCTCTCCCACCCTCCCTTTCGTTCTTCCCTTCCATTGGACTTCCATTCCCCTTCCACACTGTCAATTTTCACCTTTTCAACTTCCCTTGGCATGGATCCACCAAGAACTAACCCCGCGAAACGCTCTAGATCGAGGAGGCGGCGGAGCAGCAGCCGGAGGACTCAGCAACCACCGGAACGGGGGCTACAACGAACAAGCCAACTACTCAGCGCACCGCCTGGCCCCGTCACGGCCGGATAGCTATGCTGAAAGCTATGGCGGGGGCAATTATAACGGAAATAATAATAATAACAACAATAATAATAATAACGGCTACGCGCCACGGCCCCCTCGTCATGGAGGACGGATGAATCAGGATCAGTACATGCAGGGATACAACAACAGCAACAATAGCAACAACTATTTCTCACAGCAGCAGCACCAGCAGCAGCAATATCCACAAAATGACAACTATAACTATGCACCCGCATCCGGCTCCGGGTCGGACGTGCTGGCAGCAGACGCAGACCCAAACCACCCCGGCGACGACGTCAACAGCCATCCCTACCGACACCATCAACAACAAAACCAACAGCAAACTCCAACAGAAACGTACGGCTTCACCGGCTTCAGCGACGCGCCCGATCTCGACTACCCACAACACTCTCCCCATAGCGGCGGCGGCGGTTACAACCATCAGAATAGTACTACCGGTACTGATGGGAATTACGCGGACCCATCTGGCAATATTAATAATAACAATAACAGCTACAACAACAACAACGGTAGCGGCAATCAAGCACCTCCTCCCATGGCGAGGAAGCCCGTTGCGGCGTTCTCGTCCCCGTCGCCCGCCCCTACGCCGCCGGTGGAGAAGAGGAAGAGTTTCTTTAAGCGGTTTAGCAAGTCGTGAAGGGGAAAATCCTGAGGCCAACAGAAAAGGAAGAAACAAAGACCGATTTTTAGCCCTACCTTCAAACAAGGGGTTTGGCACTTGTGGTTTTTTACGGAGACGTCGCTCTGGTCATTTCGTTTGTTCGCTCGATGTCTAAAGAACCAGTCAGTCAGTTTTATATATAACCTTAACCTGGAAAAAAAGAAAAAAAAAAAAAAAAAAAAAAAAACTAAACGATCCACCAACTAACTTACTTCCGCCAGGTGAAATGGAAAGTTCCTTTTTTTGAGAACAGATACCACCACGCATACATACATACCTACGTATATAGAGACGTACTTACGTTACATACAACATCCTGTTTATTTATTGATTTTTCCTTCGCGCTACACCAAACGGAGGACCCCCCCTACGCGCATTATAGATACAGATACAGTCTGGTCTCTCTTTCTTGCCTTTCTTTGTTCTCTTATTCTTTCTTTTCCTTACTACTTACGAGAAACATGAAACAAAAGGGGGACACATTACCTGGACATGGGAAATCGGACACGGGAAGGGAGGATAATGACAACAATCAATGGATAATGGATAACGGGTGGGATTGGAATAATGGATATGAATATGGGATACCTTGATGAGGGAAAAAACGGGGGAGGGAAGGGAGGGGGAGGGGAAACGGGACAACATGATACATACCTATGTACACTCTTCTCTGACTTGATTTTTATTTTTATTTTTATTTTTCTTTCTTTTCTTTCTTTTGTTTCTTTCTTGTTGTTGGTATTATGTATTATGTGGGTATACGAGTGGGAGTTTTTGTGTTTAGAAATTGAGATGTGTACTTACCGAGGCACTACACCTGCTGTGAAGAGGGGAATGAAGATGAATACCAGATCAGATGATATCTGAGAGATGATTTGTTCACTTGAGGTGGGAGGTTGAGGGAGTTTCATTTCTTGTGACATTTTCTCATTGTTGATCCTGACTTGAGACTTGATAAGCACTCAGTCAGAATATGAGACTGGCTGTCACTGACAAACGAAACATACAAAAGAGCTCAGCAGAATGAAGTATTTAAATAAGTTACTTAATAAAAAACAATCTCATTCTTCTCTCTTCTCTCATCAGTCTCTCTCTCTCATTCTCTTAACAGAACTTGTTAAATTCTCTCTGGCTCCGATGATGTAAACTAGTGATTAAACTACTTCATCACAGAGTCTCTACTTGATAGTTTTTCTCTCTGAGAGAATGAAATGTTAAGAGAGAGCAGATTCAAAACTCTGCCGGCACGTTCTCTCTTAACACCTAGGCCAAAAAGACCGGAAGACGGCTGGCTCCTTGCCAGCCGCGCACGGCACCCATACTTATAGTGGTGGCTCGCCTGCTCCCGCCCCCGGCGCCCCGTGGCCTACCGTCACAACTGCCTCCCTCTATTATAGGGTTTGTCCTGAGCCCTGTCCAGCCATAGCACCCCGCAGGCCGCCAAGCAGCCAAGCAGCCAAGCAGCCAACACACATCTATCTATCTCCTCGTCTGGGGCCACTTTAGAAAGCTGTCTAGAAACAAGCGCATATATATCGTGCAATAGGATCGACCACATGGGAATAAAAAATATTTTCCTGGTGGCAGACGGTTGATGAGGGAAATGTATCACCACACGGGTTATTTGCTCATTTAATCCGTATCAAAAGAACAATGAGACAGAATTTGTTTTTACTTATCGGCAGAGAATAATAATAGAATGTGCCAAGCGAGGCCGGAGGGTTGCCGCCAAACCAACCTCGTATAGTAGAGTACATCCGTACACTACATTTCACTAACGCTACTCCGTACACTAAACGGGGATTTATTAATACTGCAGTCTTCCATCGCACAATTGTATCATTTATCCAAATATGAAACTTATTCAGCGTCTCTGCTTGATATTTTCGGATTAGCGCGACGAACTAAACTCCTTTAGACTTCTACCAAGTTCCTCCTTCAGACACATCACACATGCTCGCAACATATCCATGGATATTATATGAAGAGTTTCTTTCTACTTCAGTGATATAATTAAATAGAGAATCGCATATTGAATTCTCTGAGATATCTATAAAAAGTTCAATCACAGCTGCTATCTTTTATCTTACAGCGTATATAATTTAGAGATATTCACTGAATGCAATACACACACATAGCTGCTAGATAATTAATATGAATCAACTACTCATTATATTACCAACAGGAACTCACTGACACACATACACACATAACATACATACAAAAAAAAAACAAACAAATCTGACAAGTATCTTTCACTCTACTCCTCCTTCCGCTCCCTCTTCTCCCTCTCCTCCTCCTCGCTCTCACCCGTATCCTCACGCGCAGCGATGATGAGATAGATGATCAGAACGACGTTTACTGAGATGGCGGCGAGGCCGCCGGCGTATGTGGAGTCTCCTGTGGGGTTGTTGGGGTTTAGTTTTTCCATGTAGGAGGGTTTGGCTGGGGGGGGGGGGGGGGAGAGGGGGGAAGGTTGAAGAGGGTGAGCGAGATGGGATGAGGGATGAGGGGTTAACATGTTAAAAACAAAAGAAAGGAAGATCGCACCTCCACAGATCGTATTCAGTGTGCCGTAATACGTGCCCAGCGGCGCGCAGATCATTGCTATCGTAACTAGAATGAGTTTGATGATGACGGGTCTAGAGGTGAGAATAGATGGGTTAGTTAGTTATATTAGCTGTGTGTGATGTTTCATGTTCGGAAAGAAAGCCTTGTCCTCTCATTCCTTTTCCTCTTAGTCTGTGTGGGAGAAAAAAAAAAAAAAAAAGGTATTACATGTCTTAGTGGTATATAGAGAATAGGAAACCTGAAGCGCTGAAGAGATGCTACATATCTATATCTATATGTATGTACAAGGAACGGCTAAACAGCAGGCTAAGTAGGAACGAGAGAACACCTGATGGAAGAACCAGGCCGGAACTCCATGCCAGGACAAGAACTGACAAAAATAAACCACAAATATGCATGTATAGTACATTGCTCAAAAGGAAATAACTTACGAAGGATATCCGTTCTTGGTGTCTGCTGCTGCTGCTGATGATTGCGCCGCTACAACTGGAGCGCTAACATCGTCGTTCTTCGTGGCGACGGCGGCGGCGGCGGAGCGGCGGGTGGCCATTGTTCTTGCACGAATCTGGAAGCGGGTAAATCGAAAACGGAGTTTCAGTGGATCGCCGCGTGGGGAGTGTGTTTGTTTATGATGATGGTGGTTGTGGTTAGAGAAGGACCAGATATATGTATGGTGTTTCTTTTTTTGTTTAATTATTATTTGTGGTTGGTTGGTGCTGGCTTTTTATTTTTTGAGAATGGCGAATTGAACTAGGGAAGCAAGCAATGCAACCCTGGAGCCTTTGGGGTTTAACGGCTGTCTGGGTCCCTCATTGGGCTGTGGTTTATAGAGCTGGTGCATTTCTAGGGTATTACTTTACTGTGGTTAGTTTATGAGGAGTGTGTAATCGTAGAAGTTGGTTTCAGGCCGTGTTTCACGCGATCCTGTGTTCGAAAATTGATACTATTATACGCGTGTTGGTTGTGTTGACAGAATTTACTTACATATTGCTTTGTTTTGATTCTATTTGAACCATGGTATTGTAGATAAAACCTAATATGATAACTGTTACACTACTCTTCTTAAATGCCACATGCAGAAAACCCCCGACGTATCTCTCTCGACTACACCGTGTTTTACCAGCGTGATTCTCTTCCTCTGTACAACTGTACATGGCTGAGGTTGATATTACCGCATTGGGAAATGGGGTGAGAGGATGAATCAGCAATCATATCTTATCTGCACGTGATCTATCGCGGAAATAAAGTTTCCCCGTGACGCGCGCGTTTTTCTGCCGCAAACCACGCGAAGAAGAAGCAGCCAAAAAAAGCTCGGAGAACGGTTTCTGGCCGTTTTTCACAATTCCCGCCGCTGATTGTTTCTCTCGCTACTCCTGATATGCTCCCTTTTCTCCCCAAGAAGGCTGCTGGTCAGGTGGAGCTATAGGAGAGCAGAACTCTTTTTCCATCTGCAAGGCCCTGAGAGATACTTCTTACCTCTTAAGAGCTTTTTGCAGCTAATTTGTCGTCGTTAAGAAGGCCTGAAAACGAAAAATATATTCAGGCTCCGAGGAGCCGTTTTGACGATGGAGGAACTTGTCCCTGACACCCCCCTCCGCAATCAGAGGGCTGACATGTCCTCAATTGCTGCGGGGTCTGATGCTGAGCACGATGACCAGGGTAGCTCGGAGTTCGAAGAAACCGTTGCAACGGTCCCTCTATACAAACACCAGCTGCCAACGCAAACATTATTCACCCCCTCAACACAACAATTCACCCAAAAATCTACCCAACCCACCCAGATAATAGACCGAAACCCCAACCATCTGCTTTCCCCCTCTGCGCAAAACTCTTCTGTCGTCCAAGTCGCCACATCCTCGCCGCTGGCTCCCAAGTTTACCCCCTCCCGTCCTTACAAAATAACCCGGGCTGGAGTCTTGTCGAATTCAATGGCCCCCATCGGGACGCAGTTTAGGCCTCCACCAATGGTAAAGGTCCCTATTAAGAGACCCCCTGCCATTGATCTTGACGACGAGGGCCCAACCTACCGCGGCGGATCTTCAGACGAGGACGATATTCAATTTGTTGGAACTACGGATATCAAGCGATCTACATTTGCAAAGAACCCTAAGAGCCCTGATAAAGAACGGATTCTGGAGTCACCAGCTGCTGTGAACGGTGCTGCGACTCGGTTCAAGGAAATTACCGCATCCGCCTTCTACAACCCATCTGCAAATGACAATAATAGAAATGTGTCTGGAAAACGCTCAGCGGACAGAATGTCCTCTGCGCCTGACTATAGATCAGGGTCGCCTAAGCGATCGCGGCAGGAAGATACTTTTACATTGGATGATATTGAAGATTACCAGACTAGAATTAAAGTCCAGCGCATACTCAATGTCTTGCCGGGCAAGTCCATCCAGCTCATCCTCAACACCCTTGTATCCAAGAGAGGTAACTACGAAAATGCCCTGGAACATCTAGCAAGCATAGAGGATTATCTACCCACGGACCCCATCTCTGACGACGAGCTAAGTCTGGACCGCCATACACCCCACGTGGAGCCAGCGAAACAACAGATTAAGGCGAGAACACGCATCCAGGATAAGTGGACTTCAAGCCAGAGACTTCCAACCCAAAAGAGTGGGTCTGATAGAGATGCCTCAGCACCCCGTAAGCGGTTGATCAGGGGTCAAAGAATGCGTACTTCATCTCCCCCATCCAGGGCATCTCCTGCTCCTGCCAGAGTCTCCAAGAAGCCTGGAAGGCTTATTAAAGGCAGGAAATCTAGACCACGATCAGAATCTCCAGAGATACCTATAGTTGAGATAGACTCGTCTGAGTCCGATAACCATGAAGATTCCGAAGACGATAGTATTCTGGAATCAAAAGTCCTTAAATTTTTCAATTCATGTTCCGTGGCAGATCTATCCGACATCGCTGAAATCCGGGAAAATATTGCCAACACTATTATCTCAAAACGTCCGTTCAAATCTTTGAACGCGGTTCGTCAAATCACCCAGGAGGACGATTCGATTGGAAAGACTTCAAAGGACAAGTCGAAAAAGTATGCTAAGAAGCCGATTGGGGACAAAGTTGTCGACAAGTGTCTTGACATGTGGACGGGTTATGAAGCTGTGGATGCTCTTGTTTCTAAATGCGAAGCACTTGGAAAGCCAGTTGCAAACGAAATGAAACGATGGGGCGTGGACATTTTCGGCACAAAGACACAAGGCGAGCTTGAAATAACTTCTTTGGATACCAAGAACACGTCAGATGGGACCCATGATTCTGGAATTGGCACTCCTTCCAGTGGCTGTTCCCTGAGCGTCGACGATGACGAACTCAAACCCAACAATAACTCGCGCAAGAAACAGCAGTATATTGGCCAGCCAGCAATAATGAGCGAATCGATCACGATGAAGAATTACCAGATTGTTGGGATCAACTGGCTCAATCTTCTCTTCGAGCAGAATTTGAGCTGTATCCTTGCAGATGATATGGGTTTGGGGAAAACCTGCCAAGTCATCGCTTTTCTTGCCCATCTCTTCGAGAAAGGAGTCAAGGGGCCGCACCTAGTGGTAGTTCCCTCTTCGACTCTGGAGAATTGGCTCCGTGAATTCTCCGTGTTCTGCCCAAAACTAAACGTCATGCCTTATTACGCTAACCAGAAAGTTCGAGCTGAGATTCGGCAGCAAATTGAAGACACGAGGGACTGCATCAATGTCGTCGTCACGACTTACACAATTGCAAAGGCCAAAATAGATGCCGCCTTCCTTCGTTCCATGGACTTTTGTGTTTGTGTATACGACGAGGGCCATATGTTAAAGAGCAGCAAATCCGTGCTCTACGACAAACTAATCCGCATTCCGGCCCAGTTCCGGCTATTACTTACCGGTACTCCCCTTCAGAACAACCTGCAGGAGTTAGCTTCACTGCTTGGGTTTATCCTACCGTCAGTCTTTAGAGAGAGAAAGGAGGATCTTGAGTACATCTTCAGCGCCAAAGCCAAGACTGTCGACGACACACATGCGGCGTTACTATCCGCGCAACGCATTGCTCGAGCAAAATCCATGCTCACCCCCTTCGTGCTGCGGAGGAAGAAGCATCAAGTGATCGATCTGCCGCCCAAACTCACCAGCGTGGAATATTGCGAGATGAATGAGGCACAGAAAGAAATATATACTCACGAAGTCGAGACCGTACGACAATTAATTGCAGATCGAGCCGCGGGGAAAAAGGTGGGCAACAAGTCTGCCAACATCCTCATGAAACTACGCCAGGCCGCCATCCATCCCTTGTTCTACCGACGTCACTACGACGACAAGACGCTCAGCCGTATCGCCAAAGCATGCATAAAAGACGAAAAATGGGCTGCATCGGACCCGGACCAAATCTACCTTGAACTATGTGCCTACAACGATTTCGAAGTCCATACCCTCTGCGAACAAAACCCAACCGCCCTGTCCAGATTCATACTTAAAAACGACGAATGGATGCACTCTGGCAAGGTGGACAAGCTCTGCGAGTTATTAACCCGCTTCAAGGAGAACGGCGACCGCACTCTCGTCTTCTCCCAATTCACCATGGTCATGGACATCCTCGAGCACGTCTTACAAACGCTGCAAATGCGCTTCTTCCGCCTTGATGGCAGCACCAGCGTGGAAGATCGCCAGTCCACCCTTGACGCCTTCCACGAACAAGTCGACATCCCCGTCTTCCTCCTGTCAACCAAAGCTGGCGGCGCGGGTATTAACCTCGCGTGCGCGAATAAAGTTATCATCTTCGACTCTAGCTTTAATCCGCAGGAGGACGTGCAGGCGGAGAACCGCGCGCATCGGGTGGGCCAGACGCGCGCGGTTGAAGTTGTGCGGCTTGTCACCAGGGATACGATTGAGGAGCAGATGTATGCGCTGGGACAGACGAAGCTGGCGCTTGATCAGCGAGTTTCTGGAGAGGATGATGGGGGGGCTGCGTCGGCGAGGAAGAGCGAGGAGGCTGGATTGAAGGTTGTGGAAGAGATGGTGATTGCGAAGCTTAAGGAGGAAAAGAACGATGAGGCTGGTGAACCTCCTGCTGCTGCTGCTGGTGGATCTGAAAAAGTGGAAACAGCAGAAATATCTTGATAGAAAACTATTGCATTCGCCTTCCGTGCGATGCGCTCCGCTACACCCAAGGGCCGTTTTTCCATATTTCATCAAGTTACCACACATTCCGTCGATAGCCATATGCATGGTATGGCCGAACGAACCAAAGCCGACACAGAGGCGTTCTAATCCTCCTTCCCTCTTTAACCTACTCTCTTCGAGTGCTTCACGGAAAGGTTTTCATTTTTTCATTTTTTTTATTTTTACCCTCATCCGCGCGCCGTTCCGTCTCCATCAAGCCCCTTGCGAAAACGCCACGAAATTAGACAGCCGTTTCATCGGTCGCGCCCGCGCACCCCGCTTATGCTGTAGACTTTGCTGGAACTATTACTCCCCCGCGCCCGCCCCCCAACTCCTTTGGGCTTGCCACATACTTGCATCCCGTTTCGGTAAACATTATTCCTACGGCTGGGCTGTTGCCGCAGTCCTGTCAGAACTTTTCGCAAACCCCGGAAATACACCCATGTTTGTGGATAGAAAAGAGCAGTAATGAGAAGAAGGGTAGAGAGTAGAAGAGACGAGATTTCTTGTTTAAGATCCGCTAAAATAATTCCATCTGCTGGAGGGGGTTAAACCTTGGCTGGTGTCCCCGCCCGTTTCTCTTCGTCATTGCCTCTACGGAGTACTTTGTGTTGGATTTTCGGGAGTATTAAGAATTGGAGTTGAAATGTACGCGAGAAAATAAGGCTTTGTCGATAGATAGATAGATTTCTTTTCTTTCTTTTTTTCGCCCTCTTTTCCTGTTTATACATCTTTTATCCTCTTTATCTGCTTAGCGGGATATGTAAAGATTAGATCTATTTTTTTATTATTTTTTATTATTTTTGTATCCTTTGTCAAGCAAATTATAATGGTACAGGAATGATATTGTAGACATACTCCCTCTTTTTTTGACCCTCCTGTACCAACTACCATCGTACTAAGGATATATCCTGCCGCAATTTACAGTGCCAATGTTGGGAAATCTAGACCAAAACATGTACTGTACTCCGTACATACCCCATAATTCACTCCTCTATTGCCTCGCTTGCAATGCGAAGTACGGAGTAGATGTGTTCCTATTTGCTCGGCTCCACTCTGGAATGATCTATAATCTATTGCAGCGTATATTCCCGCTCTACTATATGTATGTTCCGTTTCCTGCATGTTGACTTGCAGTCTGCAGGGGAGGGCATATTGTATACAGTATAGGCCAATTTCTTCTCCCCGCACGCACTCCACAGCCGAGAGAGAGTCTGTGGGGTTTGGAAAATCCTTCGAGGTTGACATTCTAACTAACGAAGTGGTAAGTTAGATCGATGCCCCCATATTATTTATGTTTTGCTTGTGTGTTTTTTCCCGCTTCCTTTCCGCGCTTCGATGTTCTAGAACTGCTGTCAAAAAATAGCCCTCTTTTATGCTGCCGCTGTCAAGGGTGGAGAGAATATGCAGATGCAACACCGGATGTTCTAGTATGGTTTATGCTGTGCAAGCAAGGAATCATGGGAGCACCAATGTGGTAGTATCTCCGCATGTCTGAGAGTTCCCGAGGCCGTTCGAGGTAAATATGGTATCTTGATGCTCTATCCCACTCGCCTTGGATAGTTTGTTTGCTCTCATCGACTATTATCACATGGGCCACGCGACCAGCCAAGTCGCTCGGATTTCCGCCACACCGTCGTATATACTAAGACTAGCCAGGGGCAGTTCGCTCACTGAAGAAAGCAGGCCGCCAACCCAACCCAGCGCCGAAGAAATCCGCCCGGCAGCAAGTTCCCTTGGGTTTTTTTTTTTTTTTTTTTTTTTTTTTTTTTTTTTATTTTTTTTTTTTTTATATTTTTTATAATTTTTTTTTGGCACTCCGGCATAGATATCGTTACATTGCTTGAATTCGAGCACCCAAAGCGGGCAATAAGAGAGGATGCAGCAGGTGGCTCGTTTATCCGTCCGCTTCCATCTCGCCCAGGATTCGTCCTTTTTGCCTCTGTCCCTGAACATCGTGCCCAACTCCCCAATGGGCTGTGCTGAGAACCGTGACGCCAAAACCCTCATGGATTGCGCGGGATTGCGGTAGTCGCCCGCTTGTCTATCACAAATTACCATCGTGAGAGGTTAGAGGTTGTCCACTGTGCTATCCCGAAAAGGGGAGAGTCTACCTCCTCTGTATCCGACCCGTTGAGTTCCACCACGGCTGGCTGGTTATTAGCAGGGCTTCTTCTTGACCCCAATTTCCGCGCCGAGGTGTGGTGCCCGGTTTAACACGGCATTATCAGAAATAATGTTAAATGTTGGCGTATCAAGGGAGGAAGAGGGGTGGGTAAGGATAGGGATGGGGATTGCAATAATCCCCCGCTCTTGGAAGTTGGGACACGCTACGCTGCGTATGTTCTTCACCCAGGACTGGTTGATTCCTAGACCAGACCATTGAACTTGTATGGGCTATTCTTCTTTTTTTTTCTATATCGATACACCCCAATCCCTCCTCGACCAGATACGCAGGAACTCATCGAAGCTAGTAGTTATATGAAAGGCGATCTTGTGGTAGTTTCTTGAGGCTGATAAAAAGGAACACAAAAAGTCATAACGATCTACAAAACAGCCCGTATGGAAGCCAAACAGAATTGCTGTTTCCTTGTGGCTTGTTTCATTCCTCCTCTGAGATCCTTTCTCCAGACAATTTCGCTGCCATTCGCCTAACCCCAGGCCCCACAAGGCGCTGCCGATCGTCCTACGGTTGAAGACTTCGCAAGTTCCCCCTAACTAGTAACTAAACTAACAAGTTCCAACTGCTGCCGGATTCGCCGATGGAACGTTATTGCTTGGCAGGATCAGAACAAAATTTGAACCTTTTTTCAAAGCTTGTTCCTAGTTCCAGCATGTGGTGGGACGCGCCTCATGTTGTCATGTTGGGGAACAGTGGCACGATGGCCTTCGTTGCACTCAGGCACAACCCCGTTCAGATCCTACAAGGCCCAAACTGGAATTTGGGGATTGGACTTGCTATTAGGCCTCCAACAATTATTACCTCTTGTCCTACAGACGGAGTAAACTTCAACTAATTCTGAAAGCGACGAACTACCGGAGCGCACTGAATATCGGACCTTGCTGTCAACTGCTGGGACCTGACCTGACATCATTCGTGCCCTGATGGGATGTCCAACTTGGCACCCGATTTTGATTGGCAAGGGTCACACTGTCACAAATGCGGAGAAAAATTGCTTCTTGCGTGACTCTCCCTCGAATCACCATCGAGCATAAAATCTCCTCGACACTGCGCAAAAACAAGACTATCTCCAACAACCCAGCTTTAAAAATATTACGCCTATCTGGCAAATCAGACACTGCAAGTTGAGTTCCGCCAAGGGACCCAGAGCTGAAATATCTATGCAAGATGGGAGCTATACCCGTTTCCGTAGGTGGTATGAGGACGGCATTCATATCCTTGGAATATACGGTCAACAGCACTAAGGAATGATTAGCGGATGACAGCGGGTTGGAATTTTGTCCCTTAGCCCCAATTAGGGACGATTCACAGTCCTGTACAGACGTTTCCGCTACTTTGTTTTTCCCGACAGCGGCTGCCGTCGCTCGCATGACGGTTGTCGGGGAAAATGTATTCGACTATATAAATCCTCAGGATGCTACACTTCGTCCCTTAACTATTTCGCCTTCCAGTTGTACAGAACGGGCCGTTGTTTTGGGACTTTCCACTTCCGCCGCTTGCCCCCTTCCCCCCCCCATATCCTGCCTTTACTTTCATTGAGATACTGCTGCAGTTTACGCAGTAGCTAGGACTACTGGCCCATCCTGCAAAATGAAGGTCCAATTACTTGCCCTCGGGGCTGCCCTTGGAGCACATCTGGCTGTCGCTGAGACACCAGATGTCGAGACGCAAGGTTTCCCGGGTTTTCCAGATTTTCCAGATTTCCCAAAGTTCCCTTTCCCGGGCGATTGGTATAATAGATTCCGCCAGGTTTCCCCTGTATGTATATCCGCCACTGTCATGCGAAGTGAAGCAAGAATGCTAACCACCCCGCTTTTTTTTCCCCCTATAATAGGAAAAATTGATGTGGTTTATTCGCGAAAGGGATCTGAAGGCAGGAGCCAAAAAGTTAGAATCTCTTGCATACGCTTCTCCTGGACGGAACCGGGTTTTCGGCACTGAGGGCCATGAGGCTACCATTGATTACCTCGTGAAAGAGCTTAAGCGGACCCGTTACTATGACGTGAGCAAGCAGGAGCAAGTTCACCTGTGGAGCAAGTCCGAAGCCACATTGAAAGTCAATGGCGAGAACAAGGAGGTTCTTCCTATGACATACAGTCCGTCAGGGGACGCGAAGGCGGAGCTTGTCCTTGTGAATAACCTCGGATGTGTTCCTGTAGGTGACAACCCAGTAGTACCCAAAACGGAAAATAAGGAGAAATACAAGAAGCAGAGAAGGAAGCAAGCACTGAACATGAACCAATTTTGCAGGCAGATTTCCCACCAGAAGTGAATGGCAAAATCGCGCTGATCCTTCGTGGCGAGTGCCCGTTTGGCCTCAAATCCGCTCTTGCCGGCTCAGCTAAAGCCGTCGGTGCCTTGATCTATAATAACATCCCCGGGTCCCTTTCAGGGACCCTAGGTGCTCCCTCTAACCCCGCAGGCCCTTATCCCCCGACCGTCGGTGTTTCCAAGGAAATCGGAGACGACCTCGCCGCGCGCTTGGGATCGGGGACTTTGATGGGTGAACTGTTTGCTAACTCACAGTTTGAGAACCGCACGACGTAAGTAGGCTTCCCCAAGGCAAATTATGGGTTGTTGGAATTAAAACGGGATTATTTCACCATAGATATAACGTCATTGCAACCTCGAAGGGTGGAGATAAAAACAACATCATCGCGATTGGAGGACACTCCGACTCCGTTGAGGCTGGTAAGTACATGCACATTTCCCCTCTCCCACCACAACCACCAGCAGCAACAATATCTAATATACCCGCTCTTCTCTCCCCTTTCAGGCCCCGGCATCAACGACAATGGCTCCGGCATCATCGGCAACCTCGCCATCGCCAAGGCCCTCGCACGATTCAAGGTCCCCAACGCCGTCCGCTTCCTCTTCTGGACCGCAGAAGAATACGGCCTCCTCGGCTCGCAATACTACGTCGACAACCTCAGCCCCGAAGAACGCGACAAAATCCGCCTGTACCTCAACTTCGACATGACCGCCTCCCCCAACTACGCCTACATGATCTACGACGGCGACGGCTCAACCTTCAACTTCACCGGCCCCTCCGGCAGCGCCGAGATCGAGAAACTCTTCCAAAAATACTACGAGGACCGCAGGACGGCACACATCCCCAGCGAGTTCGACGGGCGCTCCGACTACGACGCCTTCATCTCCGTCGGCATTCCCGCCGGCGGCATCTTCACGGGCGCCGAGGGCATCAAGACGCAGGAACAGGCCAAGATGTTCGGCGGCACCGCCGGCATCGCGTATGACTCCAACTACCACGGCGTGGGCGATGATGCGAACAACGTGAACATGAAGGCGTGGATGATGAATACCAAGGGCGCGGCGTATGCGCTTGCGACCTATGCGCGCAGCACCAAGAGCCTGCCCCCCAAGGACCCGCCGCCCAAGCAGGCCCGCGCTCTGGGCACTGGAGGCGTGAAGCCGTTCAATGGCAAGTGTGATGATATTCACGGCCATGGCAGGAGGTGTACCTATTAAATTTAATAGGTAATTCCTTTTTTTCTTTTCCGATTTCTTTCTGTTCGATGTTCCTTCTTCCAGTACAGAGGTGTTTTGAATCAAGCGTGCAGCCATGTCGCATCCGTGGATTGAACGCGTTGCTTCTCCATTTGGAGGACACATATATGAAAGGAGAAAAAAAAATTTAATAGGGTGGAAACCTAGGGGGGGTGTATATACGTAACAAATATGAATGACAAAAAATAATGTGTGAACTGAATACATTCATTTTTTCCCCTGCGCAGTAGGGTATATATGTACTCTTGAAGTGTTAAATCAAGAGGGTGAAAAAAAATTGAAATCTAGAAGCAGCCAAAATAAATGAAAATGAAAAACACAAAGTAAAATCCCACAGATACAACGCCGGTATTATGCAACATTATGCAACATATTGATCTAAGACGCTGAATAGCAAAGATGGACCGAGTGTGGTTGGATGGCGAGTATGGATAGATCGGGTATTTTCGACAGGCATAATGGGTACGCGGAGCGCAAAGGAATTGGGAGACATTCATGAATATCAATGTAGGGGAACAGGCGCATTTTCCCCAGCAGGTGGATGCGCAGCAGCAGCAACAGCAGCTGTTACAGCAGGCATATCGACCAAGACAGCAGCAGCAGAATCTAGTCCAAGAGGCACATTATTCTCATCATCGCCATCCACCACGGGTGTACCCCCCGTCGCTCTCTTAACGCCTCTATCCTTACCCATTCTGCCGCCCGATTGACGAGCATGAGCATGAGCATGAGCATTCCCGTCACCAGCACTGATACCCGCGGCCTTTGCACTCTCGTTCGTCAACATCGCCTTTTGCACTGCGGGACTTTTAACTTTCTTATTCTTATTCTTCTTATTCTTCCTCTTCTGAAGACTCACCGATTCACCTTGCTCCTCAGCATCAGCATAAGCATCAAGCGGTGTCCGCCCAATAATCGCATCAACCTCCTTCGCCCGCGCAATCAGATCCTCAAACCCCAACACCCGACAACCCTCCTGATACGACTTGGACTGCTTCGCCGCATTGAACGCCCGCTCCTTCCCGGGAATAAGCATGTTGAGCAAATACTTGGTATTCCCCCACTTATTCTCGCACTGCAGGCAGAAATCCATGTAGGCATACACGATGTCGCGCCAGGGGAGGAGCCCGCCTTGCGCCCCGCTGCGGAAGCAGGACGAGTTCGCCTCCGCGGAGGTCGCGATCATGGCGCCGTCGACGCCGTATTCGGACATCAGTGCGAGGCCGTGGTCGCGCGACTCGACGTCGCCGTTCATGAGGATGGCGACGCCCGCGGCGCGGCAGATGGAGGCGATCATGGGCAGTTGGGCGCGGATGGCGCGCTCGCGCGGGCGCATGGGCGTCGTGCGGCAGTGGACGGTCAGGCCCGTGATGCCCGTGGCGCAGAGGCGGGTGACGAGGTCGCGGGTGCGTTCTGGGTCGGCGAGGAGGCGGATTTTGACGGAGATGCCGATCTGGTACGGGTTCCCGATCTGTTGGACGAGGGCGGTGAGGATGGAAACGAGCAGGTCTGGGGTCTGGAGGAGGGCAGCTCCCATGCCGCCGCTGGTGCTGAAGGGTTTGGGACAGCCGGCATTCACGTCTATGCCGGCAACGTCTGCGGCGATGATTTTGGCGGCCTGGACGGCTAGGTTTGGAGAGGCGGTGCCGATTTGGAAGATCAGTTTGCCGCTTTCGCGGTGTGGGTCGATGCGGTAGATTACGGATTCTTTGGCATTTGGGGTATTTTGGCGCCCACCGTTGGAGGGGAGGCGGGTGAACTCGACCATGGAGTTGCGCGGGTTTATGCGACGGGTGCAGCCGATCAGGGCTCTGTCGATGGTTTCAGGGCCCCAGACGAGATCCGCGCCGTATTTCAGAGCAAGGAGGCGGGAGGGCAACTCCCCTGAGCGGACCATGGGGGCCAGTACTATTTTACCGCGATAGTCTACGCCATTTTTGGGGATGGGGACGCGGGGGGTGAGTGCAGGTACAGGGTGAGGTGATTTTGCGATGGACCCCATGATTAGTTGAAGAAACCTTTTGAACATGGCATTGTTCGAGGACACTGATGAGAGTCAATCTCAGAGGTGAGGTAACAGGACCCAGACACAAAAATATATATGAGGATGTTTGCTGGATATCAGATATATTGCTGGGTGTGATTCAATATATTGAGGAAGTTGAAGGATTGGCCCAAAAAGGCAAATTTCTATACAGATCACGTGGAGATAACGATATCAGTTACATAAGCATTCGTGTGTTTAACGCCAAGAAATTGAATCACATGATATTCCCCGAATTATTCCCGATATTTTATTTTATTTTATTTTTTTTTTGGCAAAAAATAATGAGACACAGTATCATTTGATATATATTAATTGGAATATCTTGGATATGGAGGCGCAATTGGCGGGTACGATTAGGTGCTCGACTACTCTATGCTTTGTGCTCTCTTCGCAAGAATAATCGGCGATGCAGCCCGACTTCGGCTTCAGGGATCACAACCAGTGGTTAAAAATATCCCAGGCTGGCGATATTTAACAAGAGCGCAGTAAACAAACAGATATATAATTGAATGAAGAGGATATTTTGAATAGATGAGCAGAATAATAATTGCCGTAACAAACCTACCTACCTACCCGTCATCTTCGGGAACAAGAATTTGCCAAATATTTAACCCACAATACAATCACCTCGGCCACAATCAATTTCAATCACCAAAAGCTCCATTTTGCTATTATAAATAAATAATATTTACTTTCAAAGACCCAAACCATTAATTATTCCGACCCGGGGAAATCCAATAATATATATAATCCAATATATATATTATTCTCTTTCCCTCCTCCAGCTCCAAAGCATACAATCAGTCTCTGCCGCCGTCGCTGCTTGCCACATGTCCAAATACCTGGCCCAAACAATCCCACTCGCGCCGCGCACACTGAGCCAATTAGTCTCGTCTCCTCTGCTCCGATCCCGCCCAGGGCCAATTGCTGCTGGATATCTGCAGCGTGGTGTCATTGCTGGCGGTGCTGTTGCTGCTGTTGCTGCTGGTGCTGCCCGTCGTCAGTCGTGGTCGTCTACTAAGCTGGCTCCCCCCACATCTTTTCCCCCCTCCTCCTCCTCCTCCTCCTCTTCTTCTTCCTCTTCTTCTTCTTCCTCTTCCTCTGCTCCCTCTTCTTCTCTCATCCTACCCCGCCACCACCAGTTTTCTCCCCTTCGCCCGTCTGCCTCTTCGAAGCGTGTTGCTCTACTCTCCAGACATTTCTCGTCCTCCTCCACTATCGCCGAAATGTCGTACTCAAAAGCCCCCTCCGAATACTCAGTCCGCAAAGTCGGCCAACCAAACACCCTCGACTTCCGTGCCTACATTGAGCGGGATGGACAGCCCATCTCGCCCTTCCATGATATTCCGCTCTATGCCAATGAGCAGCAGACCATTCTGAACATGGTGGTCGAGATCCCCCGCTGGACAAATGCCAAGCTAGAGGTGTGTGTGTCCCGTCTCGTGCCGTCCTGTGTGTCGTGTGTCCTGTGTGTTATTATGCTTTCAAGATGTGCAGGGTTCATATGAAGTTGGGGGTCTTTTTTTAACCCCCTTCCCCTCCTCCAGTGGGGGTTGATGGTGGTGGCTGGTGGGGGAGGGAGGGGGGAGAATTTATTCAACAAAGAAGGACAAGAAACAAGAAGCATTAACCCCTCGTTACGTTACTAATTATTCCTATTATTATTCCAGATCTCCAAAGAGGAATTCCTCAACCCCATCAAGCAGGATGTGAAGAAGGGCAAGCTGCGATATGTCCGCAACTGCTTCCCACACAAAGGCTACCTCTGGAACTACGGAGCCTTCCCCCGCGTAAGTGCGCCCAACTCCTCCTATATCCATCCCCTATCCCAATTGCTAAACCAACTCTCCCTTTTACAGACATGGGAAGACCCCAACGTCGTCCACCCAGAAACCAAAGCCAAGGGCGACAACGACCCCCTCGACGTCTGCGAAATCGGCGAGCTGGTCGGATACTGTGGCCAGGTCAAACAGGTCAAGGTGCTCGGTGTCATGGCCCTGCTCGACGAGGAGGAGACCGACTGGAAAGTCATTGTCATCGATGTCAACGACCCCCTCGCTCCCAAACTCAATGACATCGAGGATGTCGAGCGTCATCTCCCTGGCCTCCTGCGGGCGACCAACGAATGGTTCCGTATCTACAAGATCCCCGATGGAAAGCCTGAGAATCAATTTGCATTCTCGGGTGAATGCAAGAATAAGAAGTAGGCTTGCTTGTCTTCATTTATTTTTATTTATTTGTTTCTTTTTCTGGTTATTATCTCTTTGTTGTTACTAACCTTCTCTCTCCCCCTTTTAGGTACGCCATGGAAGTCGTCCACGAGTGCGCCGACGCCTGGGACAAATTGATGACCGGAAAGAGCTCTCGCGGTGATATCTCCCTGTATGTTGCCTCTCTCTACAATATATTGCTGTCCCTTTATTCGCCGCTGCCCAGAAGGAAAAATGAGATCTATATACTAACCTTCCCCCCACAGCGCAAACGTCACCAAAGAGCAATCCCCAGACCGCGTCGATGGCAACCAACTCAGTGCCATCCCAGCCCACCAAGAGCTCGCTCCCGCCCCCATCGACGGCAGCGTCGACAAGTGGTTCTTCATCTCCGGTGCTGCCGTCTAAGATTCTTTTTCGTCCCTTCTTTTTCAAACCTTTACCCTCTCCTCATTTCCCCCGCCCCCCTTTACTGTTGCTAGGCGGACCGCCCCACACCACCTTCCATCCCATCATAAATTCAACCTGTTTCCCCTGTTTCCCCCCTTTTTTTGGGTCTATTTTGCCTTAAGCCTCGTGCTCATAAATATGAAGAGAATTTTTTTTTTTCTTTTTTTTTTTTTTTTTATCATCTTGTCTCCTGTCCTTTCTAGAGTCCTAGCAAAAAAAGAAAAAAATTCCTTTCCTTTCGGCCCGTTGCATTTCTGTGCTGGAGGGACCAAAGGAAAGAAAAGAACAGAAAAGAAAGAAAAAAAACGCATATATCAAAAAGTTTAATTATTTATTAAGTTGGATGAAGGTGTGTTTGGTGGCAGAGCAAGGATAGAATCGGAAAAAGCCAGTGCGTGATGATGGGAAGCTGGGTGGATGGATTGGATTGGATTGGACTGCGCTATTTAATGGCGAAATACCACCTGCATATTTGGGCTTGAATAGACATGAATACAAAAAAATATATAAAAAAAAATATAACCCTCTCTTTTAAATACAGCAAGTTTTGTGACTCTTTGTCCTGATGCTCTGCTATACACAGAACTTGATCCTTCCTGGCTGGCAAGGCGAAGACGGTGGAAAGTAGAATCAAATTACGCAGCAATTGCTATACGAGATGGGAAATATCGAAAAAACAAAATTTGTACAATAACAGTGCAACAAAAATGAGCATCACAGACGCCTTATCCCGCTATGTCTAGGATAAATAATACAATATACAAATATACACAGGTTTGATACCGCACAAATCAGTCCTTGACTGATGTCGACTCCCAATCACTGACTTGCCCGTCAAGTTATGCATTTCATAGACGCTGCACTAGCTTTTCCGTCAACGTTTATTAATCCATATCCTCTCCCTCCCTCACTGCCTTCACACAAACCCTACCTCCCCCATCATTGTCCCCAGAAGACTCGTAACAGAAACCAAATCCACAACGCCCACACAGAGCCCTCCTCCCATCTCGTCAACAGAAAAATAGACAGGCAAAACACCCACCCTTGCCCCCGGGACGCCCAAACGTCCCCCCCCCCCCTCCCCTCTACCCCTTCAAACTCGCCTCCTTAGCCAACACCCTCCCCACCCTCCCTACCTCCTCCACCACATCCCGCACCCCCAACCCTAGTCTGCCAACCTCAAGCCTGAGCTCCTTCCCCCCCTTGAACCCCACCGTCATCTCCGGCAGCTGCTTGGAACCGCGCGGCAGGTGCTTGATGTCGATCTTGATGTGAGTGGGGGAGGCTGGGGAGGAGGTGGAGGGGTTCTGGAGGAGGGAGACGAAGAGGCGGCAGGGTTTTGAGAGGGGGCTGAAGGGGGAGAAGGTGGTGCGGAGGCTGGTTATGGTGTGGAGGGGGATGGGCATTTTTGTGGCTTGTTAATTCGTTTTTTGGATTTTGGATATGGGTTTGGTTTTGAGGGTGGTTTTTTATTTTATTTTTGTTTGGGAGGCTACGAACTCTGTAGAGAGACCTGGTTAGCTTTTGTATTTGGTGGTAGTTCTTGCGAATCGGGGGGCTAGAGGATGGGGTGAAGCGGTGGATGGGGGGTATATATGTACCTATTTCATTAGACTATAATGCCGTAGCTCGTTTCCTTGTCTTCAATTGAGATTATGGGTGACAAGACCGACCCCTCCTTGTTCGCTCGCTTTCCCGGGTGTGTAGGAAGCTTTAAGCCGGCGGTGGAAAGGATCAATTCAGCGGATAGAGAAGGCGATGATGAATTCAAAGCGGATACAGATTAAACGGTACGCGACGTATGCGGCGTATTTTCAAGCAGAGGATGGGATGTGGAGGAATTGGATCTGTTCTTCTGCTCCTCTTCTGACATCTCGATGCGGCGTTGCGACTTTTTCGAGATTCCGGGAAGAAAATGCCAAGACATTGCCAGTTGGTGCCGTGTTTGCATTGTTGTCAAACATCTCTCCCCCGGTCATCGCCAGCATCGCAACTTGCCAGCTTTAAACACCCAGATACATAGTTAACTAACTGCCTTAATATCAAAGGTATCGTAATCAGACAAACATCGAAACGGCATAGGATCATGTGAGGTGGTCGAGGTTAGCATTTTACTATGCTGAACACTGTGGTATACTCTAATCCGAAATCAAGCAAACATCACCGCAGGTATAACCTCCCATTATATTTACAACCTACGTGCACTGCCCGCGGCAATCATGATCTCCCCGGGCCTTCAAACCCGCATAACCTCCCTCTCAACAACCCACAAACAAACCATCCCCCTAATTCAACGTCTACAAAACCTGCCCGCTACCCCAGGCACCGGCGACGATGCACGCCTCGACCTTGCTGCGGAGATCCATCTCCGTCTAAAGGAGATGGAGGAGCAGATGGAGTTGCTGCGTGTTGAGCTGGAGCAGTTGGAATCTTCGCGGAATAGGAAAAGGGAGAGTGGAGTTATGGAGGCGGAGAGGGAGAGGGTGGTGGTTGTGGTTGGGAAGCTGGAGGAGGATTTGAAGAGGTGGGTAAATAAAATGGATATAGATATTTCTGGGGGGGCTTTGTTTGGTTTGTGTACGTTCGACTGACTTGTGCTACGGGAAAATAGTGCTAGGATACAATTCCGCAAAGCGCAGTTGCAAGCGAAACGAAATGCGGAGGCTGCGAGGCGGAAAGAGAGACAGCTGTTGTTTGCTAGGGCTGAAGGGGGAGAGGGCGGCAGCGAGGGAATGCGGCGAAAAGGCCGTGCCGGTCTTACGCATGATGACCTGGTAGCCAGTGCTGCGGAAGATATTACTGCTGCGCTGCGGCGGACGCATCAGCTTATGCAAGCGGAGTTGTCCAGGAGCCAGTTTGCCCAGGAAACACTAGGTTTGACTCCCTTTCCTTCCCACCTCCCTTTAGTTTGTTCGGGCAGAGCAAGTGAGTGTATATTGAACAAGTCCGGCCCCAGAACAATCTACGGCGGCGCTTAGTTCGCTCTCGGAATCGTACAGTACCCTCGACACACTCCTCGCCTCGTCCCGCTCGCTCGCAATATCGCTGCTCCGCTCACAGAAATCGGATACATGGTACCTTGAAACTGCATTTTACATATTAATCGGAACCATCATCTGGCTCGTGTTCCGGCGCATACTCTACGGCCCTCTCTGGTGGTTGCTCTGGATGCCCTTGAAACTGATGGTTCGGATGATATTCCCGATCCTAGGCGGCATAGGTTTAGCAAATAAATCTTCCCAGATACCAGGTTCGCCCCTAACATCGTTATCACTGAGTAATTCGGGGGCTAGTGTCCTTTCAGAGACGCCGTCGGCGGTGATTAATGGAGCTACTTTGAAGAGCGCATCGGCATCATCGTCACTGTCATCAGTGGATGCTGAGCAGACGGGAACACCGCAAGCGGAGAATGAAAGCATATTGGGTGAAGTAGAGAATATCGTTAAGAAGGGAAGTGATAATCACGAGAAGGGAACAAATGTAGATGATATATCCCCTGAAGAAAGACGGAGACAGGAGCAGTTACCTCGGAATCCGAAGAAGAGGATGCATGAGGAGCCGATCAAGGAGGAGAAGAGAAAGGATGAGCTGTGAGGTTTTCTTTTTGGCTGTATTTGTTTATAGAAAGCACTGAATAGTTAAGTTATGAAGTGATGAGATATGAATATCATCTTAGAAATATATCTCCTTCTGATAATTAAAATACAGTTCAGTTCTAGTGGTTTGGAACTTGAAACTTTCTATAGAAGTACCTTTCCTTACAAATTTGGCGATCTGGTACTTATAGTAGGGTGCCGAATCGACAATTGTAGTCGCGTCTCCACGTGATCCACGCGTCCAACGCGAAACTTCCAAGAGCTTCAGCTTTATTTGATCCAACATAATCATTTATGCGGCGGTTGTTCTTAAGAGACCTAACCTTGGACCTTTTTACAATTAAATTTCCTCTACTTATATTTTGACATAACAATATCCCGGATTTTCATATTTGATTGGCTTGGTTACTCTCATGTCGAATTTCTTCAACAACAGAGCTCGCGCCGCAGCTGCGGGGGGCGCTCCCAAGGCAAAAGCTTCAGATAAAGAGGGTGACACCACGAGATTACAGCCATGGGTTGAGAAATAGTATGTCAATGGCATTCATATATCCGCATGAATCGTGCAATAGCTAATTCTGCGTGCTGAAGCCGACCGAAAACCCTCGATGATGTCGCATCTCAGGAACATACCGTGACTGTTCTACAACGCACATTACAAGCCTCAAATGTAAATTTATTCCTGGCCAATTTCCTAAAAATTCCCGTTGTGTTTCACTATATGCTTACGATTTCATATTTTGGACAAATTGAAAGCTACCACACATGCTCTTCTACGGCCCACCAGGGACAGGAAAAACCTCCACGATCCTCGCCCTGGCCAAATCCCTCTTCGGCCCGCAACTCTACCGCTCCCGCATCCTGGAACTCAACGCCTCAGATGAGCGTGGCATCAGCATTGTCCGCGAGAAAATAAAAGACTTCGCAAGAATGCAACTATCACACCCGCCCGCCTCAGACAGCGCCTACCGCGAAACATACCCCTGCCCGCCCTTCAAAATCATCATCCTCGACGAAGCCGACAGTATGACGCAGGATGCACAATCGGCGCTTCGCCGCACGATGGAAAGGTACAGCCGCATCACTCGTTTCTGTCTCGTGTGTAATTATGTCACGAGGATCATTGATCCGCTGGCGAGTCGGTGTAGCAAATTCCGCTTCAAGGCATTGGATGGCTCCGCGGCGGGGAGCCGGTTGGAGAAAATTGCGAGAGTGGAAAAATTGAAACTTGCTGATGGGTGTGTGGAGACGTTGATTCGGTGTAGTGAGGGTGATTTGCGCCGGGCCATTACGTACTTGCAAAGTGCGGCGAGGCTGGTGGGTTCTGTGGGGGGCAAGGATGGAGGTGGAGATGAGGAGATGACTGATGTTGGTGCTGGTGAGGATGGTGTTATTACTGCGAGAATCATTGAGGAAATTGCTGGAGTCGTTCCGGACGATATTATCGATCGGTTGATTAAGGCGCTGCAACCGAAAAAGGGCCGTTCGTCGTATGAAGATGTTGCCAATGTGGTAACCGATATTGTGGCGGATGGCTGGAGTGCGTCGCAGATTTTAACTCAGGTATGTGTGTGTTAAAACTTCTTTTATTTTCGTGTGTTCCTAGAAGATATCCTGCGACTAACGAGAGGCGAAAAAAGCTATATCAAATCATCGTGTTTGACGACTCTATACCCGACATCCAGAAGAATAGCCTTGTTTTAGTGTTCTCTGAGTTTGATAAGCGGCTCATTGACGGGGCGGACGAGCACCTCGCCATCTTGGACCTGGCGTTGAGAATATCAGAGATATTAGGGCGGCCTTCATAACCATGGCGTTGGCTGCAGTGGTTTATTGCCTATACATACTCTTTATGAAAATGCAAGCTATGATTCATGATCTATTTTGTTGGAGCGGTTGCGTTACATCACAGGGATAACAGTATTATTCATAACAACGGGAAGTTCATATATTCTATTTTTTCAAGCTTCGCTTTCGTTTTTAACAGTATGTATGATGAAATGGTCTTCTATCAACCTTTCGAATAAAGTATAATAAAATATCATTCAGGGGCCCGACAACTAAATAACAGTAGAGTTCGGTTCCTGCTCCCGAAACGCCGTCACCAAGATCTCGCCCCACCACAGGTATGGTATGGTATGACGGAACCTTCATGTACGCTGGTCGAGAACATTTCTGCTTCATTCTATCTTGTCATGCACATCATCAACGCTGGATGAGACTGGCTGTCCTTGTTTAATTGAAACCCGTCATATTATTACACTGTTCGAACAAATGGCTGAAACGCCTAAATACCTTACGGGTGATCCGGCGGGCATCCAGGAATTTCTGGATAAGTTCGATGTAAGATACTCCCGCTTTTTGGCTTCTGCTCAGTTTTCGACTTTATTATTCATATTGCTACAAATTATTTGTAAAAGGACTTGATTTTTGATATACATACATATACTGAATTGCACTTCCATAGGTTTTTCTCTTTGACTGCGATGGTCTGTAATCTCTCCGAACATTCTCCCACGCCGTTACCCCCCCGCATTATCTATGGCTGGCTGGATTCCACCGAAAGCAGACCGTATACTGAGAAGACAAAATGATATCTAGGCGTCTTATGGTCAGGAGACATCCTATTCGAGGGAACAGTTGAGACCTTGGAGATGCTGAGGCGGAAAGGTGTGTAGACGTATGTATGTATGTGTGTGCATCTTGGTACACATACATCCCCGCAAATACCAATCGCGGAGAATTGCTAATAATTGGAGGATGATACCCATCGCTGGGAAATAATTCAGGAAAGCAAATTATCTTCGTTACCAACAATAGTACCAAGTCCCGCGCGGATTATAAAAAGAAACTGGATGGCCTGGGAATCCCCGCGGACATTGTACGCAACCTGAAATCCTCCCGCCTCCTTCTCCTCCCAGCCTACGCGACATACAACTCCTAACTACCCTACAGGAAGAAATCTTCTCCTCCTCCTACAGCGCCTCAATCTACATCTCCCGCATCCTATCCCTGCCCCCAAATAAACAAAAAGTCTTCGTCCTCGGCGAAACCGGCATCGAGCAAGAACTCAGCGCGGAAAATGTTCCCTTCATCGGCGGCACCGACCCCGCTTACAGGCGCGACATCACGCCTCACGACTTCGGCCAGATCGCCACCGCTGAACCCTCCCTAATCGACCCGGAAGTCGGCGTCGTACTCGCCGGCCTCGATTTCCACATCAACTATCTGAAACTGGCGCTGGCGTACCACTACCTACGGCGCGGCGCGGTGTTCCTTGCGACGAATATCGATAGCACGCTGCCCACTGCGGGCTCTTTTTTCCCTGGCGCGGGCACGATAAGTGCTCCTCTTATAAGGATGTTGGGTGGTAAGGAGCCTGTTTCGCTCGGCAAGCCGAGCCAGGCTATGATGGATGCGATAGAGGGAAAGTTTAAGTTCGAGAGGCAGAAGGCCTGTATGGTTGGTGATCGGTTGGATACGGATATTAGGTTTGGGATTGAGGGTGGGCTGGGGGGTACGTTGGCGGTTTTGACTGGGGTGAATAGTAAGGAGGATTTTACGATGGGGTCGGTGAGACCCACGGCATATGTGGATGGGTTGAAGGATTTGCTCAAGGCTGTGTAGTGCTGCTGAGGTTTTGCTTATGTTTGAAGGTATCATAGACTTCGACATTTTGCGGTTTACTAGATTTGTTCTGATTAGAGACGGGTCATGAGAGTGAGAGACCTCATGTAGTATTTTCATGATACTCCATATAGACCAGCGATAGATGAAAGAATATAATTTCTGGACACTTATTCCTTGTAAATCTATCTTCATCGAAGGAGACTACTTCCTTCAATTCAATGCTCCTCTCGGTCCGTCTATTATACATTTCTAGTTATGATACATTGGTCCATGCAAGGGAAATGGCTAAATATCGCTTTGGAAATGCCTATCCTATACTATATACATGCATTATGATTGGGAATAAAACGGCCTTCTCAGGGTCCATCATACTTCATCATATAAAGTTTCAGATTCCAGAGCCAAGAAATCATAGAGGAGGGTGCTCTTTCTCCCGGCCGGTAAAGGATTGCAGGGTGTTGGAATATATCTGCATGATGACGGAGATCTTTCAGCTGGTCTTCTGTCAGGAGAGTAGTGAGGTCGAACACTGGTACTATCGAGCCTATGGCAGGCAGAGCGACGTAATTAGGTAGCTTGGGAAATACCTTGGCTGATTCCGAATGAGCTTCTGGAGCAATAGAGGCTTCTGGACGGCTTGATTCATCTGTCGATTCTACTTGCGAAGTAGAAGGTATGTTGGGATTGTCTTCTTCAGCTGCTGACTCTTCCCCTGGTAGAGAATTGTCAGTGTCCTCCGTCCCTGCCCTCCTCGATATAAACACCGCTCCCCAAGCTACATGCTCCAAGTCTCCTAATTTCCGCAAATTTTCCTCCAACCCTTCTTCTCCAATAGCTTCTATCCCCGTGTCTAGAACGGTCCAGTCCCCCGATTTCTCCCCGAGTGGCCGTAGCTCCTTCGCCTTCTTCAACCATGCCATGACCCTCTCCCTCATCCGCGCCAAATAATAATCTGACATGTCCCTTCGAAAAACATAAGTCGGTTTCCGCTGCAAGGGTCCCTTTGGTACTTTCCAATTAGTAGGGATAAGACGGCCCGGCTGAGTCTCTTTCATTTTAGAAATCGCATCCAACACCTCTACGCTACTCGTCATGTGGAAGGTACGAAATTTGTATCGTGGCGGAGGAGATGGAGGCGGTAGTATCGCGTCCTCTTCAGGAACGCCATCGCGCGTCTCTGATGATGTCGTTGGCATTCTCTTCGCGCTCACTCTCTGCAGTTCCTCCTTAACCAAGTCCACAGGCATGATCCATGACCTCTTTGTCTTCGGGTGCTGCACCAAGCCCCAGTCTCCCAGCAGTTTATCTGGTATCCGGGCTCCAGTTGCAACGCACATGCGCACAGGGCTTGCTAGTATCTGCGCCCACGGGTTGTATTTTAGGCGGTCAATATCCTGTTTTCCCGCACGGGGTTTCAACTTGCTTCCCCTTTGTTCTAGTCTTGCGACAATGGGGGATTTGGGGAGGTACTGCGAAGGTGGCGCATGTGTATGTGGTATATCTTCTGGCTGTATAGGCAGGCCTGGTATGCTCTTTTCTCCTTCAGTGGGTGTAGAAGGGCTAGACGATTGCGCAGTTTGTGGTTTACTTTTCAACTCTTTAGCGAGTCCGGAGATTTCAGCGTGCAGACTCTCGAGCTTGGAGAGCTCTTGCATTCTTCGTCGTCTTGGATTTCCATGTCGTTTCTTCTGGTTAGGGTTTGGTTTGGGGAAGTGGCAGCTAGAGCTTGTCATGAAGCTCCGGCGCGCTGGAAGAGTGGTAGTCACTTCGATGGCCAGACGATGGAAGGTCTTTAGACACAATGATGCATATGAAATGTGGCAGTATGGACATCTTGTAGTCATTGTTCGCGCTGTCCAACCGCTGTAAAGGTATCTGATTTTTTTTCCGTTGAGGTGGTCAGTCCATTGTTATTGGCATTATTGTGGCTATTATTTACTTAAATAAATATTTAGCCGCGATTGAGGTTTTGCACATGGAGTAAATATTTAGGCTTGGCATCGAAGCCTGAGACTGATAATCATTGAAGAGTTCAAACTTGCAACCTCACACTCCCTTTCGACGACCCCTGCCATTCTTGTTATCTCTGACTCCTCTACCTCATTTAGGCTTTAAGTATCAAGGCCCAAAATGAATTCCTTTAGATGGCTCAGACCAGCAGCCCGGCAATTATCCCTCGCGACGACTAGAAACTACTCGAATCGGCCGAGTCTAACTCCGCCGCGGGGATGGACACCCACTCCTTTCGTGACTGAGACTGTGGTAAGTTCTATATTTTTGGACTGCGGAATAAGACCCTAGAGGCTAACTGATCAGGGAGGTGGCTGGCATACATGTACGCATTGAGCGCGTGTGACGAATTTATCACCTTTTTCTCAAAGCAAAACGAGCGCTGACAACATATCTGTACGAAAGATGATATCTTCTCCCGGTTACTTAAGGTATGACATAACACCCCAGCTCACTCAATTATTACGAGAGAGCCTTGCAGACTGCTAATGATATTTATAGGAGCGCATAGTCTGCCTCAATGGCGAAGTCGACGAAACCCTCTCCGCATCCATCGTTGCCCAGCTTCTCTTTCTCGAAGCTGATAACCCGGAGAAGCCAATCCATCTCTACATAAACTCACCGGGAGGATCAGTAACAGCAGGTGCGGCGCACAGCCAATGAATTATTACGTATATATCCCTTGTTAACCTGGCAATTTTAATCCCTTTCTTCCCATACAGGCCTCGCCGTCTACGACACAATGACCTACATTTCCGCCCCCGTCAGCACCATTTGCGTCGGTCAAGCAGCCTCCATGGGCTCCCTACTCCTTTGCGGCGGCCACCCGGGCAAACGATACTGCCTCCCCCACTCCTCCGTAATGGTCCACCAGCCCTCCGGCGGCTACTTTGGGCAAGCAACGGACATCGCCATCCATGCCAAAGAGATCCTCCGCGTCCGCCGCCAACTCAACGAGATCTATAAGTTGCATTTGACCAAGGAGATGTCGCTGGATGAAATTGAGAAGTGGATGGAGAGGGATTACTTCATGGGGGCGCGGGAGGCGTTGGAGATGGGGATTGTAGATGAGATTTTGGATCGGAGGATAAAGCCCAAGACGGAGGATGGGGGGAAGAGTGGTGGTGGTAACGAAGGTGGGAGTTCGTAGTATTTTGTTTCTGATTTCGTCTGTGTCTGCTTGTGTTGTATGAATATGTTCTGGGTTATGTTACGTTTAGGCTTGTTTGTGCTATTTGTTTGATAGATGGTATTTGTGTGTTTCGTGTTTGCGACCTTAGATCCCTGCCCGAATTCTTATACCAGTCTTCCATATTTCGTTCCATGTTGTTTTCTGTTCCTGACAGTAGATGGTAACGTGACGGGCACAATTCACGATGTGCATGTGCAGTAAATGTACAATATGATATAGACGAAAAGGATTAATGGCGTTAGCGATATATACATGGTACAGAATTATGAATAGAGAAAGGTTCAAAAGTACGCTTCGTTAGTAATAAAGGGAAATAAAAGGATGAGTATGTCCAACCGGCAACCCAACACCGTAAAATGTCTCATGAAAAATCACTGCCCTTTACATGTGCCGCCGTGGGATATTTGCTCTCATGAAACGGTGCGCAACTGGAATCGAAAGCGTCGCTGCAGGAAGGGCACCACCATGCCATTCTGAGTCGATATTGTTGGTTGAGAATCAGTCGACCGACTGGCATTCGTTTGTGGGGCTCTATTCCACTGATCTCGAAGGGCCTGAAAGATGTTTATATCCGCGATGACCGCCTGGGCCGATATAAAAGCGTCACGAGGATGCCTGTCCCCAACCAGAGCGGAAGTTTCACGTTCATCTTCGAATTCAAGAAGTCTAGTCCTGCTCTCCTCAGCCGAAGCTCGTTCGAGCGATGGTAGGTCCTGCATTTCGATATCGTCCGCACTGCCCGGCAAGTGCGTGTCCTCAGGTGCTACACCTCGTTCTTCGGAATCATGGTCTTGTAGATTTGGAGTACGGTTTGCCGCGTCTGTTGGTCTCGCAAGCTGTTTCGTCCTGTCCTTTTCTAGAATGACGCACATCATGATAAGTTGTATCCCGAAAATTAGAAGGTCGAAGAGGAATAGGCGGAATTTTGATATTGGACCTTTTTGTCCGATGAAGTCGATGAATAGGCCGCCATGTAGATAACCTCGAGACGCCTCGCCAGCCATAGGAGCAGATGATACATAGTGGAGGATCATGCAGGCTATATTGCTCAAGAAAACAGTTACGATGGGAGGCGCGTTCGTTGATGTTTCGGGTAATGGTCCGGCTTTAGGTGTGAAGAAGATGAATTGGACTATAGCGCGGATAGTAAAATGGAGGATTGAGCAGCTATTTTGTGAACCAAAACACATCAGTATCAGAATATATATATATTACAGAGACATATCGGCGAGAAGCAGAGAACCTACTCCATATAATAAACGGCAGACAACTCGCAATAGATCAACATATCCAGGTCACGCAGCAGCCTCTCGAGCATGACCGCCTTCGAGCTTGCATAAATAGCCCTCCGTTGAGACCACCCCGACACCCCAAGGTGAGCGGGATTTCCGTCATCGTCGCGGGAGTCGTAGGGAATGTTCGAGACGTCGGCGATGTGCTGCGCATCTCGAAAGACATCCGGAGTGGTCATAGAGGGGACATGGGGACTCCAAGGAAGTGCGGAGCGATCTCAGCTTGAGGCAATCGGATTATTGCTTCGTAACTAACTACCTATTCTGAAGGACAAAAAACTGGATATTTTTTTTTAAAAAAAATAGAAAACACACCAAACGAAAACCGTCCTTGCTCGAGCAGCTGGTAGTTACATTTCCCTACTGGCGTGGATGAAAATGCGCCTGGCTGGCTTTATAGAGCTTGTAACAACTGCTTTCCCCCGGCCGCCGCCGCTTTCCCCAGAACAAACCGGATCTTCTTTTCTCCGAACCCTAATCGAGCTTCGATCCCGCCGCATCTTATCACGACAACCAACAACCAACCCCTTTTTCCTCCCTCCATCTATTCCCACTGGATTCCAGCGCGCGGGTAAGATGTCTATCTAGCTTATATTTTGTCATCTTCATAATCAGTCTGTTTGAGCCCGATCTGTTTGTTTCCGCATTTGGCTTCGAACTTCACCATCTTCTCGTTCACCAAGATTATGTGCCCGACCCTCACACTTTTGTCGGCCTGCGAGTTCCGAGCCGGAATGCAAATGCTAAGGGTCGTCAACTTTTCGACATCTATCATGATAACTGCTTGTTAGCCGTTTTTTACTTACTTTCATATGATAATGGCACTCACCTGGGTCATTCAATTTTATTCCCTGGGGTTGGACTCTTGGATTTGTACAACACCAAATCGCCAACTGTGTCTCTCAGCTGTCTACCCTTTCGCATCACGATGTACCCGTGGATCCATTTCACCTTGTCTTTGACGCTTTCGCCCTGCAGCATCCGTTAGCGTGTCCAGTTTTCATTCTGAGACAATCATTCTTGCAGTATGGGAAGTTCATTGGTACCCGTTTAATGAACCATTCAACATATCCTTTAACTCGCTCTCCCCTGCTAGGACATTTGTATTGATCTTCCTCGTTATCACGTTTGGAATCAAAAGCTCTATGCACGCCGATGCCATAGGACCATCTACTTTTGCGGCTCTCCACTATCGATTGTCCCAAAGCGTGGAGTGCCGCTCCTTTTGCAATGGCCGGCCAAGCTTCGTCTGGTACAATTACATCGACTTTCTTGTCCAGTTTGTTCTGGCAGAATTCTTTAAACTGCTCCTGAACGTATTGGGAGTCGGCCATGCCGCCGCAAAGTATTATTAACTGAGAAGTTCACCTGTCAATGAAATTGCACTCTTACCAACCATTTTAGGAGCACCTACGTTCACGGGATTATCATTATTTTTTCGAGCCATTTCGATTTGTTCGGAGACCATATCGAAGGCGCGGCTTATGACCTTGTCAAAAATTTGCGCAAGTTCCTCACTGCGGATAATGGATTTAATAATTGAGACATTCGTGTTAGGATATGCGAGATGGAACGAACCTAGTGATTTTTACTTGTCCCAATTCGTAGACGTACCCGGCAGCATCATTAATGTTCATAACAAGACGGATCAGGTGCTCTTTTATGTGTTCGTCGCCGTGGCCTGTGAAGCTCCTCTTGATTATTTCGATGTCCGCCATAAACTCGCTACCATGACCTATTTCTTTGGCAGGGAGGTTGGAAAATGCAGATCCGTATTTTATTCCCATGAGTCGATGCAGTTCGCGATCAATCATGGTAGCCCCACACTTTGCGCCTATGTTGTTTCTTATCAGATATAACGGCATAGATGCTCACGCCCGGAGGGCACTTACTAGTTCCTGTACAGGCCTCTCCTACTTCGAGGGGATTTGTCCGAACAATTTTGTAGGTTATGATATCCTAACGATTGCTTGTCAACTTTGCCGTAAGAACTTGAGGCCGATGCACTTACGATCGTTCCCCCGCCGATATCAACCACCACAACATTGTTGTTTACCTGGGAGGGCGAAAATGCCAATGATTAACGTCTTTCGAACCGACTGCTTGGAGTTATAATTGATAAGGTTGCGAATGCAGGCTCTTGATCCTACCTTGAAAATTGAACTGTGTTTCTTCCCCAGGCTGGTTTCGAATGCAGCGAGAGCAGCGGCTTCCGGTTCGTCGATCGTTAAGATTGAGTCGTTCTCTCCGGTTGCAATGCCTGCACGGTGTGCGGCTTCACATAAGGTTGTTTTATACTTCTTATCCCAGTCCGCTGGGATTGTCAATACCGCCTTTACTGGTAGCATATCCACAATTGACTGCCCATATATCGTGCTAAGCCTCCCCATGACGTGCTTATAAAGGCGTCGAAGATATTCTTCGCACAGAATCTCTGGAGTTTCCCCGTCCGGGATTCTCAATAAGCTAGGGCCCACACTCTGGGATAGAAGGGGGTCATCATTTTTAGATAATGTGTTGTCCGGAGCCATGTGCAGCTTGAACCATGATGAGCAGTGCGTTGTGGATGATAGGGCATAACCCCATCCCCTATAGTTCGAGTTTTCTGATTTGTCGTCGATCATCGTGGGGACCTTATATCTGACCTCTACATTCCCTGGCCAGGCTGAAATGATATAGATTTTCTCACGATCAAACTCGGAATGCGCAACAGCAACGCCTGCAATCGGATCAGAATGTCATCATTTATTTCTTCCGATATCCATACCTGAATATGTGGTACCAAAATCAATACCAACGATTAGATGGGCAGTTGCGGTACTATCTTTGCTTTTCTTTGCTGGTGAACCGAGCTCGGACTCGTCTTCTACTTCCCCTATGGCGGAATCCATCAGCCTACTTCGAGGCATGCTTGGCTTGACTTACTTTTGATTGTCTCTCGTTTTCTGACCACCCCATTTGGAATACCGCTACTAGCTCTTGGCTTCGACTTCGGGGTCTGGACGGGTTTTGGGGAGTCTGGAAATCATATCAGTCTCGGCATTATATTCGATCCTCTGTATATTGGCCAACTACCGTCAAGCCCAAATTGGAGAATAGGCATCTTTTCTGTTCCACCTGTTCTTTGCGTTTGGATGTTGATTGAGAGTCTAGGGTTTAGTTGAGCGATGCCGCTTCCATTCGTGTCCGAGGAGCTCCTCGATGATTTACCTGATCGAGTAAGTTAGGTCTCTTTCGCTCGTTTATCTGCCTCGTTCTTCAGTTAGCTAACAAATTGCTTTTTTCCAGGCAGGGCATCATGGCCATTTGGACACTCAGCTAGCCTCACGTTTTGAGGAACCCACTCAGTAGTAGATTTTATTTAATTTCAGGGATTATTATTCATAAACAATGAAGCAATCTTTCCTTTCTCCTCTTTTCATTTAATTGCCCTCAGTCATGCGAAACTATTCAGCATTAGCAAATTATTTCTGTCTCACTTTTTGTGTTGTTGTTTGGCGTCAGTGTCGATTGACTTCCATCCTGTTGCCTGGTGGCAACTACTTCAGTTTCGTTATTCACCTTCAAGCTAAAGCAAGATATCGATGTGTTACTCTCCATTCTCGACATCGGTTGTATCCATATACCTTCGAGCCTTGAAAAATTAACCTGTGGTCTCTTACCGCCGCACTTCTACGACAACAATTTCAACATGTGTTCTGAGGACGCCGGATCTGTGCAGGGCGATCAAAGTCAGAGTGGACCAGCAGAACGTCTCGAATCAGGGGAGCAAGGTCAAACGAGCACTAGCAGTTTCAAGAGGCCATCTGAGAACGATCTCCAAGATGGTCGTACGAACAAGAAACACAAATCCAACTACAACCCCAAAACAAAGGCTATGCTACAGAGTGAGCTTGACCAAGCAAAGAAATCGATTAAAGCTCTGAATACCAAATGTTCCCGGCTCAAACGAGAGAACAATACCTTGAAGGACCAGAATATGGAACTCCAAACCTCGATGATGGAGTTGCGTGAAGAACACAATTTACCGAAGATGGACGATAGTGATGTCCGCAATCGACTTCAGAACCTCATGAATCTCTACCGTGACTGGGCACGAGAGTATTCCCCGGAGGAGCCAGTTGATTTCGATTCATTGCCCTCTGATATGCCGCGTTCTTTACACGAGAGTCTGTTCATGCACACGACATGTTCTGGAAACCTGAAAGCCCTCAGCAAATTTACTTATGGGAAATTCATTTTTCTAAATACGTTTTTGGCGCACTTTGTCTGCTGGTTTATAGTGGAAAATCCAATATTCTTTCTGAACCGAGAATTTCAGGAACAGAAAAAATGTCCGTCTCGACAATTTCTCAACGAGCTAATGGAGTGTGTACCCAGACGTAAGTTGCACCCAGTGAACAATTGTCCGTATTTGCGCTAAACAGACTTCCACATCTAGACAAGAAAGATGCATGGATTGGGTGGACTTTGCGTACGTTGGAACCCAAACTGCAAGGACATGGTGGCAACAGCCGTATTGTTGAGTATAATGGGATTCTCAGTCGCACGACCACTTTCTACGAGAAATCTGCCCGAAGCTTTATCGATATGACGGCTGTTCTACTTAAGCCTTTAACTGAAGGAGCAGTGGCCAATCGCCTTCGGAGCTTGGTACACGTTATGGCCACTACCGGGACTATGGTATTGAGGCTCAGGCAGCAAAATTACGACGTCAAATATCTCACTTCCGATGCTGGTCTTCTGCAGGGTAAAACTTTCAGTCGCACATCTGAAACTATGGAACCACACCCTGCCTTACGACTAAAACAAGATGACAAGAGCCTCGATGGTTCAGTGATAGATTTCACTATCCAGCCTGCAATTTTTGCATCTTGGTTCGACGGACCCGGAGAAGAGGAACGAGTAAAATTCTGGACTAAGGCTATTGTCTGGGCTGGTGGATGTGAACAAATTGGCATTAAGAAAAGGGGTGGCATTAGCTGTGTAAGTGGTTCAAACATTAAGGGAGAACCTGCGTCTATTTCTCAAACTGTGAATAAACGGATTGATGAGCTGACCGCCCCAATCCAGCAAGAAAACCGCACTGAATCCTCCCAACCTGAATTTTCCATACTGTCGCCATCTGAAACGAGTTCTTTGGAACTGCTATCAGCAGTTGAAATTCCTGCCGCGAGTACATCTCACGAAGCGCAAACGAAATATTCGCCCATGAATTCCTCAGAAATATCCACTAGGCCAATGGATCATATGGCGAGCGAGGCGAAGGATACGCGCCTAATTGTTAATACAGCACTTAACCCAGCCCCAACTGATGCGGAGAGAGATGGACCAGCCCTTCTAAGCCAAACTCTCAACGCGACAGAGGATGCTGAATCTGGTGATGAGTCTTGTGAAGACTTTGTCATACAAGACAGTTAACCGGAATGGAATAAGGGAGTTAGTGCTCTAATTTCGAAATTAGGACGAGAATAATAATAGCATCCCATGTCCTGTTCTGTATTCATCGTTTGGGAGGGCCGTGGATTTTTTACAGGACCTCTTCGAGATGATATCTCCTCAAACTCCCCATCCCCTACTTGAATGGAAGACTCGCCAGATCCCAAGCTTTGCCCAGACACCCTAGACAGCTCGCAAACCAAACTGCTTCTTGTTTCACTTACAAATTCCCAAAAGTTCAACCGTCAAGCGAGAGAGTCCTTGCGCAATAGCGATGGAAATATAGGCAACCACCAAGTGTCTATCCATAATTTCATCTTTTCAGAGGAATATGGGACTGAAACTATCGTGGACAGATGGCAGTAAATTTGATGGAATAAGATTTGAATTTCTCTTTGTTTCATGTGGTTTCTTGTTTTTTCCAATTTCCAATTTCTTTATTTTTTACCCTCATTCGTCCCCATTATCAGTTTTGAGGTCTTTGTGTGCGCACGTTTGATCTGAATCTAAGCACCATGGTTCTATTTTCAACATGACCTATTTGATTCCCCCCTGTTTAGCAGGCTGCTAGTGAGATGAAGTGCTTCCGCGGAACTGCTAACTTGTTTGTATGGACGAAATTTGTCAAGTGCGTTGCATCCATGAATTCCTAGGACCACAGAAAGGAGTGGCCAAGTTTTTTTCAAAGAGTTCTTGGACTCTTATTTTGTGTGTGATTTCCAATTTCTTTCTTTCTTTCTTTCTTTTTCTTTTCTTTTCTTTTCTTTTTTTCCCCGGATTTGGGGCTCCCTTTCTGTTTTACTCCTCTCCCTATTTGCATTCACTAACTGCCCCAAATAAAACATGGCCCTACCCATCATTTTGTCTTTCCTCTAATATATTGCACCATGCAAGTGTTGTTGCTGTATCTTCTTCTATTGCAACCTGCGCATTACATCTATTTTTTAAGAGGCCTGATATTTCCTCCATGTTGGCTTCATAAACTTGATTCACTCAAGTTATGTGGAATGGGATGTGTCCTCTACAAAGTATTTCTCCTCACAGCCTGTCAAGTTTTGGAGGATGTTTGACAGCTTGCAGCTTTGATATATTTAGTTTTCGCAATTAGCAATCATGAATTGTTTTCAAATATAAACTGTCCCAGTTCTGTGTTCTGTGCAGCACATGGATGTCAATTGGCTCTGCTCTGCTTGACCAGTGCCGGAATCTGATTCATATCCTCCCCGATTTCTGCGTAAGGAGTGGAGACAGGAAATAGGTGTCTCGTTTATTATCGGGTCTGCTTGAGGGTCTGTGGATCATGACGTCGTGAGCGTAGGAGAATGATATTTAGTACCAAGCTGCAAGCGCTGAACGAAGGCGTATGCATATTGTGTTTACATTGAGTATAGATAACACCTGTGCATTGAATCCAGAGCAAATGGGCGAAGCAATGGTTCTAAGGGTAACATAAAATCTGTGGTGCAACCATAGCAACAATATTTGTATATTGAAGCTTTTATGCTCACGTTCATTCTAAACTTGAGCTTACAGGCTGCTGGGAAGGTATAATAACGACAACGAATAACGAGCTAACATTCTTTATCTTGCACTTTGAATGGTCGTCAATAGCTCGACCGCTGCGGAACTTTCCCAAAGCCCCTACCTCCCTAAAACAACTCCTCAAAAGCATCCCACTCGAAACCATCTAATCAACCAAGATCGTCCTCGCCAACCCCGAGTAATTTTGGAAAAAGCTCTCAAATAGCTTAATTGCATAACCCACATCATTCGTCCCGCCCGTTTCACGAATACTATGCATACTCAACTGCGCATTCCCCATATCCAGCGTCCGCACGCCCAGCGCAGCAGAGAGCATGGGTCCAATCGTGCTGCCGCAGCTCGAATCGTTACGGACGACAAATAGCTGCAAGGGAACACCCTGGAATGACGAGGCGGTCTCCGCACCTATATCATTGCCCGCAGAGCCGGCTAGGCGCGCACATTCCTGCAAAAGGACGATACCAGGCGAGTTCGTCGCGTAACGGGCATTCGCGTTGATTTTAATTACAGGGCCCTTGTTCATCTCTGGCTTGTGGTCCGACTCGTACTTGATGGCGTAGTTGGGGTTTACAGAGTGGGCCATGTCGGCGGAGAGAAGGAAGGAGGTTGAGAGGGATTGCTCGTAGGCTGTTGAGATGTCGACTGATGATGTTGATGATCCTGGGAGAACGGAGAGGCGGCGCAAGATTGCGGGGAGGGCGTTTGAGTCTGCACCCTGTGCGGTACGGCTACCGATTTCCTCGTGGTCGAAGAGGGCGATGAGACGGATCGAAGAGTCGTTGTCGAGAGATTTTGGATCTGTCAGGGAATTTAGTAAGCCCATTGTGGCGCAGAAGGACATGTTAAGGTTATCTAGGCGCGCTGAGAAAATGAATTCATCCAAAAGGCCGCCTAAACAAGCCTTTTGGGTATCGTAGAGGAGCATCTCAAAGTCGACGACGTCTTGAGCGTTGACGGAGAGTTCAGATGCGATTAACTCGACGAGGTAAGGGTGGTGGCGATCCGTAGTTGATTTGAGCGGAGCAAAAGGTGTATTGGACTCGGCGTTGTTTCCGTTGTCATTGCCTTTTGTTCGGATTTCTAGATCCTCCTTAGAATTTGAATCTCCATCTCTCCTGGCTAATTCTGCAGCGACTAGGCCAGCAATCGGGAATAGTTGAGTTTCTTTGTTGAAGGAGAATGTCTCCTGACGATCCAGATGGATGGCTAGTGTCGGGATACGCAGAACTAGGAACAAGTGTTAGATATTTGGCCTGATGTAGTGGTGTTGAGAGGATATATCATACTTGGTCGATCAATGTGGACTAATTTTGCCTCGATGGTCCCGTTGGCGTTTCTCACCATGGCCCTGCCCGCGATGCCCAAATCGCGATCAAACCCTAAATTCACTCTTAGCTATAAGTACATTATGCCAGGTTGTAAAGGAGACAAATACATGTATGCCAAATACCGCCACCGTAGGTCTCCACACCGACTTGGACAAAGCCATCGCCAGACTTCTTCGAGACTGGTTTTATCCTCAAGCATGGAGAGTCGGTATGAGCACCAATCATTGAAATGGAATTTCCGGGCTGATCACAAGGAAGAGATTTTAACTGATTAGCAAAGTGTATATGATATGACCATTATTAGATAGAGAATTAATACTAACTTTCCATTTTTTGCCAATTGCAAAGGCAATGATCGTGGAACCATTGCGAGTCACATAGTACTTCCCACCCGGCTTGCAGATGGATGCCCATGAATCTCTCTCCTAAAAAATACGAAGGAAATTATGGTTAGCATGAATGGTCTGTGGGTACGTCTTGTGAAGTTGAGATTTTACTCACCTTGACTTCTCGAAACCCAGCGTTGATCAGACGCTTACCAGCTGAAGCGACAGCATGAAATGCTATATATACATACTCGTATAGTTAGCTATGTATTCAAGTAAATTGAAAATAAACTAATAAAGTCGGGGGATGGAGGGGCGGGAAGTGGGAGATTTACGTGTTGGGGAAGCATTGACGAAGGACAAAAAGTCATTAGCCTGAGCTTTGAAGTTGATTTCTGTCATTGTAGCTGAAGTAGACGAAGATGAAAGTGATGAGGAGGAGAGTCTACGAGAATGGCTGATGATATGCCACTGGCTCAGTGTTTTCTGGGCGTTAGATTGAGGGTGAAGTGAGGCCTCCCTCTGGGCGTTGTGGGCGAAGTGAGTGGTGGGGTGGGCAGTAGATGCACGACCAAGTGAATGAATGCTATGGCGGGCTGTGCTAAGTGATTCTCCCCAGAGTTTTGAGATCATTCGTGGGGCTTAATTGGTAGACAGAAGGACGCAAACCTTCCTTTGTTCCTGCTGGGGTGGAGTAATACGAAGAAATAGGAAAAGCGCACCGTCAAAAGCGGAGTGCAAGAGGGGTGACGTTGTAATTAGGTTGGGATGTTCGGCCCGATGCACGGACCAGCCTGCTCGGGGTAGTCCCCGTGGGCCGGGATTCACTCAGTATCGTATCGCATAACTTATCATATAACTAATCAAGAGCTCACTTGAATGTGTTATTTTACTTTGAAGTGACATGATTTGCTCTTGTGCTAGTTTTATTTTCCTCTTTACTGTTGTTCTAAGTTACTTGAAGGATGGAGGTGAGCAGGCAGAGTGAATAACTAGGCACCTATTTTAAATCCCTAGTGACGGGATCCTATTAATCAAGTTGTGATACAAAGGCCATGATATTGTCTGGGGAGTGAAGCGAGAGATTCGGCTAGACTTCCAGGGTGAAATCCTCATCTGAGATTCAATTGTCCCTAGCAAACCTCGCGTCATTCAAACGGTTTGTTATTTTGCCTTTGGTGCGCTGCTTAGCTCTTCCCCGCGCGGAGAAAAGAATGGTGGGTCGTCCAGGATGTTGTCGGAAGGTTACGGGCGTTTTCTAGAAATAGTCGCGACTTTTCGCGATTGTTTTGTTTTGAGGCAAACTGGGGTTGGGATCAACAACGCGCTAGCAAAGCCACCCTTGCATCCCCGCAGTCCCACGATGCCTGGTTCAGCCTGAATGATAAGCACACAATGGACTTGTTGAGAAAACCACTTGAGGCCAATCATTCATTAGCCTTTGCATTGATGCTATTCTTTGTTCAACCAAAACTACTTGAAAGTAAAGCTCAATGAAAGTAAAACTACCTGTTTGAGAACTTCAAACCTCATTGTTAAGCCCCTAGATCCCAGACTCTGTATAGCTAATCTGTTGCATGTCTGTTTCATGACTGAGACTCTCAGATTACTATGTGAATGAAGCTTTTTTTCCCACGGACACTGCTGCTGTTATATCTCAGTCACATGGTATACCTAGATATTGGCAAACAAACTTGGTTCGACGGTTTGTTTGAAACCCCCTGAAGTCATGTACGCATATCTGTATCCAGCGGACGGAGATATAGAGGGGAAATGGCTTCAGATGGCTCTAGAGGCTCATCTAGTCCAAAGTTGGAAGTCTCTTCTTCAACAAGCCTACTGAAGGCAAGAATTGAGACAGACAAACAAAGGAGTGAATCCGTGGATTCACTCTGACATGGGTGACATTTAGGGTGAATAGTTACTTCCTTCCTTTCATGTGAAGAATCAGTTTGTTTGTGGAAGAGGATTAGATTTAGGTGGAACAAAACCACGACGCAAGGCGGTCACAAAAAGCGAAAGAACACACTTTAGGAGTAACTTCGTACTTAGTGACAGATATTCTTCAATGTGGTAATGGGGAATATACTGCGAATTTAGCACATCAAGAGATCGAGGAATGTTATGATAGACAGCGCGCTAGTCCCGAAGCAGAGTAGCGTTTTCGCGTAAAAGTCGCGCCTGGGGGCTCCTTCCCTTTCTGGCCATACCGGCTCGAGCAGCAACATCAAACGTCCCGAGCTGGGCCATACACACCCACACCCGCTGCTATACTCACTATCCATCTGTCGGCCTCTTCTCAGTCTGTTACGGATGTTGGTGCTTTCAGGAGTCGGAGTTACATCCTCAGGTAGCGACAAATAACCCTCCTGTCCTTGTTCCGCCTGTCTTTCCTACCCCTGTCGTCCTCCCCTGTCGCTGGGATTGATTGTTTTGCAGAAGTTTGTCGCCCAGCAAATACCGGGACACAAGAAGAAAGCCGCTCATGTCAACATTGCCAATCTATCCTATATTCGGTTCCATATATCGTCATTTTTGCTCTTTATAAGCGGTTTTCCTTGGCCGTAGATTATTCCAAAGCCCCTTACTGAACGTCTTTCCCAATTCCTCCAAAGTATCCGTCCCCCAACCCCAGATCACAGAGCTGAATAGAGCGGCGCCAGACAACCAAACCACCAAACCACTATTCGATATCCGTCAACAATGGCAGAAACCGGGGGAGAGAAAGGACGCATGATAGCCACACACCTTGCGGTTAAGAATGATTCCTCTGCAATTGCTAAACTTGCTTCTCCACCCGGCTCCAAGTCCCATACCCCGCCAACTACTACAAAACCTCGAGCCGCTATTTTCAATCCCTCACTTGATTCAACAAAACTTCGACATAGACAAGACTCAGAACCAATAAATCCAGATGCTCTTGCTCGCGCGCTTAAGGATTTTGAAGAAGCGGGCCGGCCCCGGGAGAGAACACCAGGCACGAGCCCGAGTCGCAAGCGGCAACGGGTTTATGGAGATAGGTAAGCTCTCTTTTTGCTTCTCTTGGGGGTAGATGGGATAGCCACGCATCAGAGAAGATATGGAATGATACGGCACGATGACTTCTTTGCCGTGCGGGAGGCTCGATATATTCGTTCGCCGTTTGGACTGGCTAATAGTTGTTGGCATTTTGCAGGTTCATCCCAAACCGCGAAGGCCAGGATTTACAAGCCAGTTATAGCTTACTTCATGAAGATGGCTGCCCTACGACCCCCTCAAAGGCGAAAAAGAGAACGCCCCATGGAGAGCTACATTTCCAAAAGAGTAAGTGCGGCTGTGCATACGTTATTCGTGTTCGAGCGATACTAAATAAATACTCCCATTTTAGCTGAGGAAGCCAATCGTACATACTCCAGAGTGCTTCGGAGCGAAGTCTTTGGAGATACCGTCCCACAGCCCGATCTACATTCGCTATCGCCTGACCCGATTTCTGGGTATTCAACAAAAATCCATGACCCTACCCGCTCACGAACTCCACCCTCATACAAAGCCGCTTCCTCCTTACCTCCCGCAAGCATAACTCCCTCCACTCCCAGCAAAAACCTCTTTTCTTATGCCTCCCCTCGACATGTTTCTGGAAACCCTACACCTTCTCGGACGCCTCGTAGTGGGCATGGCCCAAACCTCAACGTTCAATCTGAACTCTATAGCTTGTCCCCTATTCGATTCGATAGCCAGCGGATTCTGCAGAGCATGCGCAAGCAACCGCGATATGTGAACAAAGTGCCATTTAAAGTTCTAGATGCGCCCGATCTAGCGGACGATTTTTACCTCAATCTAGTGGATTGGGGTAGTAGTAATATACTGGGTGTGGGATTGGCGTCGGCGGTTTATATGTGGGATTCGGTGAATGGTCATGTTACCAAGTTATGCCAGCTGCAAGATGACACCGTAACGAGTGTCAGTTGGATTCAAAGGGTAAATAAATGATTTCATTGTCCTGTATTACTAAAACTTATGGAAAGCTGACAAGATTGCTCTTAAGGGGACCCACCTTGCGATCGGAACTGGGAAGGGATTGGTACAAATCTGGGATGCCGAACACTGTCGACGGTTACGAACAATGACAGGCCATACACTACGAGTGGGTGCTCTTGCCTGGAACGACCACATCCTCACATCGGGCTCCAGGGATAGAACCATCTTTCACCGCGATGTGCGATCTCCAGATCAATATCTACGGCGACTTACAGGCCACAAGCAAGAAATCTGTGGACTCAAATGGAATACTGAGGATGGACAACTAGCATCTGGCGGGAACGACAATAAATTAATCGTCTGGGACAAACTAAACGAAACACCTCTTTTCCGATTTTCAGACCACATAGCAGCTGTCAAAGCGATCGCATGGTCTCCGCATCAACATTCCCTATTAGCGTCAGGCGGTGGTACCGCAGATCGAACAATAAAATTTTGGAACACGCTTACTGGTCATCAGATCAAAGAAGTCGACACAGGAAGCCAAGTGTGCAACCTCGCCTGGTCGAAAAACTCCGATGAAATCGTCAGCACCCATGGTTACAGCCAGAACCAGATCGTTGTCTGGAAATACCCGCGCATGGAACAGGTTGTATCTTTGACGGGCCATACCTTCCGAGTTCTATACCTGGCTATGAGTCCTGATGGGCAAACTGTCGTTACGGGCGCTGGGGACGAGACGTTGCGGTTCTGGAAGATATTTAATAAGAAGGGGTTGAAGGATGATGGCAGGGAAAGTAAATACCACTCTTACGCGACTATCAGGTAGCTTGCGGGATTTTCTTCTCTTTTCCCCAGGTGACTCCTTTTACCGCTACCGGGTTTCTACCTTCGCTACATCTTTCGATCCCTCCAGTTTAACGAGGACGGGGAACACTTACTTCCACCTTCACGTGTTCCAAGCTTTGTGTCTTTGCTTTTTCGTTTTTTTTTCTCTCTTCCATTTTTCAATCTCGATCGAAACGAATATCGCCCACTTAATCCTGCTCCCCTTCTTACCTGCTTCTTTTTCTTTGTGTCACTGTTTTCTAAAGGAAGAAACTTCGATCTTTGTTCACTTTTCTCCCTTTCCTTCTTTTCTTTTTCTCTTTTCCCCTGTGCTGTATTTCTTTTCTTTGAAACCTTCTATAAGCATTTTTCAAAGCGGCCCGGCCCTACTAGAGGGAGATATTTGGAAGTCATGACTACTTTTGTTTCAGCGTTGGCGATGATGGCGGGACTTAGGGGAAAGGTTCTTGGGGTGGGCAGATAATAGGCGTTTGTCGGCGTTCAACTTCTTTCTTTCTTTTTTTCTACTTTGGTACCCTTCTGACTTTTACTGTCGCCTCCGTCCATGAGGCTGTCCGTCCATGAGGCGGCCGCTTTGTTCAATCAACGTTTGCGGTGTTTGGGGGGACATTAGAATCCGGCAATGTGAACCGGAGAGCGTTGGAATGAGGAGGGCTTATGGAATGTTAAATGCAGGAAGGGAAGGGGAGGGAATGTGATTGAGAAGTTATATACTATTTAGTATTTATTTATAATTTTACCGGTTGACTTGTTGAAATGATTTCTGTATCACCTAGCTCTTCTATTTTCGCATTTTCGTCCTGAAATAGAAAATTGACATGAGTGCGATGCATTGGCGACGTGATATTCCTTATCCCCATCCCCATCCGATGGATATTTGTTTTGCTCTTTGTTTTTAGTACATGATACCAGAAAATTGTTCAGTTTTACAGAAAACGAGGGAGCAGCAGAGTGCTAAATCGAAAGGATTAATAGAGAAACAGGGGGTGGGAAATGGGAACCCTTGGGTGGAAAGAAAAATTATATATATAAAAAGGACAGAGCTTAGTAGCAAGCTAGCTAGACACAAAATGGAACCAAAAGTACAAAAACAACAAATGGAGGAAGGATGGAAATTTTAGTAAACATATCTCAGATCGGCGCTTCCTGTTACAAGACTTTTTCCCCGGTATAGGTAGAAATAAGAGTACATAAAAAAAAAAGAAAGTTAAAACACCAAACTCTCCGGCTCATCTTGCAACACGTCGCGAAGGCGTGCCAGGAAGGTCTCGCCGCGCACTCGATCAGGTGGGGGGACTTTAATGCTGAAAATGTTGGTGGCTAGGTCCAGACCTGCGGAGTTGAAGCATGTGGATTCCTCGCCGTGCATAAGCGTGGATGCAGATGCCGATGGTAGCTGCGACTTCCCGGATAATATGTCGATGATATCTTGTTCCTGATGATGAACTTGTCGGCGTGGAGAAGCAGAGGGAGGCTGGTGTACCATGATTTCTTCCGGCGCGGTTATCTCTGGGACATAATTACCGCGGGAAGTGTGTGTGTTTGCGGCTGTGGCCTTTGTTGGGGATATCCCGAGTATTTCGTCGAATAGAACATCGGCGGATTGGGTGCGGGATTTGGTCATGGATGCTGGGAGGGCGTCGTTGGCTACATCTACGGCACGGGCGAGGAAGGTACTTAGCGGAATTGTAATGCCAAGGGTCTTCTGGAGGCGTTCTTGCATGCTAAGGACGGAAGAGAGGGATATTGGAAGAGATATTTGCGTTTCCTTCGGCGGGGAGGGCTCGGCTGGACTGGGTGGTGCCGGTGTGGTTGTCGGTTCAGGTGCCGCTACGGATTTAGCCTGCGGCTCTGCGAGACCTTGTTTGATTTTAATATTACTCAGGTCTAGATGCGCGAGTTGAGAAATTTGGGCAGAAAGGTTGGACGGGTAGTCTTGCGGTATCGCCCCTGTGTAGGCAAGTACATCGCCCTTTAGGAGCCGGCCTTTGGGACCGGAAGCAGGTATTTTGGAGATATCCGGGCCGGATATGCCTTTCTCATTAAGCAATTGCGAGACGGAAGGGAAAAGGGGGTATGGGAGATCCTGGGATTGAGTTCCTGAAGCGGTTTGGAGATCTGCAGAGCGAAGAGATATACATCAGTCTCAGCCAGCTTTGAACTGGTGAAGGAATGGGGGAGGTTTCCGGTTAAGCTGGAAATTAAATGTGTGCCTCATTCTAAGGAAAAACACGCAGTTTATTGACAAGAAAGCTCACATCTAGCAGATCTGTAGGCATTTAGACGGCATCGCGAAATCCAACATGGCATTCGTGAAACCTGAGCCATGGCACCCGAATGTCAGTGCCCCCCTCTATGACGACGGAGCTGTAGTGGAGTCGATGTATATATATACTGCTCAAATGGTAGGAATGCAAAGTGATCCTTGCAATCTGCAGCCGACGCGCCTAAAACATCAAGAAGAGGAATTAAGCGGGAAGTATAACTCGAAGCTGCAACACACGGATCTCGGGAGCCTGTCCGCAAAAAGTCGAATAATGAAGCTATTCCGCGCGGTGAAGTTCCATGTTCTCCCCAACCTTGCTGCTTTGGGCTTGGTGCGGCTGACGGCGGGCTCACTGGCCGGATTAATCGATGTTCCGCCAAGAGCTTCCTTGAATGTTCAAACTTTTGATCATCGCAACGTTTGACGGGAAGAAGCCGGCAGGTATGTATCGCGGCTTCAATTAACTCAGTCCTTTGCTGTAAGTACTTAAACTCGAGTTCTTCCGTCTCCTCTTTATTTTTATCTTTCCCGCACGATGTTTTATAATGCTATAATCCTCGACAATTGCAAATCCCAAAACCCCGAAATCTCTCCTCAGCTCTCCTCAGCTTGCTAACCATCTGCCACTATACAGGTACGTTTCCGCAACGATGTTTCGAAATCTATTCCCCCGTCATTCTTTTCCACGGCTGTCTGGTTCCGTCAGTTTCCCGTCTTTGAATTCCTCATGTCCGCCAAATTGCCATTTCTTCCCTTCAAGATCATTCAGGCGTTATCTATCACGGAAAGCCGCTCCATCGCGCGCGCCACCTAAGGGCGCGCCGGTCCTATCGCAACCACAGGGTCCAAGAAAGCCATTAGAAGATCTTTACCAAAAATTTACTCGAGCCATTTCGAAAGACAAAGAAGCGACCAAGCTTTATGCAGGAACTTCTCTTGGTTCTTACGTTGTGACCACCCGAACTACAGCAGCATTTTGTTTTCTGTATGCCGGTTGGAACTTCTACACCATCACTTCCGATCCCCTTTTGGAAGTAAGCTACTTCACTACCTATGCTATGGGTGGCATATGCATTTTGATGGGTGCTATGGGGGCCGTATTCATCCGTCGTGGAACAAAGTTAATCACTGGCATCACTGCTGCGCCTGCCAGCGGGAGTATGCCGGAAATTCGGATCAATGTACGGCGGACGCTTGGGTTTCTGAAACCCCGCGAGATAGTCACCACTCCATCGCAAGTGACGTTATCTAGCCCCATATTTGTCTCGAAACAACACCTACATACCTACGATATGAGGCGAATACGTGAAGCTTTCCAAGAACGCAACATTGGACCGCAGTTATCGTTCTGGAAAGAGCCCTTGAAGAAAATAAGTTACCTTACTTGGAAAACACTCATCAACATGCGGCGCGCTTTCACCCAAGAAGGATTCGTTTACGTCGAAGTGGAGGGCATGTCTGGTGCATTTCGCCTCGACATGACGGGTTATTTTGGCGACGAGTTTCTCACCTTTGAAAGATGTGTCGCTGAGGAATCTCGCTGATGGGAGGCAACCGATCCCAAACCCTACCCCTTGGAACCGGAACGGCCTTTCTTTCTCTTTTCTTCTCTTTTCTTCCTTTTTTCTTTTTTCCATTTGCTTCCCTTTGCTCCTTCATTTCTGTACTCGTATAATGAAGCCTTTGGCCAGTTCTCATTTCCTCTTGAATTTCTCTCACTTGTTTTCACTTTATTTCACCTTCAAGCATTACACTAAACTTCTCTAAATTTCAGCAATGTTGGTAAATACATCGCAACAACCCCCTGCCTTTTCGGGTATAGGACTCGTTGGAGAACCGCATTACAACTCGACCCCCCAAGCCATTGGAACTATGCGGGCCTCTTCTACTACTTCCGACAAAAACGCCTAGGAAAGCCGCTGCCAAATGAGTCCTTTCCAGACTGGTACCTGCAAGTGAAGTGCGGAGAAATTCCAGGTTGTTACAGCGATAACAGGACGGCTGCTGAGTGGTTTAAGGATCCTTTGCTAAAGAAATCCCCTTAGCATGTGCTCCTCCAATCCCCCTCTCAGGTGTTCCTTTTCTATGCGTACTTATTTCTACAGGCAGACGGATAGGAAATCAAAATATGATGGACGTCATGGTGGGATCTAATAATCAAACCTGGCATATATGTATATATATATATATATGCCTCCACGACAACCTTCTGTGTACCAGAGGCCCTTGCGTCTAGGACGCCATTAAGAATGCAAAGCTGAATACTTTCGAAGGTATTGAACATGCATTCGTCCTTTTTGTTGAGTTCCTTTTTGTTGAGTGGCTGTACACAAATTTATTCAACTCCACCAACCAGCGCTATCTTTGGGGCTATGAATTTGGAAAATGCTATGACACACCTGGATCCTATGAAACTACTCTTCAGAAACTGCGAGACACAGCATTAGTCCATGGATTCTCTCTTAAGGAGGTGGAATACTTTGTGCTGAGTTTAGGCCCACAAGATGATCTCAGGTGCCTAGTTGTGGAATTCATCGCCCGGCTGATAAATAGAAGGATCCCACCCCCTCACTTGAGCGACACGGAATATATTCTCCCTGAGTTGTGCTTTCCGTACTGAGTTACGCAAGAGAAGTGCGATAATTCATAAAAGGCCGGACTTATTTTAGGTCCTGAGACATTGTCGACCTTCGTCCGTTCGTCTCCTCTTTAGTCGAAGACATTCGTGGGGGAATGTGGGTGATTGTCTTTTGGATGGTAACATTCTTACATTGGTATTCCATGCTATTATCTACTTTTTACACTGGTGTCGGGACTTCTCCTCGCGCTTTGAATCAAACGGAGTTTGCTACAGGTAGCCTGGGCATAACTATGTTTCAAGGCAGGGGCTAATTTCAGATAGACACTCGACAATGGGACCCTTCATGTATTCGGGTTTCCCCTTTCCTGGTTTTCTGTTTTTCTAGCAACATTTCTTATCATCCTTCTACCATCTCCAGTTCGATTTCATTTCTCTCCTCTTTTGGATGCTTTAAAGTTACGTGATCCAGAGGCAGGACTACCATACACGAGCGAGGTCGCTATGTCTATAAGCAGCCGCAGTGGTATTTTAAATACCAGCCCCCGTAAGGACAAAGTCACTCTTCTTTGCTAGTAGTATGGGGAAATACCTTCTCTATATGCTAGCGGGCTAATTTGTTGCGATTTTGCCACTTCCTACGAGCTCGAAACGGCAGTTGCTGTGGGCATACATCCCCCATACATCGAGGTCTTCCCCAACTCGCCTATTTTCCTAAACCTTGGACACACCATGTATGCCATTCATTGCTCGCTCCTTCCTAGTTGGGATTGCCGCCGCCCTGGGATACTTTTCTCGAAGGTTTATATCAGCCAAGGCCAACGGTGAAACCGTTTTTTGACGTCATTTTTTTTTTTTGAGATCCCCCTGGTATATCTCCCACTCCTTTCTTTACAGGCGTTATATCATGGGAGCGAAATTCACCTTCGCGCCTACAATTTTTACTGTTCGCCATTCAAAGTCTCAGAGGAAAGGAGTCCCAGCAAATACATGGTTTTACTGGGGAGTGCTGCGGGGAGGGAATCCATTCTGTCGTCTTTCCCCCAGATGAATGAACTAGGTTTTAGGTTTACCATCTGCTTTGGGACGCCGTTGACACCCGTCTTTTGATGGCCTCTCAACGGTTCCCGTTAAGTTCGTTCTGCTTGCATCGCCTTATGAGTGGCCAACCACCACCGTACTGCGCTATAGTTGGGAGCTGGTCTCGCTGTAGGGGCTGAGGAACTTCATCATTTCTCCGGTAGGTTTGTATGAGTTCTTTGCTCTGTCCATATAGGGAAAATGCTCCTCAAGCATCTCGACAGTCTAATCGTTGCATGAAAGTTCAGGCGAGAGCATTTAAACCTGACTCGCCGTCGCTCTTTCTTCTCTTCTTTTCCTCCCTTTTTTCTCTATCATCATCATGTTTTTGCCAGACAGAGTCCCTCTTGCCTTGATTCTGCCTCCAGCTACTATTTGCCCAAGTCAAAGAAAAAGACTTGCTTCAGACTTGCTTCCAAGAAGACACACCGTTATTTGTACTTTTACAGAAGGTACAAACCACACGGCAAATATCCAAAGGTATTTGCTGCAGAGGTTGTCCTTTCTGTTATTTTTTATTCTCAACTTTCTGCAGTTAGCATTCCCGAAAGATCCCAGGAAGCTGCGCCATCAACTGATGAGATGATCCAGTATCTCGGAGTGCTGTGCTCTTACCTGACTCTCTTCCTGACGAACCCCAAAAAAGACTCTTCTGCTGGGGTTATTGGCGAGCCTGTTGCTGCTTCCAACGGATCAAGAGACTCCAACGGACGTGGCCCCTTCGGAGCACTTCCCAAAGAGTTTTCTTCAGAAATCAACTGATTCATTCAACAAGTCAAGCGGCAAAGACGCTGAGAAACATGTGAGCCCGAATATCCGCAACAAGTCAAAAATACATAGCTTATATCCAGATAGAATTATAAAGAAATTTCCAACATTTTTTCGACGGAAAACCTCGAATCCGGAAAAAGTAGCTCAACCGCCAACTGATCAATATGCGGCCCCCTCATGAGCACGACATGGAGTGGGAAGAAGCTGTAGAGCTCGGGGATGATCCTGCCATCGTTCTTGCTCGAAGTGGAGAGTACTGCGGCTACGGTCGTTACCGCCTAGACTCTTGGATCTATTGCCCTGGCGATCCTATTCCAGATTTCGATATGCTCAACTGGGAGCAAATCCATCGGCTCCGCAAAAAACTTTTTCTCAAGGAAGATGGGCGGCCACTCCTATGCGCCCCACCTAACGACGGATTTAGCCCTCTTCGTCAGCGCCTTGGGGAGTTTATTCGGAGGTTCAAAGAGGTATTTCGCTGATTTTTCGTTGTTGATAATGTTTATTTTTTGTCTTTTTTTGATATGCTAATTAATGTGTAGATTCTACCTAAACTGCTGGACCCAGCGTTCGTTACACAGTGGGATCCGATTTGCGTCCTCCTTAACGCTGGGCCTTCGCCAAATCCTTATTAAATCGCACTGTTTTTCAATTTTATGGTCCCGAGGGCGTGATTGCTTTTTTCTACTAGGACTTCATGCTAAAATTTGGTTGTTTATGTTCCCTCTTTGGATATTTACATGTTTTTCACTGTGTGCAATCTAAATATTCCCCTATCTACTCTGTATATATATGCACTGTACAATATGTAACCTGCGCATCCTCCCCCTTTTACCCAACACCAAATTACTACGAGCATCGTGATCTAAATTGTTTTTTATTTTTTATTTTTATTTTTTATTTTTATTTTTATTTTTTATTTTTTTGGATAAATTCCCCTGTATTATATGCGTCCCGGTTCTAAATTGTCAAAGGGTGGACCTTTTTTATTTACGTATGTCATGTTACGAACGCTGCAAAAGCTGTTCTGCTTTGAAAAGCACTGTCATGTATCTGAGTGTCCCTATTTACTTAATTAATTTATTACTTTGTTTTTTTTTTTTTTGGAATATGTTCAAATTACATACTTTCTCGTAGATTTAGTATCAGGCGTAATCATAAGTGATAAAAAGCATATGTATGGAACTGAAGTTACATGAATTTTACTAGGTACGGTGGAAAGTTGCTAAGATTGCACAGCGTCACAGAAGAAGAATAGCAACGCCCGATACGTATCGTTAACATAGCGACCCTACCTACCATCGTGCTCATTATCAAAAAGAAACAATATTTCATACATCCACGCATCTTCAAAGAAAACTTAGAAAAGGCCTGATAATGGTTGTTGTCCACCTAGATGAAATAGAAGCGAAGCTGGCTGTCATTGGCTGGAAAAAGAAATAACGTCATTCCAGCGGATCGCGGAGCAAAACGGACAGGCTGAAACGAAAATTGAGAGAATCAGCTAAATAAAGAAAACAGCGAAGGACATCATCTATATTTCCGAAGCTGTAGATTGTAACCAGGTAAGTTAGTGTACGAACACAATGAGAGAGTTGTGGACTAGAGCAAACGAAACGCGACAAATGTTTTCATGGAAAAGGGGCATACATCGAGCGTCAAACACTTGCTACTATTCGCAGCCTGGTCTCTGTAAATTCCTACCAACGCCTCGCTGTTCTGGAAGAGGCCCGTCTTCAAGCTGATGACGATAAACTGCATACCGGGTGCAGCATGGTCGCGGATATAGTTGGCAACCCGTGCTACGTTAGTGTTGTCGAGGGCCGCATCAACTTCGTCCAGCACGAAGAAGGGTGACGGTTGGTAGGAGTGTACGGCGAAAAGCAATGCCAGGGCAGCCATGGTTTTTTCTCCACCAGAGAGGTGCTCCATGTCTCTGAACCGTTTGAGGGGCGGCATCGCATGGTATTTGATACCATCAAGATAGGGTTCCTCGGAATCTTCGATGTCGAGATAACTATCAAAAAGAACAGGAAAACGCCAGTAGTCAGATAAAATGTCTTCAATATAGCTAACCAAATACTTGCTTTCCGGTTTTCACTTACGCTTTCCCGCCCATGGGATAACTAGCCGTCTTTGTTAGATCGCGATATATGGGCTCGATCTGCTCCGAGATATGCGTGAATGCTTTGTTGAAAAGCTCTGAGCGTTTCCGCATTACGGCCTCGAAGTCTTCCTTGGCCTTCCGGGCCCGTTTCCTGGCGTCTTCAAAGTCCTTCTCCGTACTCCGAAGCTTGTTCTCGACGCCTTCCAGGCGCTCCATCGCCCGCATGTTCGGTGCCATTTTGTCGAGCTCGCTGTTAAGTGATTTGACCCGGTCCTGAAGCTCCTCTTCGATCTTGTCATCCGAATCCTGTAGAAAATTGTTAGGTAACACGCATAATGATAAGTATGGGCGACGTTGGTACACACCTCCTTCAGCGAGTCACCCAAGCTTTCGAATTCAACTTCGATGCCATAGTCGTGTATAGCAGAAGCTTGGATGCTCCCTACGTTGGGATCCTCGTCTACGTCCATCGCATCGTCATCATTTTGGACTAGGTCATCAATAGGCAGGGTAGACAGTGGAGCTGAGCCCTTTTCAAGAGGAATATCGATATCTTCCAACTTGCAGCGGCGCAAAAGCGCATACCTACCGGAAGCATGCCGCTGTCTCTCGCCATCCAGTGAACTGATCGCTTTGAGCGTAGCCTCAACATTCCTGGAACGTTTCTGAACCTCTTGACGCTGAGCGGCCAGGTTTTCTGCGGATTGTGAGTAGGCTTCCTGTTGCTCCGCGAGTTCTTCGCCTAGTAACTCGAGTTCTGCGTTGAGCGTATCAAGACGATCCTTGATGGTTTTGCGCTCAGCTTCAAGTTCAGCGATGAGAGCTCGATCTCGGTCTGCCTGCGAGCGGAGTCCTTCGATACGGTCGTCGGTCGCCTGCAGCCGCTGCTTCTCGAAACTGAGCTGGTTCTCAATCTTACTCTTTTGGGTAGTAAACTCAAGTTTCTTCTCTGCGGCTTCCTGTTGCAGCGACCCTTGCTGGGCTTCGTATTCTCTGATGTTGCTGTAACCCAGACGACGGCAGAAGGCTCGGTAGACTTCATCTTCAACCCCGCTAACTGAGCTTTGGGCTTCCGCAATAGATTCATCCAGTTCTTCTAGGGCACGTTTCTTCTCAAGGTATTTTGGCTGCACACTCTTCATTTGACGTTTGGAGAAGTCGACTTCGCCGGACCTGCTTTCAATATTTCTGTCCAAAGCTTTTAGTTCATCCCGAGAGTACGCCAGACGTTGCTCCAGACCTGTAAGCTGTCCCTGAAGACTTTCTTCCTCTGCACCTTTGCGGTGAGCTTTGGGGAGATTGCCCAGGTCCGCAATAAGTTTCTCTTTTAGTTTATGCAAGTTGGTGATATCAGTATCTTCCCAGCGTTTGGATTGCTGATGGCCCGGGCCGCGTCCACCAGTCATGAGACCACCCTTGTGGATAACCGTCCCATCAAGCGTGACTGCTTTGGCATCGACTCCTCTCTCATAGCAAAGATACTTCGCCGTGGCTAAATCATCACAAACGATCGCATTGCCGCAGGCATATGTAATAGCGCGGGAGACGGAATTATCATAGTCGACCGTTTCGATGGCTGGCCGCATTCCCCGGTGCATGCCTTTCAGGCTTGAATTGAAAGCTTTCACTTGGATGGTCTCGAGTGGGATGAAGGTTGCTTGGCCTGCTCTTTGGTCCCGGAGATGCTGGATACATTCCTTGGCCGTCTTCTCGTTGTCCACTACGATGGAGTCGAAATGCCGGCCTAGGACGGTGCTGACGGCGTCTTGATATTTCTTCTGTTTGGGCTTGCAAAGCTCGCTAACCCGACCCTTGACCCCAGGAAATATGCGCTTCAAGGTTGATATTAGCTCCTTGGTACGCAACTCCTTCTCGCTTTGCTTTCGGCCATCGTCTGCCTCGAGGAGCTTCTTCAAAGTAACTTGAAGTTTCTCCTCGAGTTCGGTCCGCATCTGTGCTACCCGAAGCCGTTCAGAAGTAAGATTATTAAGTTCTTTTTTCTTCTGAGCAATTTCCTTAGATGTAGATTCAATGGCCTCTGCCATACTGGATTTGCGATCCAACATATTATTTACATCAGACTGGAGATTTTTGACCTGCCACTCTGTACTTTCGAAATTGCTCTTTAAACTGTTAACAGTCTCGGCATCGGCTTTTCTCTGGCGCTTTAAATTTGTGAGTTTTATTTGGGCAGCAGAGGAACGCTTATTTACGTCTTCCTTGAGCTTGTTATATTCGTGAAGATCGGAATCGCTGAGTTGGATTCCTCTCTTGCTTGCTGTTTTCTTCCACTCATCCTCCCACTGAGATTGAGCTTTTTCGACAACTTTAAGGGCCTTTTCGAGTTGCTTGACGGTTTTCGATTGCGCATCGCTTTCCTTCTCGATTTCGGAAATCCGGGTGGCGTACCTCGCCACTTTCTGTTTCGAGATTTCAATTTTTTCGTCGACAGGAACTAACGAATTCGTCGTATCTTCGATATCTTTTTCCTTGGAGTTAATGCTCTTTTCCACTTTCGCCACGTTCCTTCCGGCGCGAGCATGATCTTTTTTGGCTTCCTCAAGGTTCTTTTCGTATTTTTCTACGCCACGTCGGAATTCCTCCAGCTCGTCTTGGTGCTTCTGGATCTCGGCACTTGACTCCTCAATTAAGCGCTGGAAGTGGAAGAGTTTCCAAAGGATGTGTGTAATAATCGCTTGATCGCGTTCGTCCGCTTTCCTTGCATAATTTTCCGCTTCTCTCTTCTGTTCCTGATACTGCTTGATTTCGGAGTTGATACCTCTCCGTCGGTTCAACTGCGCATTTTGGATTTCCGCTGTTTCTTCCTGCTCCGCCTTAAGTCTTTCGTACTCTGCCTTGTATTCGAGACTTCCGGAAATTTGCTCTATCAAGCGGGTCAGGTCCCTTGGTGATTGAGAAGCAATGGACTCCACGTCTCCTTGGAACACCAAGAAATTGCGAGCCTTGATCAAAATATTTTCATCTTCGAGTGACTGGTTGTATTGCTGTGCGGTTACAACGCGATTGTTGATGCGATACTCGCTCACTCCTTGGCTTGTAATTGATCGTTTCCAATGCTGCTCTTCTCCTGCGTCATCTTCATACACGGCCATGACCCATGCGACTTTTGGGTCATTTCGTTCAGCGGGTTCCTGTGACGGTTCCACGTCGCCATCACCGTTCACGCCATTCTGGACATTCTTCGAGGCGGAGCCATCGTCATTGATGGTCGATGTACGAAGCACGCGCCCACGGTATACCAAGTCGCGCAGATGCGTTGAACGAAGGTGGGATGACTTGATTCCTAAAACAAACGAAATCGCATCCATCCTACATATTCGTCAGAATCAAACAGCGCACACCTGAGAAGGGTACCACTAACGAATTCGATTTCCCCGAGCCATTAGGCCCAATAATGGACGTGAAGAAGGCATCGCCGAAAAGCAGAGTATGATGCCCTTTGTACGATTTGAAATCTATTACAGCACAGCACATTAGCATCTTAACATATCATAGAATATCCCAAAAGCAGCATCTGGGGATAGAACTTACTGAAGAGCTCGAGCCGAATTAGTTTCCCCATGGTCTCTCCTCAAATCGCACCCACCCGCCGTTGCCAGGCGAGCGGGGATTCCAAGTCAAATTAAGGCGTATGACGCGGAAAATGAGATGCTTGTGGATAGCTAGGAATACTCGATATTAGCTATCGCGTAGCCTGAGGAACAATGAACTAGGTACGTGAAATCCCCATCCGGGTGCTGGGACTTTGTGGTTTCGACTTTTTGATGCTGCTTCTCGTTCGCGACGCGACCTGGAGCAGTGGCCGTAATGTAATTTATTAGTCATACTATGCCATCTCCCGTTAGCGTGCCAAGCTTCATTACGGTTGGATCAGTCTACAGGTACAATCGCGAGCCGCCATTATTTACGTATATGGATGGCAATTTTATGACATCGCCCCGGGAGCCGTGGGAGTTCTATGGTCCCTAGCTAAGGGCAGTGTAGTCGATATTGGTTTCCATTCCCTTCCCGAAGCGGAGCAAGTCGCGTAGCACCCTTACAACCACTGTCTACACTTTTTAAAGATGCAGTTTCTCGACCTACCTACCTAATGAAATATTTTTGGTCCTCGGTGAAGAACTACCCGCTTGGTGACTTGAACTCTTTGTACAAACCAACAGGCGCTTATACTCCCTTCTCGATGCTAAGCTCTATCGACTTGGCGCCAACTCCTCTCTACTCTGGGCTGCGGAGCATGGGAATGAAATTACTGCGCGTAAAGCTTTGAACGCACGTGCTTCATTGCGAGCGTTGGGGACTGATGATAAAACACCGTTGATAATTGCATGCCAGCGTGGTCATGTTAAGGTCGTTGAACTCCTTCTCAATAGAGACGGCATCGATCTCAACGGCGTTGTCAATGACTGGTCCCCTCCGGATCGCCAATTTTCAGTTTTTGGGTCTGCACGGCAAACTATGTCTCCACTTTTGTTTGCGGCTCATGAGAATCATGCAGACATAGTGAAGCTATTGCTCGACCAACCTGGCGTCAATCCACACTTTACCGACGGCTAGGGCTAGTCGGTGTTGCATCATGCAACCAAAGACGGGTGCGAGTCAGTATTGAAATTGCTCCTCGAAAATGACCGTACCCGAACTGCGGCGGATGGCGGCGCGCTGGTTCTGCTTTTATTCAATATGAAACGGTGTTCTGCAGTCTCATTGCTTCTGAGCACGGATGGCCTAGAAGTTGAGCTCTCCCAGCATGATGCGGGTGACTTGCTGCTGCTCCAGTCGTTGAGTATGGGGCTTCTACATATTGTGAAAAAGCTGCTAGTGCTTCCTAGCCGCTCAACGGAGTCCAGGTATCTCTATGAATGGACAACCCGCTTGACATTTGCCGTTGTGCGTAGCGATAAGGCTGCCGTGACCTCCCTTCTCACAAATACCGCAGTCGCGCTAACCACCAAGCCATTTTTGGGTTCACACCACTGTCGTTGCCTCTATGCATGGGGAATGAGGATATTGTCCGGCTCCTCCTTATAGCGGATCATGTCGACCCAAACATCCCAGTCGAGCATGGACAAACGCCTCTATGGATAGCTGCTACATTTGGAAACGCAGAATTTGTGAAGTTGCTGCTAGGAAATGACAAGATTTGATGTCAACCTGAGAGATCGGCACAATCAAACTCCGCTCACCAAGGCTTCAGAACTTGGGCATGTAACGGTCGTCAAGTTGTTGCTTGGACATGAAGATATTGAACCCGACACTGAATGTGACGTCAGCTGGACGACACTGGGCGGCGCTGTTTATAACGGTAACCATGAGGTTGCCAAATTGCTACTTGAGGCCAATCAAGCGATGTCAATGCGGACAAGGTGGGTCCAACCGACCTGTGGGTTGCTGTTCGTAAAAACGATCTGGTGATGGTGGAGCTCCTTCTGGCGACGGACGGAGTAGATCCAAATATCGTCAACAAACTTTTCAGGACGGATCCGCTATCGGTGGCTGTTCTACGAGGAAATGTGGAGATTGCGGGAAAGATTGCTGTTGAGAGAGGATATCAATGTGGTTCACATTGATACCGTGGCTAATACTCCTCTGGACACTGCAATTCTGCGGTTATCTGGCGATAAGCAGCAGCGTATGGTCGAGCTTCTATTGACTAAAGGGGCAGTTCATAGGCAGGAGTTGCTTTCACCGAAGGAGGTTCTAAGTAAAGCTGACCTCGTAGCGTAATGGAAGCTCTTAAGAGGTGCTAGTTTGCGAACTTAAATAAATATAACACTATGCTTTCATATCTTGTTGCGGAATCTTTCACCCAAAGCGTACGGAGTACTATGATGCAAACTGTACAGGAGAGGAGAAATTCATAGGTCCTTAAAGTTGGCTACTCTAGAACAGGGCCCTAGGGACAAAAAAGGTGATCTTTGACCAAGTGACACTTCGCACACAACAAATAGGAACACATTCTCTATATATGATATCTCCGAATGATATTGACCCAATTGCGACTACTCCGTAGTTCTTGGGCCAAACTGCAACCGTCTGACCATGTGACCTGGTGGCTTCGCGACCCAGTCCGGCTAGCGCGAATCACCAGACAGCTCAAGCTCGGATTAAAGATTAACTAAACCAACCATGTGGAAAGCTTCATGCACGATCTTCTCATCTCTCTTGGACAGCAGGCTGTTAGCATCATTTTCCCTCTTGTTGAACCACTGCGAGCATGGTGGGCATGGTGACCTATTTTCTGTCATTAGGTCCATTTAAGGGCCGGTCTGCTCTCTAGCCCTTTGCTCATCGTTCTCCTCGCATTTTCTCCGTCGTATGAGGAAGTCACAACAGGTGTAATTCACCGCATTATCCCGTCGCATACCCTGTTTAACTTGTGAAGAAACCGAGCCAATATTCTTCCCTTGCGGTTATGTCTGTGGTTATATATGCCCAGCCCACTCTTGCCTGTTTTGAATTCGATCGCAACCCAGGTATTTGGGGCTGATATTGAGGAGGAGTTTATCAAAGGCATTTCCCTCCTGTCATATTCCTGAGTCCAGCCCTCCTTGTACGGCGCCCGGCACTTTTAGGTCGAAATGTCTGAGCCTATTTCGATACCGAAGAGCAAGTCACAACCAGATCGTTTGAATGAATACGCGACTGAACCAAACACCGAAATCCTCGACGCGATAGCATATGATCGGGATGGATCTTCCAATTCAACGCCTGATGCTTCGCCGTCATACAATATTGGGCTATCGCGGACATCTTCATTTGGGGCGAGCAGCTCGTTCCAGGAAGATTGGGAGCCTTTCCCTCCTCTGGACAAACTCACTGTTTTTGATCTGCTAGGGAACCTTGCACTACCCCAGAAGCTAGAAAAATGGCAGAACACATTGACTGTTCAGAAAGAAAAGGTTAAGAAACAACAGGAAAAACTGAAGAACACAGGCATACATGCGAAGCAAAGGGTCGTGGGGGAGTGGCGCAAGCGTGTCCCGTCTTCAGACGACCAGCTGGAGAAATACCGGAAACGCATGAAAGATTCTGTTGAGCGGCTAGGTGCTCGTTGGAATGATACTGCGACAGTCACTGCTCGTGAGAAGGTTTCCTTCATCGCAGGTGTGCTTAACATTCTTATCTGTGGATATTTGCTTGGTGCTTACCCGGAATATTTCTTCTACTGGTACACGGCCCAGTTTTGTTATTTCATGCCAATACGCTATTACACCTATCACAGACGTGGATACCATTACTTCCTGGCTGATCTCTGCTACTTCGTCAATTTCTTAACGGTTTTGACTATTTGGGTGCTGCCGGGCTCGAAAAGATTGTTCCTTAGCACATACTGCCTTGCATATGGTAATAATGCCATTGCTATTGCCATGTGGAGGAACTCATTGGTGTTTCACAGTTTTGATAAAGTTACTAGGTAAGTAGGGCCTACGGAGAATCTATATCGATATCAGTTTTCTGACAGAGTTGATATCTAGCCTGTTTATTCATATTATGCCGCCCGTTACCCTCCACTGCTTAATTCATATGACCCCTTCTGATGTATTGCGCAACCGATTCCCCGCTGTCTACAGCATCAAATTCAGCGAACCAGGTAGCCCGGAACATTACTCGCTCGCCGCAATGATGATATGGGCTACCGTTCCTTACGCGGTGTGGCAGCTATCATATCATCTCCTCATAACGGTTCGTCGGCGTGAAAAGATTGCCGCAGGGCGGCCGACAAGCTTTACTTGGCTTCGAAAGTCATACGCCAAGACCTGGATTGGAAAATTTGTCCTCAGCCTCCCGCTCTCCTTACAAGAGCCAGCTTTCATGCTCATACAATATGCCTATGCGCTGCTAACTATAACCCCATGCCCCTTGTGGTTTTGGTACAGTTGGGCCAGCTCTCTTTTCCTAATGGTCGTTTTTTCCTGGAGTGTCTACAACGGCGCGACATATTATATTGACGTTTTTGGGAAAAGGTTCCAAAATGAGCTGGAGCAGCTTAAGAAAGATGTTGCCAAATGGCATACTTCTCCCGAAGGCGGCTCGACCAGTCCTACTTTAGTTCCCGAGTCAGGCAATGGGAAGATATACAGCCATGATGATATGGAGGTCAAGCAAACGGGCTCGTCAGTCCACTGCGCAGTCAACCAGATCCCGCTCCTAGATACGCAGTCAGCCCCTACAACTGTGGATTCTCCTTCAACTTCCGGCCTCTATCCTAGAACCTGAAATCACGGGTCCCACAACCCTCTTTCGTCTCTTCGTCCTTTTGCCTTTTTACTTTTTTTCGTTAATTTCTTTCGTTATGGATACCCTCCTGAAGCGTTCCCGTTATTCTTGGACTTTCTATTTTCTGCGCGTTATCTGTCGATACTGCGAGGCGAAATTTGCCCATCAGCGTGTTTTTTACCTCCTGTGTTGCCCGCCAACCAGCTGGATATGTGGTATCCATTTTTGCTTTTCGAATCCAGTTTCAATGTCTTTTTCTGGGTCAGTTATCTTTGATAATTTTGGACAAGGAGTTTTGAACCTTGCTGTTCCCCGTTGATTTATGTAGGGTGATTACCTGACATTACTAATCTGATCATGATATTGTAACTTGATTGCGTTCCAATTCCATTCTTTTTCCCTGTTTCCCCATCGAAGTCGACTTCAGATTGCTGAGGCGACTCCACCAAAAACCTGGAGATGACATAAACGTCACGTGATTGTCCAAACTTTACCTAGCGCGGTTTGCACATTGATAACCTCCGCCTGTTTCAACCTCGACCATAGCAAATCTTTTTCAACCCACCATTCTTCAAAACCCTGTTCTTGCACGCTTCGCTGTTACTTATATACCATTCAACGCATACCGGAAGTTGCTATTCGAATTTTTCTCACTCTCTCGACGCGGCAGCATGAAATCGGTTGCCCTGACCCGCAATGCGGTGTCAGCACAGAGAATGGCCGCATGTGCGTCGAGCATCAAGACAACTCTCCAGTGAATATTCAGTTACTGACCCCGAATAGTACGCTGCCGCATTCCAGGAACTCTAGGTCCTTATTCGGCCGCGACTTCACGTTACCGACGTTCCCTTCCCCAACATGTCCAAGCCCTGGCTCTTCTCCTCCCGCTCGAGCACCAACAGCGCGGCTATGCCACGCAGCACACTTCCTCTTCAACTCCCTTAGAGCCGCCATCATTCCCTCCTCCAGGGTTTAACGCAGACCAGGCGAAGAAGCCACTCCCAGCAAAGACTGCGCAGAAACCGACACCAGCATCGGTACAGCCGGATAAAACCGGAGGCGAACCTCGTGAGCAGATCCAAGTTACATCCACAACCGATAGTTCATCTGCAGAAGCGATGGTTGCGGAAGGGAAAGATTTAAACTATCATGATGTGGAAGCTGCAGAGAAAAGGACTGTTGAGGAGAAGAAGGAAGCTAAGAAACTTACATTGGGTCAGAGGATCAAGAAAGAGGCCCAGCATTATTGGGATGGGACTAAGCTATTGGCTACGGAGGTCAAGATCAGTACACAGCTTGCCTTAAAGATGGCTGCTGGTTATGAACTTAGCCGTAGGGAACATCGACAAGTTAGCCTTCCATCTGCGAATATCTTTTGATTTCCGCTCTCCTTCCATGTGCCCGACCAAGCCGGAATGATATCGCTAACGTATAGATAATAGCTACGACGTACAGTTCAAGATTTAGCTCGACTGGTACCCTTCTCTGTTTTTGTTATCGTCCCGTTTGCCGAATTCCTCCTGCCGGTCGCACTGAAGCTCTTCCCGAACTTGCTTCCCAGCACCTATGAAGGCCAAAAGTCCAAGGAGCAGAAAGCAGCTATACTTCGCGCGACACGGAAGGAGATGGGCTCGTTCCTGCAGAATACACTCAAGGAGACTGGCCTTCCAGTCAACGCCAGAAACGCCAAAAAAGAAGAGTTCGCTGAGTTTTTCAGGAAGGTTCGAGCTACTGGCGAGTCGCCTTCGGAAGAAGATGTTATCAAGGTCTGCCAGACCTTCAAAGATGATCTTACCTTGGATAACTTGTCGCGACCTCAATTGGTGGCGATGTGCAAATACATAAATCTCAATACCTTCGGTACAGATGCAATGCTTCGGTACAATGTACGTCACCGGATGCGTCAAATTAAGCGTGATGACAAAGCCATTTCATTTGAAGGCGTCGAATCGCTTTCCGTTCCCGAACTCCAGATGGCCTGTGCTTCTCGTGGACTGCGCACTCACGGCGTATCCCCGGGCCGTCTGCGGGACGACCTGTCCATGTGGCTTGACCTACGCCTCAGGAAGCGCGTACCATCGACCCTCCTCGTTCTCAGCAATGCCTATATGTACACGCAGAAGTCCCAGGAATACGAAATTTCCTCCCAGATCGATGCACTCCGATCCGTCCTGTCCAGCATCCCCGAAGAGCTCTTCCACGAAATTGAGCTCGAGGTGCATAACGCCGAAGGCGCAGCCACCAACAAGCAGCGTCTTGAGGTTATCAAGGAGCAGCAAGAGCTCATCGAAGAGGAAAACGAGCAGAACACCGAAAACGAAGAGGCTGGTGTTTCCACTCCCAAGGATCATGAGGACATCGACGAGTCGGACGACAAGAATATGGAAGCAGCTGCTCCAGATCAGGAAATCCAGAATTCAGAGGCCCAATCGTCCGAAGGGGATGCCGAAAAGCAGCAGGAGAAGGAGAAGAAGGTTTAAATCAATTCCTGGTCTCCGGAGGTAGCGAGCGCACAAGCTTGGCCTTGCTACTACTTGGTCTATATTGTAAAAACCCCCTGAATTGCTGGTGTGGCCTGTGCTAGATTCTCCCCCGCGGCAATTATTATGTCACGAAATAAATTCCACCTTGCTGCTTCTTCGTTTCTTGGCCCATTTTTTTTATTTGTATTATTATTAACATATCTTTTCTAGTATTTCCCCACGTCATTCTCGAATTCTCGGATCTGCCTGATTACATTTTCTCCCTCAGTTTCATAGGGCAACTAGCACGGCTTTGATCTCCTTTGTCAGCTTCGACCCCTGGCTTCTATCTTTTATTCTTTGGCTTGCTTAGTGCAAACGTTCTTTTTCCTCCTTCTCTTTTCCTTTGTTGTTCTTGTTTCCTGCTATGCCTTTCTTGCTTTTTCTCTTTCTTTTCTTCCCTTTTGCACATTTTTACTCCGCTTACTAACTAGTTTCCTGGGATAGACGTTGGTGTTTGTTTGGAATTAACAAGGTTTCAACAGTGATTTTATTTCTGTGTCAGAATAGATGGGTCTAGGTTGGGTTGGTGAAATTATCTCTTTGTGGTTTCATTGCTGTTCCCAACGGAAGATATTTAAATATAAATAAATTGTTTTTTAAATTGGCTGGTTAGTTGGGTTCTTGGGACATTTACACATGTTGGTACCTAGGGCGGTTATTTCACCGAGTTGTCTTCGTGTATATACAGAAATCACTTTTAAGGAGTACAACTTGATATGAACTACGTTACATACGAGGTATCTTTATCATCAAGCGCCTGAATATCTGTATCTAGCTTTAATGATCTCTGGGTGCAAAAATCACAATTATATAAAAAAGATCGTAGATAGATCTGTCCAACGCCAGATAACCTCGGCACAGACATGGGAACGAACATGGTTAGCGTGCCACCCCGGAGCAGCAACCGGGAAATAACCAACTCTCCAGACCGGTATATATGTTGGCACCGGGAGGGTTATGAAGAGACAGGCATTGTTTAGATCATTGCACACCTACGCAAGTAAGACTTATAGCGTTCAAAGTTGCTCATTATTGCGTTCGAGGCTGCTGAGAACCATGGCGCCGCTATCTCCCACATCGAAGGTTGGTTGTTTTTGCAGGCCGTCCAACCCCCAAAACAAATTGATAGCCGGCGCATTATATACCTTCTTCTTGTTGTTCCTAGTTAAAAAGCCCTTCTGACCACTCCGCCGGGATGGGATATATATTAATAGCAAGCCATCGAACGACTGAGACGTTATGTCCCGCCCCCAACCAGTTACGACTCCGTCCCGCTGTCGCGACAGGCTGCTGTGCTGCTTCTGCTCTTTGCCGATCGACGAGGCGATCTTCGGGTTATCTTAACCATCAGATCTAACACACTCAAATCATGTATGTCACGCTTGCGCCACGAGCCGTTCGTCAGGTTCTTTTGTAGTTCTTTTTGGTTGGGGGATATAACTGCTCAATTGGCAGGTTCACTAACCGATCACCCATTTTCCTTTTTTGAATATTTGAATTAGACCCCGGTCAAGCAGCACTACCAGGTGGGAAGGCGGATTCATTATCAGAGACGCCGTTCGAGACTGCTCGGCGCGAAGCATTTGAGGAAATCGGCCTGCCCAATATCGATCAGAAGTTCCCATCCCCTTTTTGGGTAGAGCATCTCTGCGAACTCCCCGCCAATCTTGCACGGACCGAGCTGGTCGTACGGCCGTGTGTGGCGCTTCTCCACTCTTACGACGAAGTTACAGGTGAAGATGCTGATCCGGAGGAGGCGTTCATGCCCCAACTCGACGCCAAGGAGGTGGCGGCCGTCTTCTCGGGGCCATTCCACAATTTCCTGATGATGCGGGACGAGCCCCGTGGCGAGGATGATTTCAGTCTTCCAGACGACCCTTCCGAGTGGTATGATGGAACATGGACCAACTGGAACACTACTTGGTGGCGCAGTATGTTTGACTGTCATGAATATAACCCCCCCCTTCCTTCCCACCTAACTGGAATTTCCCCCCCCCTCTCCTGGAGTCCCTCAGTTACTAAAACTTGGGGTAGTGCACCATTTCTTCGTTCCGATAACGAACCAAAAGGTTACAAAGCCAAGAAGAAAGAGCATTGACCAAGATGCCGCTGTTGATGAACTAGAGAGGCAGGAGATATCCATGGGACTAACCCGCTATCAAGTATTCGGTATGACCGCTCGAATTCTAGTCGATGCTGCTCGAGTGGCCTACGCAGAAGAGCCTGAATTCGAACATAACAGTCATTTTGGGGACGAGGACATGATCGCTCGGCTGAAAAAGATCGGCAGGTTCAAGGAAACCCGAGACCCGGCGGACGAACTTACTACAGAAATGTTTGAAAAAGCCTCCAAATTGACGTGATTTTAAATCAGCCGGACCGACCCTCAGAACTTGTGAGGACACAGACTTTCTGCTAAATATTTGGCGTTTGGTTCCTTTTCTTTTCTTTCTCTTCTTTTTTTTGGGGGGGGGGGTTTCCTGGGCACGCACTGTGCAACGCATTAGCGTTGCTTGCGAGATTTTATTGGCGTTCGTGGAGATGGGTTGTGAGCTTTTCTTTGTTTTCGTCAACCATTTGCTCATATGCTGTTGGGCCCAACGCTTGGCTTGGTTACTTAACTTCGAAGGTTATATAGATCCCCCCCCCTTGTCCTTCTCCGGCGTTTGCCAGAGAGGGAAAAAAACCTTCAACTTTGTTTACATCATTGTTAGAATTTGTTCTGTTGCTGTTGTGGTTTGTTTTCCTTTATGTTTATGGATTTACCTCCGCGTGGAAGTTACATTTGCATGCATGCTGCAAGTTATATTCCGGCAAGATTTGGGTCGACGCACTCTCGTATCATCACCGAATATGGCTGTTCGTATTGTGCTTCTTTGTCGCTGAGAGCAATTTCGAAATATTCAATTTCCCACCCCCCTCCACGAGAAGCACGGCTGACAAGCCAACCCAATCCAAGAGCTTGCGCATGTTGCTCAGTTTAACATTCGAATCCGGAATGTTACCTGTTGGGCTCTATTATATATTATTGACTGCGACTCGCTGCCATGCTGCCCTCTCCCAGTCTCTCTAACACTCGCGACACAGGACAGATGACGTCCAGAGGAATTCATAGACATACACCTCCGCTCCTCACCTCGAAGTCGCTGGAGGGTTTGGAGAAAGTCATTCCTCTACGAGGGTTCTCACCCAGCAATCCAAGCTGCAGGAGTTGGAAGTTCGATAAACCCTTACCAGACCTTCCACGCCCCACTTCTAGTGTCTATAGCCCTGACGATGAAGCCGCCGGGGTGATTGAGAGCCATTTACCCCCCTGTCCTCGGAATACCTTGATGCCTGAGCCGCCTCCGCGTGCGCCATCAAGAGCTCACAGCCTGGGTTCGTCAGAGCACTACCACAAGGCGACCCGTGAACCTCCGGTGGATGAGGATGTACATCTACGGATACCGAAGAAGTCGTTATCTCTCCAGCCCTGTGGGTATCAGTCAGCGCCGAACCTACTTCTCGAGGCGGCCACTCGCGCGTCACTTAGGGCACCCACTGGCCCATACCACCCACATTACGGGTGGTCGTGGGGTCTGAAATCGAAGTCTCGCTCCAACTCGACTCACGCACTGCACAGTGGTTCCACGACTGGCGATCTAGTCCATCCTATTTCAAATACAACTATTGAGAGTGTCGGCCCAATGCTACTATTTCCCGCTTTAGACTATCATCGGTGTGGCAGGGACGAAAGCCGTGAGTCGTCGTTGGCAGTGGTGGATGACAGTGGGTCAGAGATGTGCCGCTGCGAAGTCCTTAGCGAGCCTGTGCGGCCTCGACGGTACTCAGAGGAAGCTGCCTCTGACATTTACATAGAACACCCGCGGAAAATGGGACTGTCTTCTACCGGCCAGCTTCCCGCTACCAACGTTGCACGAGGCGCCACCATCACATCAGTGCCAGAAATCGAAGTTCAACCCCAATACGGAAATCGTACAGAACTATACTCTTTCTCCTCTGACAGCAGCGTATCCGACCACAACTTGAATATTACCCCCACTCCCAATAATACCCCAACAGTCTCAACATTTGATCGCCGGAGAACCAAACAACTCGCTGTCCCGATCTCCGACTACCAGCGCTACGGGCCGAAAGCGTGGAAAACGAAAAGTAACCGCAGGCCCAGTACCATGTTCAAGCGTAAGATGATGAAACCAAAAGTCAAACGTCCTTCTCCTCAGCTCCCACCATTGCCGCCGTCCCCCATACCCCTACGGCAATACTATCAGCAAAGCCACCGTTACTCCCAGCCTCAATCGCAATCACAAGGCCAATCCCAATTTTTCTCGAGCCCCTTAACCCTTCTCCCCCGCCGTATGAAAACATTTCTTTCCAAAGCCTTTCATGTCCGAAATAACAGCACGCCTGTTAGACCCTTACGACCTCCTCGACCTCCATCCCCTTCGCCGATGAGGTATTTCCTACCTCTTCTCCCGCCTCCGCCGCCCCCGCCTACAAAGGAACGGGAGGATGAACAACAACAGCAACTGGATAAACAACAGCTGGAGCAGGAGCAGCAACAGCAAGGTCAGCAGGAGAAAGAACGGGAGAGTCGACGGAGTCTGCGGGGCGGAAGCTTGTTTCGAAGGAGTATGGCAATGACGAGGGAACGGTTGGGATTAGGGCTATCAAGTCCAGACATGCGGAAGATGGCATTGAAGGATCGAATCGTGATTGTTGGGCCTACTGATCCGGCTGTAATGGCTGATGAGAGGGCGGGTGAGTGGGTCTGAGACGTACGTGTCTCTGTGAAGCTGTACACTACGTTTTCGGTTGGAGATACCCTGTCAGGATGGTGTTCGGATCTGTTACATCATCACTCTGTTGCAAGTTGGAGTTGTTCATTACAGCGTGCTTCAGTCTTTCACTTCATGCTCGTTTGAGTATTTTTCTCTTTATGTTGCTACTCATGTCAAACTTCTCACTGGGCCTGGGAAGTCGGACTGGTGCAAACTACATTCTCACGCTATCCTATTCGCCCGTCGCCACTATGGGATACACCGATTTTTCTTTGTTTGGGCTTGGATCGTCTCTACGTGATATACTTGGCTTATGATATCATGTTACCTCTGTTATTTTCTTTTCCCGTTTATATAGATAGTCAGAATGACGGCATCGCGTTAGAGAGACAATTATAATGGATAATATGATCGTTTATTGATAATGTCACTAGTGAAAATGAACTGTGCCACCGCGAGGGCGCATGAAAGTAACTAACTCAGACATCCCTGACGGTTTCTTAACAACATGGAATTCACAGGAGGTAACACATGGAAACAGACAGCTCCTTGGGACAGGTACCAAGCAAGCCAGCAAATGAGACAAAGAGATCCATGGATATAGCATTAGGATTTTACACACGATATGAACACTTGGAGTAATGCATAAAAGGAACTGAAACTAGACAGCACGTCTGACTCGCAGAATGACAAGAATTTATCCCATGTTTGTAATATGGCATTCATTAACTATCTTTTCTCAAGCCTACCAGCAAAGTAGTATAAATTAGGGCCATCGAACTATAATTTTTATAGGCCTTTATATGGCACGCTTGAGAATCGGCCGCGACAGCCATGCTGTCGGAGAGACGCGGAATATGGTGGCATGAATTTGGGAAAGTGGATGGAGCTCTGTCTGCTAAATTTCGTATTACCTGGATACAGGCCGCCGGTATCTAACAGATTAAATTTTAGACTAGGATCGTGCGGTGATGTAAGGCTGGATGTACCCCTATTTAAATGCAAAATACAATTCCCAGCTCCAAAGCTATCATTGGCCAGAAGGCCCGGGCGCAGGGTCATATTGTGTATGGGTTTTCTTTTTCTTATTATTCTCTCTCTCCTCCTCCGAATCTGTGTCGTCATCCTCATCAATTGTGCCTAGGGCAAAGTAGTCCCCTTGTTTGGGCTCAGGCCACACCGCTTGGGAGGTAGTCTGATCGGCTGTGGCCACCTTGGCACGCAACTGACGTCTAGAAGCCTTCCACACCCAGAAAGACAGAACCAAAGCGTTTATGGCAATTATGCATGCCATAGAAGCGGACCAAGAAACGCTGGCTCCGGACAACAGCATGCCAGTAATAATGTTGGTCCAGCCCAGGATTAGCGTGAGTCGTCCAAGCCATATGTGTAAGTACGAGGCCCAGTGCCGACGGCGAATGCGAACGAAGACCCGATGATGCTGCCAGCCCAGCAGGCCCTGGATGAAGAGGTACGAACCTAGAGATACACCGATCCATTGGTGAACGGTGTTTATGTGGTGGTTCATCAAGAGTCCGATGATTATACCGGACCAAGCGAACAGAGAGGCTACCAGCTGGATGAACCAGTGATATTTGAAAGCCTTAGAGGACCCAGATCGCATTGCTATTGTACCAAGGGGGAACAAGATGAAGAACGCAACAAACATCACAAAACCGTGTATAGAAGATATAGGGTTGTCTCTGATCGACGATATCATACCGCCTGCGCTTAAAGGGCTGTCCGACGTCCCCAGTCGGGGCATCCCTGTTCTAATCGGGGGCAATGATGGAGGGGTTTTGGCAGTGCTAACTGATCGAGCCATATCCACGTAGAAATTTCCCCAACCACCGTTTCCAGCATGGTGTTTATGCATATCCAGATGGACATCGTATGAGTATACCGGGATATCTTGTTTATCGTTCCACGCCCAAATCCACGGCTGTGAAGAGGCTTGAGCGGAGATCGGAGCACCTGGCCATTTTTCACATGAATAGCACACGAGGGCGATTTTCGCAGTAGTCATCGCACGGCTACCCTGCATCCACGATGCTTGGAGCACGCGAAGATCCGCTCCGCCCATCTGGTTCTGAGAAACCAACTGCGGCTGTGTGTGGCCATCCACCGTGCGGATACTGACGATGGGGCCATGCTGGTCGGAAGGGATCCCGTAGATGATAAACATTAATGATCCTCTCATGGACGATCCAGTACCTATGGCAGTCCATCCCAGTGCAGACGTTCGAGGAATTTCCATCGTTAGGTACATGTCGTGATGGAGCGAAGATCTATTGTAATGCATCGCAACGCCCATGCAAAAGTCAACGCTAGATGGCCCATGTTCATTGTGGCCGAATCGACAATATTGAACAGGCTCTGAGACAGTAAAGGTGGTGATAAACAAAATGAGGGCGTAAATCGATACGAGAAGATATCTACCAAGGATGGCCATTTTAGCTAGGAAGTATCCCGCTGGCGAAGTCATGAAAGAGAGAGAGGCGCGAACGTGTCCGGGAGGTAAATGGAGTCATATCTAGGTATCCCATGGCCCAAGAAGAAAGCTGCAAAGTCAAGACATCGCCAACTAGGAATGTTACACCTGTTCGAGGCCAAGTAAGAGTACTGTAATTTTTTGCCCGGAATGGCAAGGCGTGGCTGTCTTTAGTTTGGTAACTATCGATGAAACCGTTAACTAACTTAACTATTATTGGTGAGCACAGTGATATGCAGTGTCAGCAACTACGGCACTAGCGCATCGAGCATGACATGCGGACCATTCAATGTCAGCATCATGGAACGGTTTTGATATAATGGGCAGGGCTAAATTAAGGAAAGTAGTTATGATGTATGAAATTGAGTTTATATTTTTGATATCTCTGTCTGAGAGTTGACAAATCGAATGATCATGATTCCTAGAGTTCTTCAAAGAATTGTCTTTTCTTTTTTTCTTTTCAATTTAGGTATAGGATCACTACTCTTAGAGACACGATATGTGCTGAAGAGCTCGGTGGACTTGCCGACAGGCTGGTCGCGAAAATCGTCAGTCTCAGGGGATCGAGTCATTAGAGTAAGCATTGGGCTCAAGCAGCATGGATGGGAAACATTGGAGCAGCATCTAATGGAAAGTATGTTTTGTGTTGTTATCCATCGATTTTGCTAGTATGTGTTAAAATAAACGTAGTCTCTGATCCATCCCACCCCCGATATGGCAAGTACCTTTCTTCAACTGAGGTCAATCGGTTAGTTAGAGTGGCGCCGACGTCCTCTAATCTGGTAACTGCCTGGCTCCAAGAAGCTAGTTCCTTACCGTCAAATTTGACGGTTTCCGCCTCTGAAGACTTGATCTCATTTAATGCACCGATCGGGGTTGTTGAACGGTTGTTCAGGGCAAATTATGCGGAGTATCAAAACGAGAATGGATTCACCATGATACGATCCTTGACATGGTCAATACCTGCCGGCCTAGTCGATCACATCGATGTTGTCGAACCCACCAACTCGTTTTTCATACCACGCGGGCAATCTAGATATGGGGGCCTACCCCCGCCGGATTGGGAAAGAGAACATCGTATACCAACTTATGAGGAACTGGTGGAAGAGGATGTCTTAGAGCGCGGCCATCTCGGCATCCCTCTAGCCCATGAGCTATCCCAGGCGCCCACTGTCAAGGAAGCATGCAATCGACTAGCGATCTCAATAGTATGCCTAAGCGTGCTTTACGGCACATGGGGTTATCCGCAGAAGGCGTTCGCTAAAAATAGTATCGCATTAGTGAATTTCCTGGGCGAAGTCAACAATAGGTCCGACATCGAGCTATTCCTCAACCGTTATAATCCATCCGCCGCCAAAGCGAATGCAGCGTACCAATTCACGACGGAGATCATAGCAGATGGAGATGATCAACAAACACCCAATACTCCAGAGCAGAATAATGCTAATAAAGGGTTCGAAGGTGCTTTGGACGCACAGACTATCCTTGGTCTCAGTTGGCCGGTTCCGATGACGACATATAATGTAGGCTCGAAGCCCCCATTTCGACCTGTCGAGGACCATCAAGAAAACACCAATGAACCATACCTGGCGTGGCTCCAGTACATGCAAACTAAAGAGACATTACCTCACGTTATCTCTATCTCATATGCTGATACCGAGCGATCCGTCCCCCCAGAGTACGCAAGGAGAGTCTGTAGGGAGTTCGCCAAACTGGGAGCCCGCGGCGTCTCGATCCTTGTTGCTAGTGGGGACTGGGGGGTCGGAAAAAGTGAGCGGTGCGTAATGGATAACGGCAGAGGCAAGCAAAGGCGTTTTGCGCCCTCTTTCCCGTCCAGCTGCCCCTATGTTACTAGCGTAGGAGCTACGCGACTAGTGGGTTCCGAGATCGTAGGGTTCGATGGTCGCGGAGATTTTGCCAGCGGCGGTGGCTTCAGTGAACTTTTCGAACGGCCACGATATCAGGCCATGGCGGTTGAAAATTACCTGGAGGCTCTTGGAAATGAACATCAAGGCCTTTTCAATCGGAGGGGACGCGGATATCCTGATATTGCCGCACTAGGTTATCACTTCTCTGTCCTTTGGAATGGTCAAGCGCATCTCCAGGACGGAACAAGTGCTTCAGCTCCAACAGTTTCTGCCATAATCGCACTGGTCAATGATGCCTTGCTTGACAATGGGCACCCACCGCTAGGCTTCTTGAATCCTTGGCTCTATTCTGAAGCCCGTGATGCATTTACTGACATCACCTGGGGATCTAATAGAGGGTGCAACACTAGTGGATTCCCTGCTTTGGCTGGATGGGATCCAGCAACAGGACTAGGTACTCCTGTGAGTGAATTGAATCCTGAGGGAATGTTTCTCTTAAGCAAAGTTAACATATTATAGTGGTTCCCGAAGTTGAAAGATTTGGCGATAAAAGCAAAGTTTCGCGCAGATGAGCCGTGGTACATGCAAGGAGTACATACAGCATAGCATGGTAGGGAGGAGGTTGGCGAGAGTTTATGTTGCAGGAAGCATCACGTGACTAGACTAGAGGCCAGCTTTGGATCGTCCAATTAAAGTTGAACCTAAGATAACCTTTTTCCTTTTCCCTGTTGGAGCTACTACACAAGCCCTAACCCATGTGACCCACACACATATATTTAGCTTTCACTAGCTACTAGTTAGATAACAACAACAACCAACCACGTTCAACCTCTCTCACATTCCCTTCAGTCACATGACATGTGGCAGCTTGACGCCGAGTCGGGAACAACTTAATTCCGGCCATGACGCCTAAACCGCGAGTATCTCACATTCGTCTACAAGGCGAGCGGATTTGACGACAATTTTAGGATTGAGATCAATCCTACAAAGATCAAGTTTACCAGAGAGCTGAAAATCGTCAGAGGCATTGTCAGTATTCCATGTGAACTATGATGGCATGCCGCGCGCTCTGAAAGTTGTATGTATCTTTATCAGCAGCTACATCTCAAACACACCAGCTCCTGATGTTGTCTAGTTTCACAACAATGAAGAAGCTGGGTATGTCAACAACAGGGTCCATGACTTGAATCACATTCACTGTGAAATCAGGGCTTATTACAGCCTCAAGCAATCTGGCATATGTGACAGGGGCTATATGCCACAGTTTTATGAATACATATTACTCTTGCGCCCAACTGCCATTGCCTCATCTGAATGTCTTTCAACACAACACTGGCCTCTCAAGTGCAATTTTGATGGAATATCTGCCAAACCCTCTGATAATGAACTGCATTACTTATAGCAAAGAGCAAATGACCAAGACAGTCAAAGACATTCAACAGATACATTCAGCTTTGGTTGAGCACATATACTTCAATGAAGCAAGCTCTCCACCTTCCACACATAATACTCCGTACAAACGCTCAAATCCATCCAAATCAACGAAAATGGACTGCAACGGGGCAGTCATACAAAAAGAGCTGGCTCTTATTGAGCTGCCTTGGTGAGAGCTCTATAGCCCCAACATCTGTAAGAATAAACAAACAGAAATAGACTGATCTGGCCGGCGAAGCCCGCTCGCTCTAGCTAGTTCCGTCAGGAGAGTGAAAGTTTCAGGTACCTAGAGTTTAATTAATTCGTGTTCATCAGGACTCCGGGAGAGTGGGCCATGAAGCTGTCCACCTACCGTACTCTGAAGTCGAGACAAGTCCTGCATGAGGACTGGAGTTAGGCCATTCTCGAACAGCAGGTCTCGGACAACTGTATGGGCGGATGCTCTCGTGTCATTGCGCGAGGGGTTGGCTGTCGACCCCGGAATATCAGGCTCTTTGTGAGGAGGCATCCAAAGTCTATTATTTATCGACGAAGGGGATGGAGAGGCACGACGATGCGGATGAATTGGCACTTCCATGATTACATTTGCTCGACTCCGCACTTCCTCCTGAAATAATTCTTCTGCAGCTCGTGTAACTACGTCGTGATAGCCAGCTGCTTCTCTCTTACTCCAAGCCCGGGAACTTCTGTGTACTTGGTGCAAGAACCTGCCGAGCCGTCGAGTCCGGGAATGGAACTGTTCAGAAGCAAGCAGGGAGTCTTTTGGAAACTGCCCTACGTAGTATTCCGCAACCACATCATCCAGGGACTCATAACCCTCTTCTTCGATGACCGAGAGTATCCTCTCCAGTCGCCGTTCGCTAGTTTCATAGGATGTTCTCCTTCGTTTATTTCTGCAACTATTCCTTCTTATACCCGAAGCCTCTCCAACCCTTGCCATCATCTCTTGTGAAAAGGATTGAAGGGATTTATCGAGATCATCTGAGCGATAGATTTCTGTGGGGAATTGATGTTCCTCAAGAGTTTCTGTGTCTTCGCTTTGGAAGATCCCACCCTTCAAATCGGGTAGCGGCGAAGTGTCTGCTGCTGCTAGCTGGAAGCCAGGTTGCTGGGAGTGACATCGATCAGAAAACAATGATGGCTGCCCTTTGTCTAAAGAGTGCACTGGAATCAGTGGTGGGTTGGGCTGCGTGTTCAGCATAGCTAGTCCAAAAGTGGAAGAACACCCGCTGTTGCGCCTCCGCCGATGGATATCTCGCATCGCTGGCTCTGCGTGGTCATCTCCCATGGTATCTAGTAGGGGATCAGGAATTTTTGCAGTTTCTGAAGTAGTATGAGATACACGGCTTTGCATCGAGGTCTCTTGGAAGAACCTCGGCTCCCATGACGAATCAATGTTGATTAGGTCGTCGACCATTTCTTTCTCCATGAGTTCGGGCCCTAGTCTATCTGAAATGCTTTCTATTTCTTCAAAGAAATCAAGCCTATGAACCATTCGTCAGCACCATTATTCCCCTTTTTGGGCTCCTTTGGATGACAATTTAAATTCCCCCTCTCGGACCCGAGGCTACTTACTTCATTGGGTCGACCTCATTGTGAGCCGGACTCTGTGGTTGTTGTCGCTCCCGTGACGAAGCGCTCGTTTCTGTTTGGTTTGGATGAATATTATCATGAGTGTGTGTCTTGCTTGCGCATTTTCGCTTTGCTGCTGATTTTATTAGTTGCTCGAGACCTATATACTATACATCGCAGAACCATTCTCGACCGTTTTGAAAAGAGGAAAAAGGGAGAACAATACCCTCTCGATGCCGTCGTTGAGCCAGTCTATTCTTTTCTCTTCGAATTTCTTTTTGACTGCGTTCAATAGGTAGCATTAGCGGCGGCAGCTCGCTTTTGCTCTTTGGTTTAGAATTTTCGAACATGATTATACTTTGCCCCTTGCCATTCTTGGTTACCGTATAATATCTCCAGGGCTGGCTCCCGACTACGTTTTTTTATTCTTACCTTCATTCTAATTGCGCAAACTTTTATAAATGGCATGGAAGGCCTCTCGAAGCCAGGCAGCCAACCACAGCCTTTGGACTCAGGAAATCGAATAACTACACCGCACATCCCTATCGATGCGAGCCGAGTGTTGGACATATGCAAAACCCCCATATTTTAGACCCGCGCAAACTAGGTACGGTCGATGGATAGCTGATATATGGTGGGATCTCAGCCCAAAGCAATACTACCCTGATGGGGCCAAGTTGAACGTCAAGACGATAATGAAGAAGATAATATCCAGCAGGTTTTCAGCCTTCGGAACGGAAAGTATTTTCAATGTTGCTCCTAGCAGCTCGTTTCTGTAGGTCCTGTCTGGAACGACCAGCTTCTAATCCATGAAGGGCTTGGTAATTCATATGGACCTGGTTCCAAAAGCATTCATCATGTTTGTCAAATATAGAAATGATTTGAAAGCTCGTATTCGATCAGTGCACTTATTGTAACACGACCCCCAACTGTACAACCACTGATAATTCAGCTACATATTTATCTGGTGTTTGGACAACTACATATTATAAATCGGGGGCGAGCGGAGTGGAACTTAGTCATATACAGGGCAAATCATAGGCTAATAAGTTGGAAGCCACAATTATTGCAACGAGAATCTTAGTAGTATCTCATTCATCTTGTTGATTCTTCAGCTGATTCTAAAGCTAGGATGGAATGTATCATATTATATAGTTCGTGGCATCCAGTCAGAAAGTCTAACTTACGCAAGAATAAGCGCCGAATTTTCAGCCTTGTAGAGCTGAACCTTGGAACCAATCTCTCAATGAGCAAAGCTTACTTCTGCATGAGCCTGTACAGTACATTGCAACCACGCAGCCCAGGGTGTTTGAAATGAATATTAACTGCGTTGTGGTGTGCGATTCAGGAAGTTTATAATATCGGCAATTTCTAACTCAACAACCCACTGAATTACAGGAATTAACTATAAGCGGGAGCCAGCAGACACAATGCTTACAAAACATCAGTAGTCCATGCCGGTTACACAATTTGTTCAGCGCTCTGCAGCGGGCTACTATGATGCTCATTGTTGAACATGAATGCTGCGAATGTTGCTGCCTTTATCAACCAGATGATATATGACAAACTTTTCCGCCTGTTAACAGCTCACCTCACCTCACCCAACCAAGTTCTTTCGAAAAAGAAAAAAAAATTAAAAAAAATGGCCCCCTCAAATCCCCCGAAGGGCGACGTCGAGAAATCGGTGACTGCAGTACAGGAGTCTAGAAGTGAAGATAAAGAGGCCGAGGAGAATCAGACAAATTCCCAAGGGGACCAAGATGAACTGCTGGTAATAGCCACTGGTTTTCTTTTCTTTATTTTTTTATTTTTTATTTTTTCGATTTCCGCGCCTATGCTTTGTATCTGGAGCTGCCCATTGACAGATTCGATCGAATATCTCCTCACTACATTGCTAATCTGAGCTGCCTGTATTAGGTAGACTGGGATGGCCCTGATGATCCGAAAAATCCACTCAATTGGAGCCGGTTCAGGAAATGGGCGGTTGCTTTATTAACGTCCCTTGGGGGTCTTGTTACACTGATGAGTGGTGCGATGCTCGCTCCGGCCCTAGATGCCATCGCAAAGGATCTCAATACCAGCCCTGGCACAACGAACATGTGTCTATCCATTTTTGTGCTGGCATTTGCCTTTGGCCCCATGGTCTTAGCTCCTATGACAGAAATATTTGGCCGCCGCAAGGTATGGATCCTTTGTTCAACATGGTATGTCCTATGGAACGGTGTCTGTGGATTTGCAAACTCCCAGGGTTTGATGTTGTCCGCAAGGCTTCTGGCAGGATTGGGAGCGAGTGCAGAGTTTGCTGTGAGTAAACTAATTCCCCATCTTCCTTTTGGACTACTTCACTGCTTATAATGTTGCAAGGTCACGAATCCGGTTTTAGGTGATACTTGGAGACCAGAGGAGCGGGGAAGGTCCTTTGCCATAGCAACATTTATCCCTCTTCTTGGACCCGCCATAGGTCCAATTTTGGGGGGCGTGATCACTAACTCAGTCGGTTGGCGATGGTTGTTCTGGGTTTTATCCATATTTGATGCAATCCTCACAGTTGCTGCGTTCTGGATTTTTCCGGAATGTTATGAGCAGCTCCTTCTTCACCGAAAGGCGATGAAATTACGCAAGGAAACTGGGAGAGAATATCATACCCGATGGGACATCCACAACCAACCGCTCACCCAGAAACTGAAGCGTAGTGTGGCAAGGCCAGTATGGATGTTGGCCACCCAGCCAATCATCCAACTTGTGAGCCTTTTCCTTGCTTACAATTTTGGCACTCTTTACTTTGTCCTGACCAGCTTTGCCTCTATCTGGATAACCCAATACCACCAGTCTGTTTCTGCCTCCGGGTTGCATTATATTGCTCTCGTCATCGGCTCAACTATTGGTGCCCAACTTGGGGCAGCTCTCACTGATCGCCTGTGGGCATATCTGAAAAAACGAGCAGGGGGCGAAACGGCGCCGGAGTACCGGATTCCCCTGATGATTCCCGGCTCTATTGTCATCCCTATCAGCTTGTTCTGGTATGGGTGGACGGCAGAAACGAAGCAGAAATGGATTGTAGTCGACGTCGCTATTGCAATGTTCAACTTCGGGGTTATCATGAGTACACACTCACAACAGCAGTACGTCATGGAGGCATATCGGGGTTATGTGGCATCGGCTTCAGCGGCCAGCCAGTTTCTACGAAGCATTTTTGCATTTGCGTTTCCATTGTTCGCGCCAGCGCTTTTCGCTCGGCTGGGGTACGGCTGGGGTCATAGTGTATTGGCTTTCATTTTTCTGGGCCTGGGAATTCCGTCCCCGTTTATTCTGTGGAAGTTTGGTGCGAAATTACGCGCAAAGGGCAAGCCAATGCCGTAGTTGAGTGGAGCTGGAGGATGTCTGAAGCCATTAAGCTACGGGGGAGCGGGAAGATATAGCGAAACGAAAAGGATGAGGATAATCTCCAAGCAAAGAAATATGCCTAGCATGAGCCATAGGTACCATGAGCTCAGATATAATATTGTGTTCAAGTTATGCCCCATTTCCAGCCGTTTACTGTTAAACGTGGAACCTGAATGGAAAATGGTTACATGACAACCGGAAGATTGGTAGCCGAAAGTGCCATCGATTGAGCGATGACATATAGTCACAAGCCTGAGACCCTAGAAATAAATCACAATCACTACTTCCCGTCTATTCGGAGTACTAAGTACTGTATCTATCAGTCCTCTACCCCTGACTTCTCAGCATGTACCATCACTCAAACGACTGCACTGCAACTTGAGTCTAGACTCCGCTGCAGTCAATCCTTCATTTCATTGAAGAAATATTTGACCCATTCTTGATCGTGTCTTTCCTAAAGGCTCTCAGGGATATATGTGCCTGTCTGGGATATTCAGCCATGATTGGGAGTAGGGGCGGTTCCGTCTTGGTGTGGCTCAGATTTCCGGCGATAGAAATGTATTTTACGCAACTCATGCCGTTCCGGCAAAAAGTCTCGATACCGTGTTGTGAAAAAAGGCTTGTCCGTGGACTCTGCGAAAAAAAAAAAAATCCGGAATTGGGGAGAGTATATTTTATATATTTTATATTTTTTATTCCGGTTAAGACTTGGGTTGAGCCATCATCGCTGCTCCCAAAGGAGATATTGCAACGCAGATTTGTATGAGAATGGACAAGCACCTGATGGCGCTCAACCTGATATCCCCCATCGTGCAAGGGGAATCTTAGTGGCAGTTCTTAGACTACAGAAGCAGAATGAATGGACTCAAGTGGTTCTAAACTGTGGCACTGAAACCCATGACAAAATGCTCAGAAGGCTTTGGTGGGTGCACCGTATAAATAGGACGACGATAGTCAATTAGTATCGGATTTAGGTTAAGAGCTTTTAATTATTGCTTTCTTCAAAGCGGCTGTCAATACTTGGCGTGCTGAAAGAACTCTTGTGTCAACCTATTGAGAAATACTAGAAAAAGGTGTCGTTACCGTCGCTCTTCATGTGAATACTTAGGGAACATAGCTATATCAACGTTTAAGCAACAGAAGAAATATGTGGATTTCACCACAGGGCTCGCCAAAGTAAGACATATTTGCCAGGGTTTTGCTTCGCTTTCTCCCTTGTAGTTGATCAGTTAATTATGCTCACTAAGTGCACCAATTCTGTCACCTTCACCGGTTGGATATGCCACACCTAGAAAGAATGTGAGTATTAGTACTTGGTACTCCGGATCTTTAAAAAGGCTACAAATATCCAATTTAGCTTACCAAGAGTAGGATGAACGAGCCAACCCGGCTTCATCATATCAACAGATCTAGCTTTCGTCCACTGATCCAACTTCTGCCAATTAACGCATTGATGGGATGTAGCATTGGCAACCGGGATGCGGCTGCTGTCACGCCATTCGAACGTGATCAATCCAATATCGCCATGGCACATGGCAGATTGGCGGAGGAAGTCGATACAATGTTCTAAAGAATATTTGAGAAAACAAAAAAAAAAAAAAAAAAAAAAAAAAAAAAAAAAAAAAAAACGTTTGAATCTGCAGTGCGCAAAAGTGAACTATGCGATCAGGAGAACTTACCATTATGGAGCCTGTTCATTTCAATATCGCTTGCAGACAAACCCGCGAAGTAGTAGTCAGGGTACATATACTGGTGGATACGTTTCAGGCAGTGGAGTTCATGATACACATTTAGGGTGCCGATGTAGCCATCACCCTCAGGGATGCGGACCGTGATATCCTCTCGATCATAGTGCTTGATGTATTCCGGTTCCACCATAATGTTTTCATCTACGTAAGATAGTCAGTTACTGATGCCTTTATATGATTTCACCTTGAAATAAGTATTCTCGCCAAGTATAGGGGCCTTACCATCAAGCAAATCATGCCACGCTTTGTCTAATTCCGCGCTCGGTTTCCCCGAGAAAGACCCTTTTTCCGTGATCCGATCCTCCAGGCTAAATCTAGTGTCTCTCCATTCTACCATCTTCGCTGCCGGGGCTTCCGAACAATTAGCCCTTTAACCAATTTGATAAGGAAGAAGGTGGAAGTCGATAAGTTTAGTAAGAGGAGAAGCGGAGCAGACACTTACAAAAGGGCATTCCAGCTGCTCGGAACTGATTTGTATTATTCCTTTCCCACACGGCCATCAAACTCGCAATATACAGAGTAAAGAGCAAGATGTGAAAAATAATGAGGAAGCGACCATTTTTCCACACAGATCGTCGTGCAGCAAACGTATGATACTGTATTTCTTCGAGAAGTCCATCTTCTGATCCCTTTTCTTCTGATGGGCTTCTCGGAGAAGAACCAGGAGTTTCAGGGACTTTGTAAGCGTATTGGTTTCTACTTTTGTACCACTGAGACAGTCGACCTCTGGCAAAAAACGCCATCATAATAAGACAAAATGAAAGCTATGTCAATGTTCAGGAGACTCCCCCTTGTTCAGAGGATGTGTAGGAGAGGTGGAATAGTGAGCATAATTGGGGATGCTGATAATCAAAAGATCACTTTCAACAAAGCAAATTTTCAGAGGTTCGGACAGAGAGATGGATACCACTGCGAATTCATTAGTAAGGGTGACAATCTTGCCAAGAGTGTAGGAATAGAGATATTTTGTCACCTTGTTGATGACCCTCGGTCATGACCTCAGCCCTGTCATCAACAGCTGCAATGTCATCACAGAAATCATGCCACAAAGACATTATACGACAGTGACATTGAACCAGGTTTACTGTCCTGGCAGCAGGTCCATTTTGAGCTTCTTGCTCTTAGCATGGGACACGGAGTTTGAACAAGACTGGAAAGAAATGGTGGCTGCATTCCTTTATCGGCTGGCAGCTGGGAAGGAATCGGGGTGGATGGCCATACTTCTACCTAAACAAAATGCACTTACGTTGGCTATATTTGATCTTTGGGGTGGGAATTTCGGCAGTAAACTCTTCAACAACCAGTCCCGCTTCCTATTCTTTGAAGGAATCTCATCCAGCACCGTCCAAATGGATTCGCGAAGGCACAGCACCTCCGTCTATGAATATCTCGCTTCAAATAGGTCTTGTGCAAGGTCGTTTAGCTGAGCTGGAAAATAGGCTTCAAGAAGGTCAGGCGTCTGGTATCTTTAACTTTTCTGGTATAGATTTGCTAACATTTCTCTAGTTTCCAACCCGCGCCACAAGAGATACGGTCAGTTTCTGACTAGATTTGAAGTAGCCAGGCTACTTCGACCGCATCGAGATGCCGTAGACCGTACGCAAGCGTGGCTTGAAGAGCATGGTATTTCGACTGGTCGTCACAATTTTAACGCGGCCGGAGACTGGCTTGCGGTGACTGTATCTATTGCGGAAGCGGAGCGCCTTCTTGATACCAAATATCATATATACAGATACGGGCATCAAACAGCCGCTCGGGCAATGGAGTGGTCAGTACCCCAATACCTACACGACGCGATCGACACCATTCAACCAACAACCTCCTTAATGCGCATCCCAGGCCAAGTCAAAGCACGTCAGAATGAAGACCACGAGATCACGAACATTAACCAACAAGCAGAGGACGCCGCATTGGGTATCGGAACGGATGTCGACTTGAATAATATCCCACCGGATTTGACCCCTCAACAAGCATGTAACGCCAGCGCTGTAACGTCCCTTTGCCTTCGTACGCTGTATGGCACCCTGTACTACAGGGCGGACTCTCAACGAGGGACAAAAATGGCGCTGGTCAATTATTTGGGAGAGTTCAACAACAGATCAGATGTTTCTCATTTTCTCAAAATATATAGACCAGACGCTGTTTCTGGCGCAGAGAGCTTCGAAGACATCAGCATAAATGGTGGGATCAACCAGCAGAGTCTTGTAACGCCAGAGCAATACGCCCGCGGCGCTGGGAGGGAAGGCAATCTTGACGCTGAAGTTATGCTCGGCATTGCCCACCCAATCCCTCTTACTATATATTCAGTTGGTAAATCCGAGCCACCGTTTATCCCGGACTCATTCACTCCCACCAACACTAACGAGCCGTTCTTGGTATGGCTGAACTGGATTCTTGACCAGCCTGATTCGGAACTTCCCAGCGTGGTTTCCACTTCGTATGGGGACATCGAACATACTGTTCCAATTTCATATGCTCGACGAGTGTGCAACGGTTTTGCCCAGCTGGGTGCACGCGGGGTATCTGTTATAATGGGTTCAGGAGATTATGGTGTTGGTCATCCGGGTCACTGTTATTCGAATGACGGCCTCACTACTCCCGAGTTCCTTGTAAGCTTTCCAGATTCCTGTCCGTGGGTCACATCTGTCGGTGCTACAAAAGGCATCCAGCCAGAAGTTGTTGCAGTGAACAGCCGTAATGGATTCTCATCAGGCGGAGGCTTCAGTAATTACTTTCCGCGTCCGGATTACCAAGCCAATAACCCCAATAGCATTGCTCGGTATCTTTCAAAGATTAACAACCTCCATTCTGGCATGTTCAATCCATATGGACGTGCAATCCCCGATGTTTCCGCGCAGGGGTATCGCTTTGTGACGATTTGGAACGGAGAGACAAAACTCATTGATGGCACATCAGCTTCTGCTCCAACATTCGCTGCCATTGTAGCTTTGGTCAATGATGCATTGGCAGCGGAGAAAAAGCCACCACTGGGATTTTTAAACCCATGGCTATACATGGAGGGATTCAAAGCATTTCAGGATGTCACTGAAGGTACAAATGGAGGCTGCAATACAACAGGCTTTCCAGCTCTGCAAGGGTGGGATGCAGCCTCCGGATGGGGTACACCATTGTTTCCAAAGTTCAGGGAGATAGCGTTGAAGAGAAAATCGAGAGAGACTCGGCCGTGGTATATCCGGTGGTGGTTCTGGTAATGTGTAGAATAATTCGATCTTGAGTTCCATTCAAGGGGGGTTCAAGGATCGCGTATTAGTCAGCATAATTTAATATGTTGGCGGATTTCAACCTCCTCTTCGCTCGTCTCTTTTAGTTACTCTGTACTCCGTACTCCGTACTGATGATATCTTATTATCCTCATTTTTTCTATGAGTTTTTAGCCACTTCTATTGTATTTGACTGCTTATCTTAATATGCATGCTAAGGATGGCATTTGAACTAGTGCTAACAAACTGTTGATTATTGCCCGAGTGCGTCTAGCCAGCGTGATGTGATGCGCGCAGTGCATGCTACTAACGTGAGGCGTTGTTGAATTCATTTGTTCTACATAAAGCGTTTTCAATGAAAAACCGAATAGAACTTGATAATGAATGAGTGATTTAGGTCCGAAAACTTCCAGTCTCCTCTAACTATCCCAAAACTATATCAACAACTCAACAATATAATATCCCATAGCTGCAACACTTATTTGAAAACCCCGGAAAGAAATAACATCCTGCGATTCTTATGTAAAGAAAAGAAACAAAGAGGGCTGCCATATCGCTGTTGATCGGTCCCGTGCCTCTTCCTCCAATTCCCCTACCCAAATTCTTCTCTCCGGAGAGCTGATACCGCCCCCGAAGGATGGCGGCGATACGGCAGTGATTGCCCTTCTTCAGGATCTTTCGATAATTAGACATACTGGACGAAGATTTGCACTTTTGATTGCACTTACCTAGTCAACCACGTACATGGTGGCAGCATCGGCGTCGGAGCGCTTGTCAACCACATACATGGTGGCAGCATCGGCGTCGGAGCGCTTGTCAACCACATACATGGTGGCAGCATCGGCGTCGGAGCGCTTGTCAACCACATACATGGTGGCAGCATCGGCGTCGGAGCGCTTGTCAACCACGTACATAGTGGCAGCATCGGCATCAGAGCGCTTGTCGACCACATACATAGTGGCGGCATCGGCGTCAGAGCGCTTGTCAACCACATACATAGTGGCAGCATCGGCGTCAGAGCGCTTGTCTACCATGTTCAGGACCGGCAAATTAGCTTCCGAACGGGTGTCTATGTTTTTGAAGTTGTTACTCCTCTGTGGAGGTGCAGTGGCCATTGAGATATAGATCTCACCTGGGGAAGATGGTGCTCCAGCGACTATAGTCACAAGAAGAGCCGCAATCGGCAAAATATTCTGGAGCTGCATTTTGTTTTTTGCCTGTTGACTCCTCTAGAAACCGACACTGTTCAAGATTCGAATGGAATTTCAAGTTGCAGATCTTGGGTAGAGAAAACTAATATTGAACTATATTCGTTGTGGATTTCAAGGCCAGGTTAACATATATTTATGCAGCAGAGTTGTCGGATGCGCATTCTGTGATTTTGGTAACTGAGTATAGGTATGTCATACCACAGGGTGTTGGTCACCTCGATTCGGTCAACATTGGAAATATCAGGCCTAATGCAATGGAGTTTCCAGCTGAATGATGCAGTCATGAGGTGTGACACATCCTTGGAAAACTTTCTTGACCGTGCATAACTATCAATGACATCCCCAGCTGTGATATTTACGCACCACTCCTGTCCTTTTAACGTTCCTCAAAATGACTGTCATAGAAATCGTATTATTTGACTGGTCAAAGGCTGCTGCTATGCGTAACCACTTGAAGGCCCTCAGCGAGAGGGCCGTCAACACCTTGTCAAAAGCAATTGCCCTGTGGGTTTTGTCTCTTGGTCAGAGCACCACAAAGCTCACTTGAAAGAGATGCCAATAGAAAAGACTGTCATCCAGCGGAAGCAAGTCAAGTTAGACTCATGTCCGAAACTCCTAATAGTCACACGCTTCGATGTTCCGTCCAATGTTTCCTTGGTCCTCTTCTACCCCTTAATTCTTAATTTCTCTTGCCCGAGAAAATTTCTCTACCACGAGCCCTTTTTGTCCTTTAAATAACAATGGAGTGTAGGGAACAGAAACATTCGAACGACGATTCATCATTGCCTTCTTCCACAGAGAGTGCAGACACAACGGATACATTGCTCGAGAAGCCCCTAGCCCGCTATCATGAAAACACCCTACCATTTTGGCGGGAACATATTAAAACTGTCCTTGCAACTGGTACAGCTTTTTTCTTCCTTGCCGCCTTCAGTGCAATCGTTTTTGAGAATAATATAAAGCTACAGAGAAAACTGCAAAGTAGCTTAATATACTGTTAGTATCTAAACGGATTCCACGTCTAAATTCCTTGATATTTGTCTTCATCTGCTAATTTTGATGCTAGCGCCCGCAAACGAGGCATTGAAATGGAACGTAGTTGAATGGGAACATGATGATGGTGCCCATGGAGATTATGTGGGTGAACCACGACCTGTGCTTGAGAGAGCTTGGAGGGATATTTTTGATAGTGGGTTCTCCCGGCCCAGTATCGAACCTGAGGAATAATAACATTATCAAAGTTATGAATGTCAGGTTATCAAAGCACGATCTAGTCTCAGTAGGGCGGCTCGAGGATGCTGTGGAATTGCCAGATGGTTCTGGGTTTGCTGGGACGCTCAATGTCTTTCACGAACTCCACTGCATTGTAAGTCTTCTACCCATATGCTACACCCCGAAGCATAAAAGTGGCGACGACAACGAGTGGTTTACTGAGGAAGTGACGTTAGTGGTGGCTCTACAAATACGTTCATAAAGATCACTATTTCGAGGGTGCCACTCCCCATGAACAAGCGATTATGAAACTGCATTCTCGTGAGTATCCAAGTGCCAAAAAAGGAAATATGCCAATTGAAAAAGAAAAACGTGGCAGAAACAGCTAATACACCAACGCGTTATCACAACCTTTTCCCCAGACCATTGCCTAAATTATTTACGCAAAACGGCCATGTGCCACAGCGACGTGGGCATCATCACGTACAACTGGAAGCAGGGCACCCTGAAACCAAAGGCTACCGCAACGACCCATCAATGCGCAGACTGGAACCGCATAACCGAATGGGCAAGCTCCAGGTCCTTCAACATGACGACTCCGGGATATATTGTAAATCCCACTTTAGGTTCGTGACCGCCTTTTCTGCTGCATTCTCTGTTTCCCCAATACAACATTTCTGCGTCACAGTTTTTATCCTCCTTTCAGTGGCTGCTTGTTTCAAAGAGATATGTATTAACTAACCGTTATGCTGGGTGACAGGGCCTATATTCAAAGAAGGCGAGGAACAGGGATTGGCCGTGGGCATGCCAGAGCACGACGTGGACGTAGATGTTGATGCCATTGGTTAGTGATGGGACGGTATCATCACGGTTGTTTATATTAGAAGTTCTTTTTTTGTTCCATTTTCTGTTAATCCAATCAGATGCGATCACAGCTGGTGTTGATAGGTAACGAGTAGCCCTTAGCCACGGTCAACCCTCCTGTATACCAAATATGTATGTATGTACTTTTCTTTACGAGATTTAGATAACTTGCATATTTTCATACCAAGCACTTTTTAGTGAGAGCCATATATATATATTACCCAGTAGTTTAAGCCACCACACAAGCAGAAAGCATGACTTCGTAACGTCCATTCTATTCTATTTCTAAAGTATTGATTGGCTTGACCCAATCGGCGGGGAAAAGAAAAAAATACTATCAACACCTCCCAGCAGGACACCCAACCCTCGTCCCCAACCCCTCCCCTCCAAGCCCTAACACCGAAAGCATCGCATTGATCGTGCCCCCAATCCCTTCACCAGCCATAAACCCCGCCGCAACCGCGTACCCAAAGGCCTCAAAACCCACTGGCGCCTTCAATTGCCAAGCAGCCGCCACCAGCGCCCCGATCAGCATGGCAATCCCATACTGCGGCGACGGCAGCGTGAACGCCATGGCTAGGATCATGACGTTGGGGTGGTACACGCGCATTCGCTCCCATTTCCCCACCCACAGGCCGTGTCGGATGATTACCATCAGGACGCCGATGGTGGCCATTATGATGGAGAAGATGAGGGAGGTGCGGGGGATGGGTAGGATGGGTTCTGTGGCGGCTACGGCTACGGCGCGCCAGGCGGCGACGGAGGGGGAGGAGAATTCGCAGGAGTTAGAGGGGGTGGTTGAATTGCTGGTTGAGGAGGGGGAGGTTGCGAGGTTGTTCTCTGTGGATAGGATGCATGGGTAGGCGGTTGCGAACATGAGGAATATGGATGGTGCGAAGAAGGTCGCGAAGAGGGTACCTATTAGTTGTGTTGCGTACTGGAGTTTGGGCGATGTGCCTAGGAGGTATCCGACTCGGAAGTCGCCCATGAGATCTGTAGGAATTGTTCAGTGGTTGAACATTTACAAAAGAAATAGACGGGCATGTTATGTCTGAACATACCGCAAGCTTGGCTCCCGCCAATATTTGTTAGAGCACCACCTAAGAGATTCAGGCGTTGTGAGTTCTGTATGGTTTGATCCCGCGTTGTGCTGCTCAAGGTAACTTGAGACACTTTGGAAAGAATACCAAGAGGCGTGGTGTCTATTGTAGATGTATGTTAGGCTTCTGTCTAGTAATTTTCCGTGTCATTAAGGAGCCCATTGAACTCACCAGTTGCTCCAGTTGCCTGGATTGCCATGAGGGACAATATGAATGCCAGGAAAAGAGCCAACAGTGACTCCGTAACCTTCATGCCAAACTGGTACTTCAGGGCGGGACAGGCAATGGCGATAATGGCAATTAGGCCTGGTAGCCACATCCATACTTTGACACTATCTTTTGAAGGACCAATGTCCTCGTCTTTTTCCATCATTAGGGTATACTGATGGTGATCTCCTCGCAGCCTGGAAAGGATGTCTGCCATTGCTCGGGTGGAATCTCGAGCAATAATCCAAAACACACGCCATTGACACGCAAGTTCTACGGAAACATCCCTAATTAGCGGACAATACTGTAGATACCATGTTCGCTGTGTGGCCTTCATACGCACCAGCAAGCGCCACTGCAGCCATCGTAACCACACCTGGCCATAATAACCAATATCGAGGGCTTGGGTGAGAAGCTGTTGCAAAGTCCTTCGACAAGGACGCATAGGACATCAAGCCGGACCATTTCGCATCCGTGGACGCCGGTTCTCCAAAAGCCATTCCATGGCCGACTAAATACGGGCCAATGATACCCCTATTTCTCGGTTAGTAACGTAATTTTGGAGGAGATTCCACGTTCTTTAAATGCTAACTTACCACGCGAGAACTGAGCCGGCAGTAAAAGAAGCAGCAACATTGATTCCCACGAGCATTCCAGAGCCGATGAATGCAGGCGTCCATTCAACAATCCAACCCCAGCTTTCCATAGACATGGCCCACTCGACAAGAATTCCGCTATTAACTAGCCAAGTAAATGGATGCCAATCCTAGAAGGATATCGTGAGTGAGCCGAGACCTTTCCTAAAAGCAGAAAGAATGAATAAACTAAGAAAAACTGTCAGATCTTACCCACAGAACCCCGATGGCATACTGGGATGCAACACGCAGAATCACTGCGAATATAAAAGCGTAGAGCAAAGCAGCAAGTTTCTGCTGGGCCATAGATGCACCGCTAGCGGCTTGATGCATGCTACGAATAGTGATAGCAGTAGCGGATGAGGATGGAAAGATAAGATTAAGCTCCCGGGCCACCTGGACCAGGAAGAAGTTTCGTACTAGAGAAAAATAATAACAACAATAAGTCCCACGAGACTTAATTGCCAAATAAGGAGAGTCATAGAAGTTGGATTAGTTAACACGTACATGGCGCAACGGACAGGAGGCCAAAGTAGCCCCCAACAGCGGTCAGTGTCGTAATTCGAAAAAAATCTTTAGCTGGGACGGAAAGAAGTCCTAGCTGATACAGCGCGGGAATAGCAGATACGAAGACATTAGACAGACCCCCCGCCGCCGTGGCAGCGGTTTGGACAATGTTGTTCTCATGGGGCCCGAAGTTGTGCTCGCCAGTGTACTTTGTCCATGATTTCAGGACGGCAAAGCCCACAATTGACTAGATAATATAAATACGGGGCCCTTTAGATATATTGGCTTGAATTGAGTACTTGTGTACTTGCAAGAACTGGTGAATAGGTTAGTTACTCACGCCGAAAATGTTGGCCGAGGTGGTCCAGCCTGCTTTGAGACCTAGGTAGATATTGGAAGCGTTCACCAACGCCCCGCAGAGACATCCAATGAGTAATGCACGGAACGTGAAAACCGGGTTCGAATCACGATGCATGTCTGGGAATGGGGCGAATTTATCTTCGGCGAGATCTCCTCCATCCGAAACTATCGTGTCCCCCTCTAGCGAGTTTTCTCCGGTCGACTGCACATCCTCTTCTTCTCCATCTTCATCGTCTATGTAGCGGCCCTGCCAAGAGAGATCCTGAAGTTCAGTCTCCCTTACATCGTTTGGCAAGGCTGAATAGCGCGGGCTCGACGTAGAAGTTTGACGCATGACGGAATAAAGATAGAAACAATGATATGTAGTTACCACGACATCGTCCTCAGCCCGCCCCAAAAATGAGAACTTGGGGATATATCACTGTTTGAGTGTTTTCTCTAAATACAACTAGCTGCAAGCTGGACCCCGCATCCATTTGATACTCTGTCAAGAGCACTCCGCGGTAGCACAATGACCCAAAGCCTCAAAGGACAGTTATGTTCGAGATAATAAGAAAGAGGTTTGGTTTTGGATGTTTGGATGCTTCCCCTTTGTTTCTGGGCGGATTATTGTTTCGCCGATGTCAGCCCCCCGATTGTCAGAAAGTTGCTGACACTGCATTGGAATATTCGATGATGAGTACAGAGTAACTACATACAGTACGGTGACTATATTTAGTTCTAACTAGTTGGTTATATGAAGGTGGATTAGCTATTTATATTAATCAGTATGCTGTTTTTAATATGATTCAATGAAGACTTCAATAATAATAATTCAAAGAACTTACAGCAAGTAGATATACATACATACAATAATTACTTATATTTTCTTCAGACTTGTCATATCACTTTCAATACTCTGTACAGCTCTTCTTTTTTTTAAAAAAAACCAAATGCCCATCAATAAATAATAGTTACATTATCCCAGGCGGGAACTGACTGTTGGCTGGTTCCAACTTCCCAGAGAGTTGCACCAACCAACCAACTTCCACTCCTACCCCGCAGAGCCGCATCTAGCCCGCCGCTCATCCATCCCAAGCTTCCCCTCAACCGCTTGTCCTTCATTTGCTCGACAACCTACAGATGGTATTCTTATATTCGTCCTCTTATATCTCAATGCTGCCCACCTAGATCCTATCAGCAGCGCGGACTGTCTCTCACGTCCTATAAAGACCCTCTATCCTATTTATTGGCCCTGACCACCCACCCTCTGGACCAACCCCAGCCAACCACCTCATCAGATACTCTACGGACCAGCTAAACCAACCAACCATGGGCGGAAACAGCAAGGCTCCATCCACTTCTTCCTATCCTACTTTTGCCAATCGTCCTGTTGGCCAGCAAATTAGGAATATCTATAGAGACCGTCTCCGTCAATTCACTGATGGAGGCCAGTACTCGGGACACAACCTAGTAGCGTACGTACGATCCTTCCCAATCCCCCCTCTCCCTTTGTTTAGATATATAGATAGATCCCTTTAATCCCTGGACGACATGTGTGCCTATGTTCATTAACTTGCAGTAATTAATGATTTTTTTTTGTATATTCATTTCTGGTCTGTAGGAAATACTATGAAGCCACAAACGACGATGAGCAGCATGTCAAGCTCTCCGTTTACTCGGTGCCAGACCTAGCCAGACCTAGCTTCAAGGATGCCACCTCCAACCAATTCAGGCCTACTAGAAGAGGAGAGTCCTTTGGCCCCAGCTGGTCAACTCATTGGTTCAAGATCCAACTCACGGTACCGGAGGATATGCGCAAAAAGGAGCGACTTGAGTTCCACTGGGATGCAAACAATGAGGGGATGGTTTGGACGGAAGACGGGAAACCATTGCAGGGCCTGACAGGTGGTGGTGAGAGAATTGAATGGATTTTGCCCGACAGCTTCAGGGATGGAAAAGAGCACATCTTCTATATTGAAATGGCCTGCAATGGAATGTTTGGCAATGCCCCCGGCGGCGACTCCATCCAACCTCCCAACCCAAACAAATATTATCGACTTAATGTGGCGAGGATTACAGCTGTAAACTTACAAGCTAGGGCGCTCTACTATGATTTCTGGATGATTGGGGGTATGCATACATAGCACTTATTTACAAATCCGCGAAGGAAATTGTTACTGATTTGAAGTTTTCAAGACGCCGCACGGGAATTCCCTTCGGATTCATGGCACTCCCACGAGGCCCAGCAAGTTGCAAATGCCATAATGGATGCCTTTATCGAAGGCAATGGCAGCCAGGAATCGATTATTAAGGGCCGCCAAATTGCACAGCAATACCTGGGCAACTTGGTGGATTCTGACGCCGTCTATAAAACTGATAAACAGCCAATTGTTTATGGTATTGGCCATTGCCATATAGATTCTTGTTGGTTGTGGCCCTGGGCGGAGACAAGACGTAAAGTGGCCAGGTCCTGGTCTACCCAGTGCGATTTGATGGAACGCTACCCCGAATTGCGTTTTGTCTGTTCTCAGGCCCAGCAGTTCAAATGGCTAGAGCAGGACTATCCCTATGCCTTTGACCGTGTCAAGTCATGTGTGAAGAAGGGGAGCTTCATCCCCATTGGTGGAAGCTGGGTAGAGCATGATACCAACATGCCAAGCGGAGAGTCCTTGGTCCGCCAGTTCGTCTATGGCCAGCGATATTTTGAAAGCCATTTTGGCGAACGCTGCACCACCTTTTGGCTGCCAGATACCTTTGGATACTCATCCCAGATTCCTCAACTATGTCGGTTGGCTGGGATGAGTCGCTTCTTCACTCAAAAACTTAGCTGGAACAACATCAACAATTTCCCCCATACGACTTTCAACTGGGTTGCCTTGGATGGCAGCCAAGTTCTTTGCCATATGACTCCAGCAGAGACGTACACGGCCAGTGCCCACTTTGGAGACGTCCGTCGAAGTGTCACCCAGCACAAATCGATGGATCAAGATAACACCTCTCTTCTTGTGTTTGGCAAGGGTGATGGCGGCGGAGGACCGACTTTTGAACATCTCGAGAAGCTGCGGAGACTCCGAGGTATGAGTGATAAGGGCGAACTGCTTCCCCGTGTTACAATGGGTTCCACCGTTGATGATTTCTTTGCAAAACTTGAGGAAAAGGCTGCCAATGGAACGGAGTTTGTCACTTGGTACGGAGAGCTCTACTTCGAGCTCCACCGAGGAACATACACGACTCAGGCCAAGAATAAATTGTACAATCGCAAATCGGAGTTTGTTCTGCGTGACGTAGAGTTGCTTGCCACCCTAGCTACCCTCAAAGACCCCAACTATAAATACCCCAAGAAAGACATTGACGATATGTGGGAGAGCGTTCTGCTCTGCCAGTTCCACGACTGTCTTCCCGGAAGCTCGATTGAGATGTGTTACGATGACTCTGATAAAGAGTATGCAAAGGTATTTGCAACGGGTTCAAGGTTAAGAAAAGAGGCGTTGAAGGTTCTTGGGTTCAGCTCTCAAGAAAGCAGAGCGGACCGTGGACTTGTGGCCATCAACAGCCTTCCTTGGCCTCGTTCAGAGATTGTACGAGTTGACGATACGAGCACTGCCTCGGGAAAACCGCAGTATGCACTCGCTAAAGGCGGTATGGGGGTAATTGCTATTCAGCCCCTTGGGTCGGTCCGGTCACCATCTGTTTCCCTGAAGGAGGTGAAACCAGGAGTCTTCAGGCTCTCGAACTCCAAATTGTCCCTGGAGGTGTCTAATGGGGTAATTACCTCTCTCGTTGATTTAGAGGAGAAAAGAGAGGTTATCGCAAAGGGCGGGAAGGCTAACCAACTCGTGATCTTCGACGACAAACCTCTTTACTGGCAAGCTTGGGATGTTGAAGTCTATCATCTCGAATCCCGGAAGGAACTAAAGTCTGAGACAACGAAAATCGCGGAGAACAGTCCTCATCGTGTTAGTGTTGTAACAGAAACTAAAATTAGCGACAAGAGTTGGGTGAAATCAACAATTAGCCTGACCGCCACTACTGGCGATTCGACTCCTCTCGTCGAGATGACCAGTGAAGTCGAATGGCAAGAAACCATGAAGTTCCTGAAAGTCGAATTTCCCGTTGATATCGTGAACACTGAAGCGTCGTATGAATCACAATATGGAATAACCAGAAGACCAACACACTATAACACCAGGTATGTGTTTGCCCCTTCTCCAGAAGTAGCAGTCCATCCAGTTACTAATGGGAGTCCTCCTCTAGTTGGGACATGGCCAAGTTTGAAGTGTGCTGCCACAAATGGGCTGATCTGTCTGAGGCGGGCTACGGTGTCTCAATCCTCAATGACTCCAAGTACGGATTCGCGACATGCGGCAACTTGATGCGCCTGTCTCTGCTCCGTGCCCCTAAAGCTCCCGATGCCAACGCGGACATGGGCCGACACCATATACGTTACGCAATCATGCCGCACAAAGGACCGTTGGACGCCCGTACCGTCCGTGCAGGATACAATTTCAACAATCCATTAGTCGTTCAACCAGCATCTGGCACAGAGGCCTCCCAGCTTTTCGATGCCTTTTCTCTCAAGGGCTCTTCGTCTCTAATCCTCGACACCATCAAGCGTGGCGAGGATGACGAAGATGTCTCCCGCGGCGACTTCAAGCCGCGTCCCGGGCGCAGCATTATCCTGCGCATCTATGAGTCACTCGGCGGGAAGAGCCGCGGCTCCATCACGACCAAGTTGCCTGTTAAGAAGGTGTGGAAGTGTAATGTGCTCGAGGACGATTTGGAGCAGTTGGCAGTGGTGCAGAAGACTGGTGCGGCGGAGGTGGATATTGAGTTGAGGGCGTTTGAGGTTGCGACGTATCGGTTGCAATTGTAAGGGAGGGCGGGCAAGCTGTGGTTGCTGGGGTGGCTAGAGCAGCGGTAATGATAAGTTATGCTTAATTGCGGTCCTGGTAGTTGTGAACCGTCCATTTGATAATTAATTGTACGACTGGCTTTCATGAATAGGATGAAATGGGACTTGGATTGTAGCTTATTGGGGTTTCCGGGTCCTTCTTCTTGTCTTGCTTTTTTTTATGTTTGATGTTTGATGTTCCATTTGCGGCTCCTGTCTCTTTACTTGGCACCTCTATGCACAAAATAGTTGCAGGCCCTTGACTTGAAGGAAATATACCTAATGAATGTGCTGCTGTCTTATTGGAACAGAAGCGTACGCTTGCGTGGTAGAGAGACAACCCCCGATATAGGTGTACTTGAAAAATCAGCTGCTGAAGCAGACACGCACAGCCGCACACGCGCAGAAGGAAACTCGAGGGGAATAGGCAGGGCAATTGAGTCACCTAGGTATCTATATATGGTCATTGCGCCATGAGGGAATGAGACAAACGAGAGTGAAAAATGGAGAAGATAGATCGGTATCATTTCTGTCATATCAAAATGCGGCAGGCGGTGGTACCGCCGGACAACCGCGATTCCGAACGGAACGCGAAGGAGTTGGCGGGAGAATGCCAGGCGCGATGATTGTGTAGAGTTTCATTCAAGGCATTTTAGGAGGCATGCCAATAGTCCCGTGTATTATTACTATCAAGCAATATCGATCCTTCGTCTTTGATGATTTGAAAATTCTTTCTTTCGCAATTAAATACCTCCCTTCGCTTAAATATTTTGTCCCGCCGCCCCGCTAGTCTAGTTAACCAGTTCGCCCAAAATTGCCCATAAAAAGAAGCCTGCAGGAAAAGGCACATACATATATGATCCCAACGCCCCTGCTCCCGCAGCCCAGCCCGCAGCCCAGCCCGCAGCCCAGCCCGCAGCCCAGCCCGCAGCCCAGCCCGCAGCCCAGCCCACGCAAAGCCAGTCCCAGTGGCATCCCTGAAAATTAAACTCCCGACAATAACGAAGCCCGGAACGAACCAACGACACGAAATAGGAAGTAGGGAGAATGCTCTAAAATGTACTGCATCAACCCCTTCACTCCCTCCCATACGTAATCTTCAGCCTCTTCACCGGCTGCTTATTACCCCCCGACTCAGCATCATCGTCGCCATCCCTTTCCCTTCCCCTCCCACCCGAGCCCGCATCAGCATTCGCATCCGTACTTGTATTGTTGGCGTTGGCGCTGCCGCCGCTGGCCTTTGCGTTAGTATTCGTATTCGCAGCCGCGGATGCCTTCTTCTTCTTATTCGTGCTCGCCTTCACGCTGCTGGCAGCCGACATGTTGCTATTGTTGTTGTTGTTGTTGTTGTTGTTGTTATTCACAGTGCTGGTATTGCTGTTATCTCTGTTGAAGCCCGGCATGGAGGCGGAGGTGGGTGTTGGGGCGTGGGATGGGGTTGTGTTTGCGCTGGAGGGGGCGGGGGAGTCCTAGTATGTCATTTATTTTTATGCATATCTTGGTTAGTCTGGGGGAAATGTAGCGAAAAAAATCGGGAGGGGGTAATGAAGGAGTTGTTAGTAGTAGTAGACACAACGGGATATCATAACTTACCCGCATAAAACTCGCCGAACTCCTCGAGAACACCCGGTCACTATCTTGCACCGCTGTTTTTCTGCGCGTGGCTGGGCCGCCTGTGCCGCTACAACCAGTCATCGATCCAAGACTGCCCCCCAATCCTAACCCAGATACGCCAGAGGAGCCCTTTATGTAATTGTCGAAGCCTTTAATTATGTTTCCGGCACCGGTTTCTTCGAGGTACGATTGCTCGAAGCGGTATATGGATTCTTCTAGAGCAGCCTTAAAGTATCAGGTAGATGTCAGCAAGTTTCTTATTTCCCTTGTAAAATGTTAATACCCGTCGTTTACCTAACGGGAAAGCGGAGTGTAAGGGGAATCAGAGGTAGCAGGCAAAGGAGTGGTTAGTAAGTTAGGTGCCGGTTACATACCATATTCTTATCCATTAGCCGCTTTTTTTGTATTGTCTCTCTCAGTTCGCGTCTCAGCTTCTCGTAATATGGGATCCCGCGATTCTGTATTTGTTCCGGCCCAGAACCTGCTGGGATGGACTTCCCGCCAGCAGCGGTTGCGGGCGGGATATTTTCGGTCATGAGCGGTCGGAAACGTGCAGACGAGCTGAGGATGGTAAATTTTAATAGATAATCCACGGGTTGGGCTCGCAAAGGGGTGCCTTATAGCGTCAAGGGTGTCAAAAGAAAGTAGTGAGTGGATGGAGTGCGAGTCAGTCGAGTGAGCCGCGTTTCTTTGGCCAAGTTGAAGCCGAGACCCTTTCCCGATTTGGACAATGATCTACTGTAAGGTCGCGAGCAGCCCGTTTGTGCACTAGCCCCAATAGAGATTAGTCTAGTTCTCTACCCAGCATAAATCACATGATGTTGGAGCGACTGTTTGCCGTGTTTGCACCCTGACTCAACAACATTCCAACAAAAGCAGGATGAATAATGGGTTTTGTACAGCTGTCTGTCCCACATCTGTCTCTCTTCGGGCGTCATTAAATTATCTCAAGGAATACTAGATGCCGGGCCTAGGAGTTATAAAACGATAGTGTTCCCGCTTTGAATGTGATCTGTTCATCCGTCTACGAGCGAGGCATACTCTACTTCCGGCCAACGCCTCTCCCCGCTCCCCAGGCACCAACCAACAAAAAGTATACATACCACGGATTACCGGAAAAATGGACCACTCAATGCATCAAGCCGGGATGGACCATGGACATGGGGATATGGATATGGGCGACCAATGTAGCATGAACGTACGTGGCTTTCACTGCTGGGGAAATGCTACTCAAATGCCATTTATAACATCTTGTTTAACTCAAAAACATGATCTAGATGCACTTCACCTTCTCCTCACACAACCTTTGTATAATTTTCAAACAATGGCGCATAACAGGACCCTTGTCTCTTCTCTTCTCACTGGTCGCCATTGCGCTTCTGACCGCTGGCTACGAGGGTGTTCGCGCGTTGGCGCGCCGTTATGAAGCAAGACATGCACTGGCGTTGAAAGATGGGACGATACCTCCTGCCGGAGGATACACATTTGGTATGTTATTAGTTTTACCTTTGTTTTTTAATCCCCTAACTTTTCCTTTGACGTATCTGCGAAACGGATACATACATTTCATTCCTCTGCGGACCTTCCCCTATGGCGGAAGACAGAATCCGTTAAGAGATATCTGTTTTCCCAACTCACAAAACTACCAAAATTCCCGTCCCCTGGAGACTCCATATATCTTTCTGAAACAATGAAGATGACGAGACGCCGGATGCCATCCATGACAATAATGACAATGACAACGTGCTACCCACTTCCACTGCCCCCCTCCTTTCCAACGCCACCAATAACGGTGAACCAGCTGGCTCACTAGTCTTCACAGCACGGACCGATAGGAGGCGGAGGGGCAAGCTGGTTCTTGGGGCCCTCTACGCTGTGCAGGTCTTTTATAGTTTTATGATTATGTGAGTTCTTTATTACATTCTGTTCTCCAATTTTTGTCGAGCCCCCTTTCCAGCAGGGGATGAGCGTGGATTTAGGGCAAAAGGATTGATGTGTCTGTTTTTTTAATACGCAGGCTTCTTTTCATGACATACAACGGCTGGATTATGCTGGCGGTGGCTGTCGGGGCGTTTTTGGGATACATAACTTTTGGAGGCGAGGCGACTAAGCCTGCATCTTGTCATTGATCGTTGCCTATTGCTGGATTCATATCCCTCCCCCCTCTCTTTGGGTTTTTTTTTTTTTTTTTTTTTTTTTTTTTTTTGGCTCGGTCAATGCACATGCGTTACGTGGAGGATGTATATATGTAGATATATACATGTGTATCTGTTCCTGTCTACACCTTCCTGAGTGGCCTGTGTGTAAGGGCTTCATCATTACATCAAGCACGGGCTTTAATAGTATATCGTCGGTCTTCACTTGCTGCTTATTTGCTGCTTATTATGGAAGTTATATCACAAGTCCCAGTAATCCCTGTTATTAAGGGTTGTCAATCAAGGCATTTATACGGGTTTAAACGAATTTTGTATAATACAATTCTAATTATATCCGTACCCCTCCTCCCCACCTCCCTTAAATGATGCCCATTCGTTTGATCTAAGCTGCCAATGCAAAATAATAACCCGGTCTATAATATGTACGACCCCCAAAATCACGGAACCTCAATATCACTCCCATCATCCCCAAACCCAAAACTAAACCCACCTCCACCCTCACCCGCCTCGCTCTCCCCATCCACAGACCCATTCACAATCTCATCCCACTTCCTCTTCCTCCCTTCCGCCTCCCTCTCCATCTCCCTCAACGCCTCCTCAACCAGTCCAGGCTCAACGCCCCTCAACCTCTCCACAAACAACCCAAACGGATCCTCAACGCCACGCCTAAACCCAGAAACCTGCTCCTTCTTCCCGCTCAGGAACCGAAGAACCTCCACAAGATGTCCCCGCGGGACGAAGTTTTGCGTTATGGCTATCACAGCAGCGCCCGCTTCTTCTTCTTCTTCTTCCTCCAGATTAACAACCAAATGCCACCACCCGGACGGCACATGCAACACCTCGCCCGCCGCACACACCCCCTCCACACACCCCTGCATCCGCCGCGCCGCCCCATGGAACCCCACAAACCACTCCGCAATGCTAAGCGGCGACGTAACCTCGCTGTGATCGGCGGAGACGTAGACGCCGGGCGGCGATGGTAGCAGTGCACCCCCCGAACCCGCACCTGCTCCTGAATTGTTGCTACTGGTGCCAGCGGCGTGGCTAGGGAACATGATCCAGTACTTCGAGCCGCGCAGGACGGCGTTCCAGGCGCTGGTGGCGTTGGGGTCTTTGTGGAAGGTGCTGCCGCTGCGGGGCGGGCCGATGATTAGCCAGCGGTGATCGGGGCGGTCGGGGCCGAGGGCGGAGAAGAGGTCTTCGGAAAAAGGGGGTGGGGGGGTATAGGCGGGTTCGGGGGGTTGGGATTCGGGTTGGGAGTGGGTGGTGGTTCTTCCGTTGGTTCCGTTGGTTCCGTTGGTGGTGGTCGTGGTGGTCGTGGTGGTCGTGCTGGCTGTAGGTAAACCCATCTTCTCCATAAAGCTACGATCGAAGAGGTACAGGGGGCTCTCATCTGTGTTATTTTTCATGTACTCCACGTAAGTCTCCAATGGCCAGTCGACGGCTTCTGCGCGGAAGGTCGTGTTCGCATATCGTTTGAGAAGGTACTCTATCGACCAGTCCCTGTAGGCGGGCCAGGATTTGACGGGCTCGGTGAGGATGAAGGGCCTGTTTGTCCAGGATTCTTGGAATTCGGCCAGCGTGAGGTTTGTCAGGCGCGGGATTTGGTTGCGGGCGGGGATGTTTGATGTGTAGGCTGAGAGGGAAACGTGGGCGCAGTAAAAGGGTCTGTGGAGGACGTCGGAGTAGAGATGTGAGCAGTCTGGCGAGGCGATTTTGGCGGTGGGGAGGTTGAGATATGTTGCGTGCCAGGTGCCGCGCCATGTGAAATTTTTGGGAGGGTTCCTGCGATGGAAGGGGTTAGTATATAGATGATATGGTACGTATGGTGTCTAGCTATCACTGTGATAAAAGTTGGATATGTAGAATGTATACATGCAGATATAGTACATCTTGATATATGCGCATGCGCATGTATTTGACAATTCCATCTACCCCTCAATCCCTCTAATATCGCGCTTCAGCCGTATATGCAAAGTTCAAGGCCCCCCTTATCCCCATACAGGAGATAATATAATAATGATGTGTGGCCTTGATCAACCTAGAACCAACACACAAACACAAACACAAAAGAACATCACATCACGCAACAAAAACATAGAAAGCAAAAACCAGAGTTAAAAGAAGAAGTAACGCAATTAACGAAAGAAAAAAGAAAAAAAAGTTTCCTTACGCGATGAACAGGGCCTTCCACAGCTCCTCAGCCCGTGTGAAAGCATACAGCGCCTTGCACGTCGCACCCAGGCGCAACAAAGAAGTGCTGTCCAGACATTCCAGCAGCAGAATGATCAGTTCGTCCGACAGCACAGCCAGGGAGCCGATTGCATGACGGATGTTGTGGGTCGCTGTCAATGCATTACCTGACGGCTTGATTCCCAGCGGATGCGATGGTATGACATCAACATCGCTATCTAGGTCCACGGGCATGTCGCCAAATGGCATTGAACGGCGAACCGTACGATCTGTGACATGCATGATCGCTGTGGGACTGCAAATCGCAGCCTCGAAATGCAGCTGTCTTGGGACCTGATATGGATCTGATATCTGGGATCTGATATCTGGTATCTGGTTGTTGGGTGTTTGATATCTTGAACTTTGGACAAAGAACCTTGAACCAAGCCCTAAACCCCAATTCCAGCCGAAAGCGGTAATTGCTTGGCGGGGGAAAGCTGTTTTATTTTAGCCCTTGGAAACCTGTCAATGGAGGGAGGAAAATAGAAAAAAAAGGGAGGAAAAGGAAGAAAAAAAGAAAAAGTCTGTAGATTGTCAGTGAAAGGAATTAAGCAGGAATAGAGAGAGTTGCATAGTTACCAGTAAAAGTAGCATTAAATAATAATAATAAGATAGAAGCAGAGTAACATACTACTACTATTTTAAACAAGAGGGGCAAAGAAAGTCTTGTTCCTATTCTTCTTCTTATATTATCATTCATTTATGTATTTTTATTTTATTTTTATTTATCTATTTATTTATTAGTTATACTTACTTTATTTTATTTTATTTTATAATTTTTTTTCCCATCTCCGCGCTAGGCCTGAAAATTTGCAACAAAAAAAAGAAAGAAAAAAGAAAGTTGATGGGATGAGAAGAATCAGCCCAAGCCCGAAAAGTCAAACCAAACCAAACCTAATTTTTTTAATTTTTTTTTTTTTTTCCCTTCTTTCTCTCTGCTTCTCCTCCTCTTCTCTTCTTCTTCTTCTTCTTCTTCTTCTTCACTCCACAACACTCACTCCAACCACACATATCCCATCCATAATCACCCCCCACAGAGTTGTCAACTCCTAGATCCTATTCTACTCTCGTCTTTGGAGAGTATAGGTTCTAGTTTTTCTTCGCTTTATTCTTTCAACACGAAAAGTCTTCTTCTTTTCCCAGGGCAGGTTCCAGCAAGGATTGCTAGGCCTTTTTTTTCTCCCACCCAGCGCCTTTTTTTTTTTCTTCCCCTCTACACCACCACGATCACAGCTTCGGTCTGTGATCTCAGAACCCTCAACTCGCAATCATGGCTTCCACCGATAAGGGTCTCGAGGAGATCCCAGTAGGTATGGTTCCCTTGTTTTTTTTTGTTTTTTTTTTTTTTTTCTTCGGCTGCAAAGAGTTTTTTTGTGCTGTTTTTGGTCCTCCTGCTCTGCTATTTCGCCTTTTTCAGTGGCGGCCATGCTGTGTCCAACAACCAGATAGCATCAAAACCCGGTTAAATTTCGGAAGAATAAAACGTTGACAACCTTGCTCCCGAAAACAGGACAAATCGAATCCAACTATGATGAGGTTACCGATTCCTTCGATGCTATGAACCTCCGCGCTGAGCTGCTCCGAGGTGTCTATGCCTACGGTTTCGAGCGCCCCTCTGCTATCCAGCAGCGCGCTATCATGCCCGTCATCAAGGGTGCGTTACAACTTTTTTTTTTTTTTTTCTCTTTTTTTCCATTTGGGGGGGGTTTTTTGGGGGGGGGGGGTGTGGAAGGTTCCTCTATATCAAAATGATGTGTAGAAACAAGAAAGAGAAGAAAATAAAATGGATGATGCTAATAACACAAATATACAGGCTCCGATGTTATTGCCCAGGCTCAATCCGGAACTGGCAAAACTGCCACCTTCTCCATCTCTGCTCTGCAGAAAGTCGACACCAACCTCAAGGCTTGCCAGGCTCTGATTCTTGCTCCTACCCGTGAGCTTGCCCAGCAGATCCAGAAAGTCGTTGTTGCCATCGGTGACTTCATGAGCATCGAGTGCCACGCTTGTATCGGTGGCATTAGCGTGCGCGAGGATATGAAAGCTCTTCAGGAAGGGCCCCAGGTCGTTGTTGGCACCCCCGGCCGTGTCCACGACATGATCGAGCGCCGTGTCCTCAAGACCGATCACTTGAAGATGTTCGTTCTTGACGAGGCTGACGAGATGCTTTCTGTAAGTTTTTCCTTTATAGTGCAACACCATCTAATATTCCCGCGGATGGTTTGGAGTTTTTGGGACGGTCCTCGTATTCTAACGTCGCCTTTCTTTCCAGCACGGTTTCACCGAGCAAATCTATGATATCTTCCAACTCCTTCCCCAGTCTACCCAGGTTGTCTTGCTTTCCGCTACCATGCCCCAGGATGTGCTGGAAGTCACCACCAAATTCATGCGTGACCCCGTCCGCATCTTGGTTAAGAAAGCAGAACTCACCCTTGAAGGTATCAAGCAGTTCTACATTGCCGTGGAAAAGGAGGAATGGAAGCTGGACACCCTGTCCGATCTCTACGAGACTGTCACAATCACCCAGGCCGTCATCTTCTGCAACACCAGGAGAAAGGTCGACTGGCTCACTGACAAACTCACCGCCCGTGACTTCACTGTCTCCGCCATGCACGGTGACATGGAGCAACAGCAGCGTGATATTATCATGAAGGAATTCCGCTCTGGCTCTTCCCGTGTCCTCATCGCCACTGACCTGCTCGCCCGTGGTATCGATGTCCAGCAAGTCTCGCTGGTCATCAACTACGATCTCCCTGCCAACCGCGAGAACTACATCCATCGTATTGGTCGTGGTGGTCGTTTCGGCCGGAAGGGTGTTGCCATCAACTTCGTCACTGCTGATGATGTCCGCATGATGAGAGAGATCGAGCAGTTTTACAGCACCCAGATCGAAGAGATGCCCATGAACGTTGCTGGTATGTTTCCTTTCTCCTTTCTTTGAATATTCCTCTCCTAATAGATTTCCACCCCCCTTTAAATCGAATTCGTTTGCTAACTAATGTAATTACAGACCTCATCTAAACGAAGAAAATGATTAACTCCCGAATCCCGCCGTGTCCGCTGTGATGTCCCCAAATCTCCCAGCGGAGCGGGAGGGGATTCGTGTGCCTTTTAATTTTTTCTCTCTCCCCATGACATTTCCTTCCCCTTCAGAATTTACAAAAAAAGAGAAAAATTCCTTTCAGAATTAATGGTTTTTTTTTTCCAACGAACCCCCCAGTTTTGTTTATAGTGGATAAACAATTGGGCAGAATTTCTTTTTCTTTTCTCTTTTCTTTTGCATCTAACTCCGTCCTTTATCACCACTTCCACATTCCCGTCAGCGTTCCTTTCTAAAACGAAATAAAAAGTGGTATCAGTATTATCGTTGGGTTGTTTGTTTAACGTTGACGTTTTACGTTTGTTGTCCTGTTTTTCTTTTTCTTTTTCTTTTTTTTTTTTTTTTTATCCGTTGCTGTGCTTTCCAATTTATCTATTTTCCCCTCCTATGACCTGGCATGGCTGCATGGATGATGCAATGCATATTTATTTTATGTTTTCTTTTATTATCCCTTCTTCTCCTTAGAGCGCTTTGGCATTATGGGGCAGGCAAAGGCAACACAAAGCACACGAGACAGAAAGGAAAAGGAAAACTCGTACGGCAAAAAAGGAGAAATGTTTTTCCTTTTTCTATTTTGCCGGCTCGTTTTCTTTTTGGTTTTCACTTCTCTTGCCTTTTGCGAATGGTTTTTTCTCATCCTCTCTCTTTTTCTTACGGCTTATATAAATACGCTTAGAAGGAAAGGAAGAAAAGAGGGGAGGAGAGGGAGGAGAGGGATTTTCCTTGTGCGCGTAGCTGGGAGGTTTTCAAAGATTATTATTTGCTTTCGCTTTTTGTTCTTTTCTTCCTTCAATGTTATAGTTAATGCTCTGTTTTCTATTTATTTTATATTTCCTACTCCCTTTCCTTAAAAAGATTATGCGTGCGTGCGTGACCGACTGGTTTGAAACCATCTTAGTACGTCGTCCTCGCTATCTGTCTCCCATTTTCTTCTATTTCGCGTATCTTTTACTTCGAAGTTCTCCCTGCTACATAATCCGTACTGTATTAAGGTTTTTTTCCTACATCAAAATTTGCATTTTCTCACAAAATATTAGTTCATTCTTCCTTTTCAAGGAGGTAGGCTGACTTTTCGGTTTTCCTTTCATCCTGCGTCCATGTTGTGGTGGTAGGTCTCTGCCATTACCATGATGTGAAGAATCCATGTTTCACTCTTTTTTTTTTCCTTTTTTAATCCTCTTCAGTTGTCAGATCCCGTCCGGACAAACAATGTGCAGACGAGAGGATACAAATGATGACGGGATAAGGGGAGAGAAGGGGCAGAAGGAACAGTCAAGTCAATGCCGCAGAATAAATTGGTAACTATAACTATACTTACACATGCAATTAAAGTAGGCGAGTTTCTTTTCTCTCCTATGACTTGTCCAAGAGCACCAGTGAGAAGCGTCGATTTATTTTATTTTATTTTTTTCTTTTCTTCTTTCTCCGAGTGGAAAAATAAGGGGGGATATAGAAGCTGCAACTGGGATGGAAAGAACTTGACATCATCCGTCTTCTTGCCCATCGTTTTCAGCCGCATAGAAGTATCCCAGCGTCCTGGATACTTTAAATATATATCTCCGGATACCTCGTGAAGAAACATCCAGGGTGAAAAAAACCGAGGACCTGTCCATAGGACTCTTCAGGCTTGCTTCCCATGATAAGATGGACAGGCAGTAACAAAAGCCACGCTGAGCCAACCAACATCCCATTGAGATCAAGTCAATTTATTGCCCTGCCCCTCTCTTCCCCCTCTGATTAGGACGGGGGGACTGTTCACCCGTCGATGAGCGCTCCTCTTCTTGAAATCTCTCATATACCCATTCTCATTGTTATCATTACTCCCCTTCTCTTGTTTTCTTTCGCGGCTATACAAGTTACAGCCAAATATACGCCGCCGACTAGCATCTATACTACACGTGTACAGTACATGCATGTAGTACACGAACACCCTTCTTCAATGATCCTACAAAAAAAAATCGCAAGATACCCAGACAATGGACCCCAATCCAAACCCTATTCCCAGCACAGGCACAACATCGGCCCCCTTTTTCTCTCCCACCTCCCTCCTCTGGGCACACCAGCTCCGACGCGAACACAACAGCCTCGTCTCCCGCCTCGACGCGCTCGAAGCGGCCCTGGCATCCTCTTCTGCTGATGGAGTCGCAAGGGCGGGAGAGTTAAAGACAGAGCTTGACAGGAGGGTGGGGGAGGTGGGGGGTGTTGTTGGTGTGGTTAAGGAAGAGATCGGGGTTGTTAAAGGGGAGATTGAGACGTTGAAGGGGTGGAAGGGACTTGTTGAAGAGAGGCAGAGGGAAGCTGTGGAGAGGCGGGAGAGGGAGGAGGAGGAGTTGAGAAGGGAAAGGGAGGGGAGGGAAGAGGGGAGAGGGGAGCTTGAGAGGGGGTTAAGGGATGTTTTGGAGGGGGTGAGGGGGCTGAAAGGGCTTGTGGAGGAGATGAGGAGGGAGAGGGCGGAATGGATTGAAAGGGAGAGGGAGAGGGAGAGGGAGAGGGAGAGGGAGAGGGAGAGGGAAAAGGAATTGAGTGAGTTCACTTCTTGTTTCCACCTGTCCCCTTTTCATATTTCATCCATTAATCCATTCCATCTCAACTAACAGATGCATCCTCAGACACCATACCCGTCGCAGTCCCCTATTCCAATCCAGACCTCAGCGACGACAACGAACCCTTCCGCTCCTCCTCCCTACCACCCATCCCTCATCTCCTGCCCAGCCAACAGCGCCCAAAACATGAGGTCCCTTCCACAATCTCCGGCACGCCCACAATGACTCACCTCCCCAGCTCAACGCTAACCCGCAGCTCCCTGCCACCACCACAAGCACCGCCACACAACGGCTACTCCGCCATCCTCGTCCCAGACTCCACGTCACCGGCCCCCCCCTCATTGCATCCAGGTCAAACCATCGCCACCACCGCCGCCTCCGCCACGGGGTTCCCAACCTCCCCTCCACGAGCAGCTTGCTCCCTCGTAACTCAGCCCCCGGGTGAATTGGAGTACGAAAATGCAGAAGCAGAAGAACAAGATAACGGAGTCCCAATTCTACGCCAGGGGCCTGGTGAATCTCTCGAGTCGTATTTGGAACGTGGGGAGGCGGTGCTATCGCGAAGTCCGCGGATTGAGGCGAAGCGGGTTGTGCTGGCGTTTTGGCGAGGGGTGGATGAAGAGGAGGTTAAGCGGGCGTTGGGGGAGGAGTTGGAGACGTGGGGTCAGAGGTGGGAGGTTGTTAGGCGGTTCGTGGGCGATCTGAGAGGGGAAGGCAGAGGGGAGGGGAAAGGGAAAAGGAGGAAGAGGGATAGGGATAGATGTCTTGACAAGGCCGGGGGTGAAAAGCACGTGGGGGTTTGTGGGAATGCGGCTGTTGAGGAGAAGAAGAGCAAAAATATGAAAATGAGGAAGAGGAGGGCTATTCCTGTTATTTGGCCGGTTGACGAGGAGGGAGAAGGGTGGTTTGTTGTGCAGAATGGGTTGACTTGATATTTTCGGTATGATTTATAAATATACGTCTTTAAGAGCTGGCATGCAGAGGAGTGATAGGGCGAAATTGGAGAGATGAGTGACGGGGGGGAAAGGGGTGGGTAATAGCAAACTGTTCTCATGAGGGTGTATGTACAGTACGTACCAGTATCTATCTCGCAATGATAGCCATTTCTATAAAACACAAAACCCCAATACAAAGAAGACATAAAATCTAAACATCGATGAAAAAAATTGTCGGAAAAAAGAAGCTTACTTCCGAACATATACCATCAACCCCCCTAAAAATCAAAACCCTCCAAACTCAAACCTCCCATCCACCCTATCCTTAACCACAACCTCAATCCTCCCCTCCCCAACCTCCTTCCCCCCTACCTCAATCCCCGCCGTCATAACCTGCCCATCCCTCACCTCGCCTACCCCCTTGGGTGTGCCCGTCAGCACCAAATCACCCGGCTCCAGGGTCATGACGCGCGAGATATCCGCCAGCTGGCGGGGGATGCGATAGAGCATCAAGTTCGTGTTATCACGCTGGCGCAGCTCGCCGTCGACGGAGAGGTGGAGGGTAGCGTTGTGCGGGTCTGGGATGCGGGATTTGGGGATTAGGGCGGAGACGGGGAGGAAGGTGTCGAAGCCCTTTGCGATGGACCAAGGGAGACCGGCCTTTTTGGAGGCGTCTTGGATGTTGCGGGCTGTGAGGTCGATGGCGAGGGCGTAGGCTGTTTTTGTTGTTTTAAATCGGGGTATGTTAGTAACTCTGTGTTGCGCGGTGGGCTAGGCCGGCGGTGGTCGGTGGAGGTGTACTCCGTCGATAGAGAGGATGCATGTCTTGCGTCTCAAATTGAGGTTGTTCTTGGACACACCTGATATGGCGTCTAAAGCGCCCTGCTCGTCTGCCGGGTCATGGTCACGGAGTGTTTTGCCTATAACCAATGCGAGCTCGACTTCATAATGAAGGCTCACGCCCTTGGGACGCAAAACGGGGCCGGAGTTTGGGAGGAGGATGGACGAGGGTGGCTTGAGGAAGAAGAATGGTTGCTTTGGGCGGACGTTGTTGAGCTCAGTTATGTGGTCTCTGGATTATATGCTTTCGCGTTAGCAGCAGGTATACGACACGGTGCGCTGAATGGTAAGTTACGATTGCGATTGTAGTTGCAATTGCAGCTGACAACCTCTCTAGTTATGTTGGGGTGTACACACGCATAGTTTCGGCCGATGCACATCACCTTCCGGCAATTGGCTCGAATGGATGCCATTGTTTTCCAAGGGTTTGCGCGATGACCTGCAAAATAGTAATTGGATTATTTATTTTGAATTTTTTGCCTCTGCGAGAAATAGAGAGGGGAATGGGTGACAATGGCAACAAAGGCTGTGGAGGAGATGTCATGGTGTCTCTTTTATTCCGCGATCTGTGGCTGTGATTCTGCCGAAACCAGCTCGGTCTCCCGCAGTCTCGGCCGGCAGCCGTGGGGGGGGGTGACTTCGGCAGGCCGATGGGGTGTAGGTCATGTGACTTGGTAGGTGTGGAAGCTGCCGGTGGTACGTACCACGCAGCTGGGGATGTGGAACATCCATCATCCAGACAAATACTGGCGGATGTCGATACAAATTAAAGGAGGGCGGGGAATACAAATAGTTACCTATAATCCCTTATGAAGGTCGCCGAGGTCTTGTCGGATCTGACATCTCTGAGAGTCTGCGTAATTTTAACCCGGTCCACCACTAGCCTGATCCCTTTTGACTCACACTTCCATCCCTACTGACGCTTCCCTCTATTCATCTTATTAACAGGGCCATGCCGAAGCACTCGCCCTCGTGAATGTCTACGCTACTATCGCGAACCAAGAGCAGCATCAGCAGGAACAGAATCAGCCGCACGCTGGACAGGTCCCTTCCCCGAAAACAAGTGATTCACACCCAACCGCTCTCTCAGAAGACCTGCGCCGAGCAAAAGACCTCGTCGAGCTTCATAATGATGGCACGCTAAAGCAGCTGAATACACACAGCGGAGGCTTGCATAAGGAGCTTCAGAAGGCCAGACAAGACGTTGATCGCGTGTTGCGGGAGTTGGGGTAATTGAGCTGGACGAGAAACGGTTCTGTTTGGCAAATGGTGGACCCAACCGTTTCAGGTGCTTGACGAGATTCTTGATTCAAAAATCAAATCCCACTTCGAATAAATAGTCAAGTTGGTGACAGGGCAAGCGGGATGAAAGTGGACTAGGGTTGGCTGGACTTGTGCGGGATTCCGAATAAGGTGAATGGTGTTGATATTACTATACATTTTAAATTGATGTAAGAGGGAATTGGCGGGCACAGAGGAACAACAATAATCATCGGGCAATATAAGCTGAATTGATTGTGTCATGGGTGGATATATACATCAGCTCAGCTGCGTGACACACAATTGCGGTGTTGGATAGGTGTGGAACAAATGGCTTTCATACGCTAGAAATCCGAACTCAAATCAGAGATACCAATACCAGAGCTCAAATATTCCGACACTCAAGCATGCCTACAGACGTATCCAAGTTCTTATTTAAAAAGGGTCTTGCAGGCTCCTCGTACCTCCTGATAGCTGACTTTAACTAACCCCGAATATTTTTCACGGTTGGGTTTGAGGCTCTTGTACACGCTAGAATATGAGTAGAAGCCGAAATAACAGCAGAGAAGTTACCGAACCTAAGCACCTATTTAACTGGTCAGTGTGTTATTCGGTCAAGCCTCTAAACCAACCCCAGTCATATGGGGGTGTCGAGGCACCACCGTGAAGGGTTCCCGATGTCCAAGCATCTGCTTCATCACGAATAATTGGAGTCAAAACGTCAAAATGTGCATGAAGCTTGGTAGGTTGGCCAAATGATTCTGAGCTAGTGAACTTCCAAATCCACCCTGCCTGCTGCTAGTTGAGATGCTGTGATTTCTCGAATCTGTCCTGATAAAACACACCAGCCTGGACGAACTAGGAGAAGACTGAGATATCTCCCATCTAGGTTTGCGGGGGCATTAAAACTATCAACCTCTAAGTTGAGGCCACTGGTGAAGTGAGGCCTAAAATGATCTGATCTCAATTATTAGCTATAACTTAGAGGTTTTATCTCTCTATATATTAAAGAAAAACCAACTTTTCTTATCTCAGCAAGCTCAGACGCTTCTCCAGATATTTATTGCTGTTTTAACACTGGATTGATGATTATGTCATGAGCTAATCTCAAATAAGCAATAAGCTAACCCAAATAGTAAAATCAGGTCATGTGAGTGATGATATCTTGCGAAGTGTCTGAGAAGAAACAGTTCCTGATTATTAACAATACAGGAAGGATTTGCTCAGTACCCTGAGTATGAAAGAGAATTTCAACTCAACTTCATAGATTCATCATTTCTGTATCACCTTGAAATCTTAGAATAACAATGTTCTCATAATGTATCTGATTTTTATATTCATATCTTAAGTTCTTAGAATAGAAGTATCACCTCAAAGTTGATCAGTGTGTTTTTGAACACAGGAATTTTAATTCAATTTCTCATACAAAAAAAAGCTCTTAGAAATTCTGAGATCAAAAAATATGATCATTTTCAAGAGTATATATCTATCTTAAATATAGATTTTTTTGAAATATTAAAGAAATATTTCTATTCTTCTTCTCTTTAGCTATAAGCTAAGGTGATTTTCAAATCTCAAAGATATGTGAGTATATAGTAATAGAAAGTCAAAGTTAAAGAATCTGAAAAATCCTTGTAAATCTTGGAAATCTCCATTGAAGATGAAACTGTTTCTTCTCAGACCCTCTGGCGAGGATTGCTCTGAGCACATGACTTGTATCAAAAGTAGGTTAGTGTCATGCCGGATTAGTCTGCAACCTGTTCAAACCGAGCCAGAGGTCTGAGCCCGCTGAGATAAAACTTTTCCGTGCAAAAAACGCTGTAACGTGACCTCACGTGACGTCACGTGCACCCCATCAAAAATCCATGGATACGTAGTGGCGCCTGCCAATTGCACCACTCTATCTACCCCCTATCATCACCACCGCCTCTAACGCCCCGTAGCACCCCCTATTACTTCCTCTAACGCCCCCGTAGCACCCCCTATTACTTCCACTTCATACCCCTATCCATCTTACCACTCACTCTTACCACTTCTATCACCTCTACCACTCCTACCACTCCTACCACCCCTACCACCTTTACCACCACTGCCTCTACCACCCCACAGCCCCCCCTATCACTTCCACTCCATATCTCTACCCTACCCCCATCTTACCACTCACTCTCTTACCATCCCTATCACCTCTACCACCTCTACACTTCTTCCACTCCGACCCCCCCTTACCACCCCTTATCACCCCTTACCACCTCTACCTCCCCTACCACCTCTACCACCACCACTGCCTCTACCGCCTCGCAGCACTCTCTATCACTTTCACTCTCTATCTCTACTCTCATCTTATCATTCTATCCCTCTCTTACCATCTCTATCACCTCTCCCATTTCTATCACCTCTATCACCTCTCTCTATCACCTTTTTCACTCTCTAGCCTCTCTATCATCATCATTATCTCTACTACTCTACAGTCTCTTCTATCACTTTCACTATCTCTACTTCTCTCTTACTATCTCTATCATATTTTGATCTCTGTGTTTATAGTATATACTGCTAAATACTCTGTAATAAAATCTCATATAATGTCATATACATCTCTTTGAATTCATGAATGAGATTGAATAGCTGACTCTGCAGTCTGTACAGCTCTGATTAATCTGATAATGATGATAGAGATGATACAGAGTGAAAGAGGTGGG